CATCAAGACCAAACTAACCCAGTCCATGCAACACTCAAGTTCAAACAAGCAATCACTTGAGCAGTTCTGCTAATCTAAAACGCAATGTACTGTGCTGCAACCTGCACATATTCTCTTATCAGCTTCTTAAATTGTCACAAATTATGGATCGGAACTGACAAAGGCAAAACCCGTCACTATTACTGTACATAATCTATCAAATAAGGTCACTTTATTGACCTTCATCAAAATATTTGTATAAAGCTGCTAACTAAATCTTCAAATTGTGAAACTTGCACAAAATGTCTTTTTATTTTAACAAATTTCATCTGTGTGACCTTGAACAGAGGTCAAGTTCGGCAAAGTTAACCAAACTAATACAAATTGACATGAACAACCACCTTGTCAAATAGCAAGCCCTACAGATTTTTGGTCATTAAGCTGTCACTATTAAAAGAAAATAAAAAAAAATATTTGTTTCTTGGTTTTTAAGCAAATGTGTAAAATGATAAATTTGCCAGTTTTCATTTTTACCCGGAATCCTCCTTTTGAAAGATATCATCTGTGGCCAACTTTTAAGCAACTATGAAAAATAGACTGGTTTCGGAAGTATGAAAATTGTCCAAAACAGTACTTTTCTCAAAAGTAATGGCTTTTTTATATAAATTTTGACTGCATTTTTCAATATAAAAGAAACGTGTCTCCTGAAATAGTGTGATATGTGGTATCAACATGTTGGTTGGTACAATGTGCACACATTAATGACATAGTTTTATTGGAATTAACTCATAATAATGCACTAGAAGGAATTACATAACAACTACTTTAACACCCACCAAGGTGTTAGTCAATGAGCTCCCAAGAAATCAATTCCGAGACTAACTTTTCCCTATTTAAGCTTCGGATACACATGGTTATCATATTTTGAAATTCCAAGTGGGGACCGATGCTAATGTTAAATTCAAATATATGTTGACCTCACCATTCAATGCTCTCAATGAGGATTTGTTTGCCATGTTGCTGATATACAATTTACTTTCTAGACTTCAATCCCATCCAAGTGATACCGTAATGTCAGTATCCACATTTATTATTATGTTGTTATTGATATTTACATTTTTATTAATTACGTGTATTTTATAACATGATAAAAATAACATGAAAATATCAATAACAACATAACAAATGTGAATATTGACATTACATTTTCAATTTAGAGACATTTCAGTCTACGTCGACCAGTAATCGCGATCCTCAGAGTGAATAAACAGAATGGTTTTCAGCTCTGTGAAATCATTTTCACGGGGTGTCTATTTCATAACGGGCACTAAGCTTGAGATGCTGCAGCTATTGTTAAATGTTTTCTTAATTCTTGTGAACTTGTCTTGGTCTTGTTATGTTGCCCTGTTGTCTGACAGAACTAGCGCATTTTTGTCTATGTCCGACACCTGCATGACTGTCTATCTGGTCTAGCGTATGTACTTCAGAGGTCAGTTACCTTGCTCTAGTAGTCTAGAATATCTACTTCAGAGGCCAGTTATCTTAGTCTAGTGAAGACAGGTTTAGCTGTTGAGATGAATTATTTCCTACTTCAAGCAAGGCTAGTTCGGGAACTGTCAACGGTCTCCGTAACAATTAGAACAAGTAATGTATCAATAGTGCCGACATTTATACTTTTTATTGTATCTTAGACAAAGTAGCTGGTGAAGTATTAATTGTGATAAAATTAAAACTAATGTATCTCAAACACAGTAGTCTGTGATAATTTCATATTGACAACTTTTATACCTACTAAAGTAACACAGTAGTTGGTAATAATTTCATTGTTTCATTATTACATCTTTATAGCTAATGTAGTTTCGATAGCAGCCATCAAAATATCGAATACATGATATTTCTAGTCAAGATCTACTTAGGTTGTTATACATGTATGACCAGACGGAGATTACTTAGGGAAAAGTCAAATAAAAGTCAATATGACATATGATTTAAAAATACGTTTCCGGAAATCACATCTTTTCATATCAGCACGTCGGCATATTGCCGAACTTAAAACCAAGATATGTAACTAGAGTGTGTGGCTTACAAATTTTACAGCTTTATCTCCTAAAGACATTCCACATTACTCAATAACAAACACAGGTAATGTTCGTAGTTACAACTTGCCTTTTTCTCGATATTGTTGTTTTTGCCAAGTTTAAACGTAGGTCCAAGGACTGTTCGAAAGACTTACAAGGGAATCGTACCTTTCAATACTAATTAATAATAAGACACATTACACTCATATGAACAATTAGATACCATCGTACTGCTGTTACATCATTCTAGGATTGGGCAGTGTTGCTTTAGGCGACTGGTGAGGTGCATTAACCCTACATTTAAAAAAAGGCATACCCATTACCTATTTCCAATGAATATCAAATACATGTGTATATATAGTCTGAACCTTGCCACTATTCGCTTTTCACCTACCAGTCAAGGGTTCGATTATCAGAACGGACGTGAAAAGGTATACGTTCACCTGTCCAACCACGTGAGTTTTCCCCGGGTACTCCGGTTTCCTTTCACAATAAAACCCCTCCCGTTGCGATATAATTTGTTTCGCAATTGTTGTAAAAAAGATTTTGTTTATACTTGTTATTTTATGCATTAAAACGCAATATGCAAGGCAAACTTTACCCAAACCATGCAATCATTCTTTTTCACAACAGGTACACATACCATAAATTTAGGGAAAGTTCTTGCCTTTTTTTATATGTATATTTGCTTTTGAAATTCAGATCATGAAACTACATTTAATCTGTTGAAAATCAAGTATGAATTTAAAATTGGGACGCAAAGACATTGCGGAACACACGTGCTATCCAATGTTATAGTCATCAAAATTTCAATAAACACTACAAATGCCTTCATCAGAAGGATATCGGATAGAAATTGTTTCATTTTGTTTTGGAGCCATGTGTTTTTTTTTCACATTGTTCTCATTTCAGGTCTACAGCAGCAACAAACTTATTTTTGGTTCGTTCGTTCTCACAAACACCACGCCTGCCGGCAACCATCTGATTCACATATCTATCAGTCATGAATATGGGACACTCTGCTGAAACATAGCAGCTGTTAGATAAAATCAACCTGGCTCTGAGATATTTGTCAGTTGAACTGAATTCTCAGTAACGATCACATTGGTTCAAATTTGCAATCTTAAGGTTGTAAATCGGCCTATATTTACATTACTTCAATATGTGTGCGGATATTGATAAGAAACCTATTCATAAGATAGCATGTTCTTTCTAGATTAGAAGAAGCACTAGGGCCATAATTGTGGGCAACAAATATCAACACAAACATCTAGGATTCGTACTGAGTAGTGACGGAACAGGGAATTAACATGTAGAAGAAATTATTATAAGGACATCTAAATATATAGCAACTTTAATTAATTCTGAACATATACACTTTGGAAAAATGTATCTCGCATACATAAGGCCATTATTAGAATACGCTTGCGAAGTATGGGATAATTGTGGAGTTATTGTGTCACCAAATATCGAATAAAATCCAATTAGAGGCAGTCCGAATTGTGACTGGTTTACCCATATATACTAGATCTGGCTTGCTATTAAGAGAAACGGGTTGGGAAGAACTTAAATTAAGACATCAACATCGAAAGTTATTAATTTTTATACTGTAATTAACGGCACTGCACCATTTTTGCTCACTGATTTTCTTCCTGAACATATTGGCAATCTCACTAGGTATAAATTAAGAAACGCAGATCAGTTACGACAGCCAACTTACCGTCTTCAATCTATGTGTAACTCATTTCCCCTTCTACAACTGAACTCTGGAATGGAAAAGGTGAGTCTTTAAAAACTTTTGGTTCACTGAATTTGTTTAAAACCAAACTTTGTATAAGAAGCACCAATAAGCTTCAATCGTGCTTCTTGTCCTGCTAAAGTATAAAAGAAATGATCTATACCTCGAGCTCTGTTTGCTCTAAATGCCAAGAAAAGAATACCAAACAATCAAGTTGGCTGTAAAATCTTGGCATACCCGTTTTTAGAATAGGGAAGCCGTTTATTTTTACCTAATTTCATTAACATGTATATATAAAAATTTCATAATAACATACTTGGAGCAAAGGTGAACGAAACTACGCCATACTGACCTAGAAGGCCAGATGCCACCCTGGTATCATATGGTCCTCGTCAGCTAAATATTCTTCATTGTCGTTTGTGAAATAGAGCAAGCTCACTCAATTATGACCTATTCAGAGCCAATCTTACTTCTGTCTGACATCGACAGAAATCAAAACAAATAAATTAAAATTACATGGCCCCAGTAAATTTATAAATTTTAAATATATTGAAATTATATTTCTTTCTTGTTTTTTTTCCTCGTAAAATTCTATACGATATGACGCGTAAATATGAACAATCCATAGAAATTTCCCGTATCTGATATCCAGGATCAAAAATAAATGTCAGAAAGCGAATTTTCTTTCCACGCAGGATTATAAATAGAACATAATCAATGTGTCACAAAAAGGACTTCATTAATTCATTTGCGACAGTAAATACGATTACAACTAACAAACACCAACATGTTAGAAAAATTGCTTTCTGAATGTTCTTCGCCGACACACGCCGTATTGCTACATTCCCATATAAAAACAAGGTAAACAACAACAGAACAACAGCAAACACGTCCAGCTTCATATCATACAAAGAAATGTGTTTCATTGAGATCATTATGACGACCTTAAATCTTCGACATGCATCTCTCAAAACCCCGTATTTGTGAGCTTGTCGGTTGCCGATATCTTAAACGATAATGATATTGTGAATAGTTACTCGAATATCGAAAGCACCGAGACATGTTCACTACATATCGCTACACTGCGTTTAAATTACAGAGTATGTTAACGTGTATTCATATGTGCACTGATATAGTGTGCCTTAGTTTATCTGTTCTGCGCATGACTAATACAATACAGACAAGAATTTTGTAGAATCCTTGCCATGTGTGAGCGGGTTGAGGAATCGGACTCGGAGGGTAATACACTAAAAACTAAGAAATATGAAGGAAAACTTTATGTCAGTATCATTCCCGGAAACATCAAGGATCATTTTGAGAGTCTGCAACAGATGGAGGTTCGGAAGGATGACACGTTCATTCTCTCCTACCCAAAGTCAGGTATGTACACTTGCAAACTACATGGGCAACTTGACTGTTATTTCTTGTTTCATATCCGTGTTACCGAGTTTTGAAAGACAGAAACATTTAAAAAATTACTAAAATATACACCATGAACACAACTAGTGTCTATATCTAATGTTTGACCTAAACATTAATTTTGATAAGAAGCGATGGAAGTGGCCTTCAGTAACAAAATGCCAACAGAAATTCATTTTTACTTGTCATTATGATTATGGTTGGAAGATTGTACAAAAGGCACAATAGTGAATAGCATTTTTATACAAATTCGATGTATTAAATCTAACATATGGATGATAAAGAATATTGGAAGATAATTAATAGCAATTGCAATTGTATTTATTAACCCCACCCCCTCCTGAAAATCGATATAGATTATTGCATGGACAAATACTGTAAAATGAATATTTTTAAAGCATTTTAATGTTGGACCGTATTGTGATTTGTTGAATTTTAAGACATAGTTTAAATATCAATCAAAATACTAAGCCGAAATGCATTATATAACAGAATGTGTCTTTCAGGTTCTTTCATAACTTAAAATCCCGGACCTGCAATGTTAGCCTATTGTTATGGTTATGAGCTACACAATAATGCGGTTTGGGTCATGATATTAAATACATCAGAGAGAATATACACGCATGCTATATCTATTACACGTGAATAAATATCAACTCCTAAAGTCAAAGTCGAGATGGGATCACGTTACAGAATAAAATGAAATGCAATTATTCTTATATACACTCACATGTTCATGTATACAAATTTGATAAGAATTGAAAAAGAGCAGTAACCGTTATGCATGGATTCAGATATGTGTCTGACCTAGACCTACAGGGCTGTATACGTTTGTCGCTAAAACCGGATACACGGGTGATAGAGTTTGAATCAGTGGCATGTTATGTAATCACACACGTTTATTTCCGATAATGTGATACTCGGTTGATTTCATGACAGCAGTAAGTGGGTAATTTACTCAGCACAGTAAACGTTATTCGGAATAACGAATAACTTCTTAACTTTACTTTAACTTTGAAGTAAAATATGCATCAGTATAACAACTCTTGTTGATTACTTCTAGGATGACGTCACCAAATTTAATTTTATTGAAGGCTAGAATCAATCAATTGACAATTTATTGATCTATAAATTGAGCAAGACAAGCGAGAAAACAACACTTTTTCATCCTTAAATCATCAGGTCACCTGTTCAAATCATCCCGAGTCCTTTGTTAGCGCGTCCTTAAATATACATTCATATCCCATGACCTAAATATTTTGACAAGTACTTGTTAAATCATTCTGAAGGTGCATAAGTAGCTTCAATTAGTCCCTAGTTGTACATTGTCCCATTTCTGAAAAAAAGATCTTGACATCAATTTATCATTTTCGTTATTTACCGAGGAATACTGGATTAATCAATCTCAAAGAAATAAAGGTTCATATTAATGATGCATTGGCCGATTTGAATACTAAACAAAAACAAAATGGCTGACAGGCGGTGATTGTGGATTTTGACAATAGAATTAATTTATTTCTTTTTCTCGAGAAGTACTTGAACATTCTGAAAGTTGCCGTTTTTGTTTTTGTTTTTTTTTTTTTTTTTTTACATTCCCTCTGACTCTTTCCTTCCCTACTTAGGATTCAAAATTTTGTCCTTTAACATCATGGACGAGTCCGAGAAGGACGAGACAGCTGTATGATGTAGCATCACTGATGAGTCCGAGCAGGCCGACACCGATATATGGTTCAGGTTACTACATGATTTAGCTCAACTTTATCTATCTCTCCAGTTCTTTTGCTTATTATTTCATTACTACATGACTAACTCAAACGACAATGAACAACAGTGTGCAATGTAATAAATATTAAGAAACATACATATACGAAATTTGAGAAAGATTCATCCTGAACTTCTCCAGGAAATAACCATTCTAATATCAACTGCCAAAACGAACATGGCAACCAGACAACCATTTGGTTTAGCTAATCAAGCAGTCTAAAAATCGAAAGGCGGTATTGGGAATCTGCATATGAAATTTAATGATTATACATATATCCTTATAAATAGCAATAAGAAACATTTAATGTCAAAAATAGCGAGAGCAATCTGTAGCTGTCAAACTTCAAGATAGCTGCCTGTCGACCGTTTAATTTTTTCCCAGTCAGCTCAAAATGTAAAAAATGGGAGCCAAAAGAACTACGTAAAAATTTGAGAATAATTCCTGTACTTATCAAGAAATTACTTGACAAATTATAACTTTAAATATACAAGATTACTACCTGTCGACCATACTGTTTTTCAGATCAGTCCGAAAATGGGACAATACACAACAAGAACCTATGAAATTTGAGAATGATCTTCCCGTACCGAAATAACCATCATGTCGGCTATATTGCTTTTCGCATCTGTCAGTGCACGATATGAAACATAAGGGAACCTGCTTTTGAAATTTGAGATCTACCACTTCTCATGAAAAAAAAATACAGTCAAAATCCAAGATTGGTGCCTATCGGCGATGTTGTTTTTAACATCAGTCTAAAATAGGACAATGATCAAAAGCACGAAAGAGAAGATTTGAAATTTGGAATAACCAATACAAAAAATAGCGACAGTAAAAGCTGTTAAAGGACGGATAGGCGACGGACAACGGACCATAGACTGAGGAGGTGGGGCTGAGATTGAAACAGCAGACTTCCTGATCAAAAAAGGAGTTATTATCCTGTTCCTCTATCACAATCCATAGATCGAATTGTCAATTTGCAGATTTTAGACGTCAGTAAGATTTAATTTGTTGACGTCATCCTAGTAGTGAACAAAGAAGTTATTATACAAATTCATAAATAGGAAATAATTCAAAATAGGAACTTTTCTTTGTCCCCGATAAATTTATTCGTTATTCTGAAGATTGAATAACGAATAACTGCCAAACTTTATTTCACTAACTTACTAACATTCCTTGCAGAATTCATACTTACTTAAATATCTTGGAAACACGCATTTGAAGCTCTTACAATGAATGCATGGACACGGTTGATAGAAGGTGTAACTTCATTTTGACTGTTGTGACGTGAGTTTGCATTGACTAACAGCTTCCACTGAGCTTTCAGCGTAAAATCCATGTCGTTAAGCAATTTTACTTTGTAAGATTGTCTGGACTTTTAATAATCATCACCCAACCTCTAATTCAATAAAACTAGGGCAAAATATGAACAAAATAAATACACGGAGACTCCTGAGAAAGTACAAGGAGAATAAGACTGGGTGTTCCAAAACGTTAGCGTCCTCTGCTTCATCAGCGACACCCATCAGGTAAACCATGGTCAATCTAAACTGAGAACAAGGTATACAACATCGGAACAAACAAGTAAACTAACAATCATCAAACACATCCAGCTTCATATCGCACAAAGAAACAAAATGACGATCGTTAAACTTTCCCCCATACTTTTAAAAGCCTGTATTACGAGTTTGTCCGTCAGCTGATGACATCTTGCACAAAAATTGTAAAGATAGGAGCAGGACATTGTTTATCAAATCAATTGTGACTTGTAAACACCAGGTTTTGGATGCAGGGATGTTCCTATCCACAAGTGGAAAATTCACAATAAACCAACAAGAAATAGTATCGGAACCGTTGCATTATTTAAATTTCGTGTGATATATCATTTTTGTAAACATGATGTTTGTGTTGCTGCTGCATTTATCGACAAAACGTTTAGACTTGTATTGCTGCATTCACAAATCACCATATGTCTGTTTAAAAGTGTCAGCCATTAGTGACAATGATTGGAAAATCTGAAGAAGATACTCACTTACAATATTGTCGTAAGCAACGTAACAAACGGATTAAATGACAAGACGATGGTAATTGAGTTGTCATCATTTTCTTATTCGCAGGAACACATTGGGTGTTTACCATCGCCAGTATGCTCCGTACTGGAAATTCTGCTTATATAGGATCTCCACACTTCTTGGACTACAACGACGTCGACTACTTGAACAAGTTACCATCACCAAGACTTCTCGCCTCCCACATGACCTTTGACAGACTCCCTCTTCAGGTCAGGGAAGGAAAAGGAAAGGTGTTTGTTGTTTCCAGGAATCCTAAAGATGTTGCTGTTTCTTTGTATACGTTTCTGATGAAACTTACAGTTTCGGATTTCTCAGGAACTTGGGAAGGCTTTCTCAAATTCTACATGGAAGGCAAAAGTATGTATCACGTGACAACATTTAACATGCATATACATTGGTATTGTGACGTTTTCTTAAGAGAGAGGAGGGATGAGAGAGGGGTGAGAAAGTGAGAGTGAAGGTTTATCAAGTAAACGACGTCGTCAGTTACTAAAGAAAAGACTACACAGGTTGTCATCTACGGCATCAAAGGCCTTTCAGAAACCATTCAGAGGACTTACCGTGGTCATAGTATTACGAAAGCCGTGCACATCACAAGATTCTCCGAAATGTCCAAGACCATTGTAAGGATAAAGCTCTAAAAACTTAAGCAATTATTCCTACGACGTACCCATTTCAAAGCAAAACAGGACTATTTGCCTCACTAACCTTTTCAGGCCTTGATCTTACAGTTGAAACTTTTTAGGCCATTCGTTTCTCATAGAAATTGAACTGCTATTATCAATATTTGATCATTCTTTAAGTTACTTTTCCGAATGGCTTATTATATTTTCATCTGTAGTTTAATAAAAACGTAAAATTACTGTTAATATCTTTAAAACACATCTCGATAACGAAAAAGGCGATATAACTGATATTTCGATCTTACATTGTCACTGCCCCCTTTTTTTTATTTCATTAATTAATTTGGCTGAACTAAAAGTATCCGTTGAAATGATTCGTTTGAAAAAATCCGACTTGACATGATCACGCCGCGTGATATAAACTAAGGACGCTCCCAAAGTCAGACAATGACATCGTCACGCTTGGCTGATTTCAGGGTAGATTGTCGAGAGGGGAGATCTTCATTGTCGCCATGGCTCATATGACAAACACGTAGTGAAGATAGGTATAAAGAACAAAAACGATATTCGTTTGTGTCAGAACCCTGATTTGCAAACTTATCATGAATGAGCCACCCGCATTCATTTAGTTTGCAAATCATCTTTTCTTTCAAATCAAAATGGAACAGAAATATCCCTATCAGAGTTAGATTGAGGGACTGGTTCACTGTTCTTTATACCTTATTTGGTAAGAGCTCTAGAGAGAGAGAGAGAGAGGGGTGTATAACACGAGTTTTGCATGTTTAGAATACTTTGTATATATGTAGATCATGCACCTGTTCCTTTTCCATGCAAGGAAAACATGTGATACACTGTCCACATACCTAAACTCACAACTTGTCAATGTCTATCACTTCCCGTTTTGTTGTTGTGGAATGTTGTAGGAAATTTACCTTTACATTTTAGGGTCAGATTTGTCTTGGTTATTGTTTATTACTACAAAATGGGAAATTTTTAGAACAAACTTATGTACACTTACATTGTAAAAGAAATGCATATGATATAAGAGTTATTTCATTTCATATGTAATTGTAAAAGGTGTTAATCTATTGCAAAGGAGCGACATCCAACTTCAAAGCTTTTACAATATACCGTGATACGACCTCGAGATTCGTTTGATGTACATCAAAGGATCAAACTAGACTTTTCCTCTTGTCCACAAGGTGTCGCACATGGAACCTTGAATTTTGCCATGACATGTTTCTGGGGCACAGAGATCGAAAGTGGTCGTAACCACATAGAGTATCGAGGATGTATGCAGGAACGAGGATTGAGCTCACATCACATGTGATCTGTTAATGTAGCCGTTCACTGTGCTTTGCTTCATGATTAGATAATATTGCCTCAGGCATCGTCATATTACCGTAAGCCGAGTAGAAGCATTTAGACGTTTATAATAAACTTTATCTATTGACAACCACTGCGCCTCCCGACCACCGTTTTGTAACTCACGTCGACACAATGTACAAAAATGTATTAAAATCGTTATGTTATCAGAGCTAGATCATTACAGGTAAGTATCAAGAGGTCCGCTAGATACCAATCAAAACCGAATTTACACATATCCAAGTGTGTTCCATGCAAAAGTGTAACGAGGGTCACTTTTTCACTACAAAAGTAGTTAAATAATGAGCATACAAGAGTGTAACGAAATATTTACTCCGGCCTATCGGTCGACTTATAGGTGTGAAAGAGTTTAACTGACCTGCCGATATACGTCTTCGTGTTGGATGTCTTAGGATCAAGACCTGTATTGAAAGGGGAAAGATAGTGAAATTAGTCCATAACCCATATCAACCATTATACCTGAAGGTATAAAAGTGTAGAAAACCCGTTATGTGCCTCTATTTAGGATGAATTCAGTTGAAATCATGTGTTGAAGATGTATGGAAAGACGTGTGGGACTCCCGATTCCGTTCGAGACTTGTAGTAAGAATAAAGAATACTTGCATGGTATATAAAAATGTTGAGATAATACATGTATCAAGAGTGTGACATCAATATAGATACAAACACCTGAGACTGTATTATCACAGTTAACTGCCTTATACTAACCCTGTTGTCGACGAAACTAATACTGCTTACGCATCGAATGACACCGTGTCTTTTATTTGTGCTCTTTTTTATAATTTAAACTTTATACTGATGTCTCCGTTTTGTTTCAGTGATGTATGGTTCCTGGTTCGATACCTTTTTCGATTGGGAGAATATCAAGGACACATACAGTGGAGGAAATATCATGTACTTGGTTTATGAAGACTTGAAACAAGTAGGTAATTCTCCGGTGGTAGATAAGGTATATTATTGTCAATTGTAAGAGTCACAAATACTAGAATAACCTTTATTTGCAAATGTGATATTCCGCATTGTGGGTGTTTTCCGCTTTGATATTAACAAATACCCGGATGGAAGAGAGGTTAGCAGGGCGGAAACAGGAGTACCGAGGAAGCCCTTCCGATCAATTTTTAATTTGAATTGTTCAAATCATTGACGATTAAACATTGTAATCTGTAAATTTTAAGCAATAAGCATTGATTGTTTTAATTTGCAGGATCTCTTTCACAACATTACTAAGATGGCATCGTTCTTGGGTGTAACCCACGACAAGTCCTTCCTTGAAGAAGTCACTGAGAGGTGCACTTTTAAAACAATGGTTAAGACAATCATGCAAGAAATTAAGCCACAAGAGCAAGAATACATCAAGAAAGTGTCAGAGGAAAAGAAGTTACCGATCTATAGGAAAGGTATTATAAAGATCAATATGTCATAAAAACATTACGTTACAGTACATACAGAAATCAATTAATGTCGTGATGCTATAACAAACGCTGGTTATTTGTCTAATACTGTGACAAAATTAACTATATCGTTTATTCATAATTTTGAGGAGAGTGAAATTTCCATTCCAGTATGTGCCATTAAGTATGGTACTTCAGTCAAATGTATTGAATTACTGGGAAGTCATTGTGTATATATATATATATATATATATAACAAATACTTTAAAACCAAACAAATATGTAATATAACGATTTAATGTAACGCATAAATGGCTGCTATACATCCACACGGAACAAACATACAACTAATATTTATTCCAAATTTATAACATATTTGTATGTTTCTTGTGATGACATATACTTATTGATGGGGTTAACTATTTGACTACCGAGTCTAAAGATAATAAAGAATTTTCAACGGAAAAACAATAGTAACCCCTGAACTCTCTGGCAGGTGCTCGGCTTAAATGTTGTGTGTACGAGAAAGCTTATATTTAATTCAATATCAAAACAGCCATGTGTACGTTGTAAGTATTTGATATTGTGTTTTGTGCCAATGTATTTTTGTTTATCACATAACTATCCATCGTTATATAAACGTCGATATGGCTACATATGAAACATTTATGACAACGCCTGTTGGAGCTATACTTGGCAGACGGTTCCCCTTGTTTCCACTGTGACGTCATTTTATGACGTCATATGCATCGTGATGTCAACAAAGAAGTCATAGACTGAGAATATCGACAATACATTTTGCATCAGTCTTTGAAAATGTTGTTTTCACGAATGCTTGCAAAATATCTAAGTTATGTAATAAAAAATCTTACATTGATTGCCATTCAAATGAGATGTATGAAACTTGCATTTAAGCTGTTACAAAGCTCAGTAAAATTGCAAATTCTTAGACTTGTTAATTAAAAAAATGAAAACTCGTGGAAGATCCACGGTAATTATAAGCTATGTCTAATCAATATAACCTTTTTTAGTAATCCTGATTGTTATACTGATTTTATTTGTAATTTCAGGAGAGGTTGGTGATTGGAAGAATCATTTCACAGTGGCACAAAACGAAACATTCGATAGACTTTACGAAGAACAAATGCGCGACTCAAAGTTTAAATTTAGGTTTGAATAATGGAAATATTATATTTCAAATAAAGAGAGACAGAGAAAAATTGATTCTTTCTGTGGTTGAACCAGAGTTTACTTTTAAAACGCTTTCCAGATTTAAAAAAAATGTTTCAGAAGTCAAAAATTAGAAATCGTTCTGAAGTAATGAGACTTTTAGTAGCTTCTATTGATCTGGATTTTTGTAATTGTTTTCATTGCAGTTTGAATTATACCTTTTTGGTGCAATGTTACTTTACACGCATATATATTCTATTTCAGGATTTTTGTATTCTTTTATTCACAAATTGTCTAAACTACATGTAGAATTAAAAGTTCATAAAAACCACACAGACACAAATAAGTATATAACACCAATCATTGTAAAAGCAATGTTATATGCTATCTTTAATGTTGCCATGGTAGGAATAGATTCAAACAACAGGGAAAACCTAGAGACTGTAATCGCTTAACAGGATCGACAAGGGAGATAATTATGAAAGAGCATTATCACCGGATTACATAGAATGTTCCTTTGTCTCTAAAGTTTTTTTTACCTCAATGGAAATAGATCAGTTTGATTAGTCAGTCATCAGAACGTGCTCATTTTACGTACAGTAGGTAATTCAATATAAGATTTGTCTTTAATCAGAAACTATATACACACAAGGTGATAAAGGCTTAGTATAGGACGTGTTATCTAACATAGATAAATATTTTTCACATGCTGCCCGATGATAACATACAACATACTTGGTAATTTGAACAAGATTACAGTTCATTCTGTTGAAGTAAAAATGTGTGAGTGGGTTGAAGAATCGGACTCGGAGGGTACTTACTTGAAAACAAAGAAATACGAAGGAAAACTTTATGTCAGTATCATTCCCGGAAACATCAAGGATCATCTTGAGAGTCTGCAACAGCTGGAGGTTCGGGAAGATGACACGTTCATTCTGTCCTACCCAAAGTCAGGTATAGTTATACAAAGCAAACTATAAAATCGGTTGTTTTCTTAGAGTCCTGTAACAAAGAAGAGGCCTGGCGGCTTGGCTGGTAATGTAACGTTAGATATGCACCCTCGTTGAAAATAGACTGCGATATTTACAGTCGATTTCGAATGCCTAGCTTGAATACTTCTTTGGTAACCCCTCTCAAATATAATTCTGATAACGTATCGCGATAGTTTTGGAAACAAGGGAGATTTTGTATACACGAACACATTGATGACGGGCAAAACTGACAGCGATAGCAGTGACATAGTCAGTAAAATCCCCCCCCCCCCCTTTTTTTTGTATGGGTGTGGCAAATTTTGTTGGATAAGTCTAAATCAATTCAGGATTAAGAAATGAGTAGCATTAATCGCCAACAAATTCAAGTGGGAATGAAAGCCATTTATATTCATAGGTGACGGTGTTTCGTGATATAAAAAAAATTACATATCGAAACTGTTGATTAACAGATAAAGATTTCCTTGTAAAATTACTAACTGTTGATATAGATTTAATCGAAGACCAACTTATTAGGTGAAACACTAATAATTAACAATCAATAAAAATATGCGTCGTTTTACGGTGCCGTTGCTTAAATTTATTGATAAATTTATCACAATATTACACCATATACTTATATAGTATATACATGTATATGTATTTATTTCCAAAAATGGAAAGGACAAGCCACTACTACCACCAATTTTCATATACATCTTTTTGTTTGAATTGTTTAATATAATGACAATTTGGAGCGTTATAATAATTAAGTCCGTATATAATGGTAATCTAAAATATATATATAAAACATACATATGGAAATCCAACCATGTAAAATTCATAAGTTCAGTGAAATGGCAGAGATCTAATCACACTCAGTAATCCGACCATCGTCCATACTGACCTGTAGACAGGTAAGTAACAGAGATTAATAACACAAAAGAGGCGTTACCCTAGGTAAAGGAAACTGGAAATATAAGTAAACAATTTCCGGTATAAACAAATAAGTACACTACGACATTAACATTAAATAACGTAATTGACTCGGATACTTACTTAGATTAAGAAAATAATAATAGCATTGACCAGGGGAGAGCTCGAGAGTCACCCTGAAAACATGTGCACGAGAACCGTGTAAATGTAAATTAACGATCAAGTAAAAAGATGTGGAAACTATTGAAAAATTCTTTATGGTACAAACACAACACATGTGTAATGAAGTGAAGATAACCCCACACTTCACTGAAGTGTAGCTAGCTGGCGTTATCACATGTGGTTCCGGAATAACCTTGACTTTTACTGATAATCCTAACCTTGATTTCTGAACATGTGATTAATAAAATCTGTTACCTGTAACTGAGCGAGATCGTGGTATCTCAGTCGAGGGTTCAGATCCTGTAACATAATCCCAACAGAGGAGTTAGCCGAGGTCAGAATGTTACAGGATCTCGCTCAGTTACAAGTAATGGATTCTTTTTCTCGCACCTACTACTCTGAAAATTATTCAATATTTCATCAGAGTTTGGCGTATCCCGTGGGAGCCTCAGACTACGCCACAGCCTCTTCACTTTTAAACAATATTTGGATAGTGCCGCGTAAACAATGTAGGCCGCACGTACAGTGAAGATTTTCTATTTTTTTTTAAATATGATTAACTAAATAGCATATCGTTGAAATATAAACGACATAACCTACGTTTTTGTTTAAATGCACGGGTGTAGGTGCCACATACGCCTACACGCGGATGAATGCACCGATGTGTAAAAAATTCCGCGAAAACGCACGTTAGAGTACTAGACTGATTTGTTGTGATGAACTCTGATATAATGGGCAGATTGTGATCCTTTGCTATAATTCCTTATGAAATCAAGGATGTGCGTAATTATTCTGGGGGTCCCTTAACAAAATTGAATATGGAACCTGGGTCATTCGTTTCACTATATTGCGAGGAATGTGGGTCTTGAATATACAACCGAGGTACACGTTGTAATACAAATCAGTTAGGTTAATTAATATCATTTCAACAATGTATCACTTTCCATTACGTTTGAACTTAAAATTCAATTTCACCTTTCAGAATATCCAAAACTTTGTAGGTGACGTCTAGACAGTCAACAAGGATACGATGTGTTCATCGATCACAATATTATCAGACCCGTTTGAAAATAAACGAGTTGATTCCGTTGCTTATGAAACTATAATTTTGATACCGATCTGTTTAACTTGTCTAGAATATTCCGAAATTGATTTCGGTAAAATACATACAAGAGATCCCCAAGTGATCTTCGCGGATCGTTTCTCCTAAAAAAGGCGAATAGACGATGGAGCTTTTAAAATATAGGCGGTCGACAGACCTTGAAGGGACGGAAGGGAGAGATGGACAGCCCAACACCTTCTTAGTTTAAACATATTTTATTGCCAAAATAAATTTGAACAAGGGAATTGGGCACAAGTTATTACAACTTATTGGAGCCCTCTCCCAACATACATTTTCAAATACATGTTTATAAAGAGATAGGCTTGTATTTGAACAGTATGGAACTTCTCTTCTTTGTGTATAGAGATACAAAGCAATACAAATCTGAGGAACGGGATGGGATAGGCCACCGTTTAAGAAAACAGTTAAAAAGTGCATCCCTCAAAGCTTTAATCCTGGATCTGCCCTCTGAGACGTAAAATGTATTTGACGAATTTCAGGGTCAGATTCAAATAGTTGAAAAGGAAATAAATCTATAGGACAAAGCGTTCGTGGTCACCTGGTACTAGTCTTAGCTGAGGTTATGGAAAGGGCGTTAACGCAACTATAAACCATTGAAGGTTACATAATAAATCTAATTCCACATATGATTACACTGTATGTTTGCGTTCACGTCAATAGATAGATCACTAAAGATCTCATGTCACATTGGTCATATATCAAAATCAATCCTTTTATTTCTATACCTTATAGCAAAAAAGGCTGTGACAAGTTATGAACACCAGGAAAGGTGTGTCAGAATGAGACAACCGATCTAATATAACTGATGATAGAACAGGAGAATAAGGAGTTGAGACAGGAGAGGGCAATGACGTAGAATAAAGCAAAGGAAATGAAGATTATAGTAGGGATGATGATTTAAACAGAAGTGTTGTCAGATGACATAAAAATAAGCAGATATATGATGAATTAAGTGATTTGTTAACTTTTACATAGGGGCCATCGGTGTTTATCAATATAGTATATTTTAACGGCAAAATGAAAGTCTATATGTTATATTTCAAATTGCCATCAATTCCCGTCAATTTTCAAACTTGCTTGATTCCGCATATAAAAAAAAGACAGATATATGCACAGGTCAAACAAATCATTAATATCAGTTAGTATTACATATTTTTCTTTTGCATGTTTTCAAAGTTATGTCAAAGATTAATATATAGGTCAACAAAGGTCAAGTAAGTAATCAATATCAATCAATAATGTCGTATTATTACATTTTATTACAACGCAAAGTTAATGGCAAAGGTCAATGTATAGGTCATCTTAGGTCACAGGTCAAATAAATGATCAATAGTAATCAATATTGTATACTTTTAAGTTTAAGTCAAAGGACCCACTTCCCCCTACCCTATCCCCACTCTCAACACCGCCCGACGCCCATACTTACCAGCCAATCGTGGAAACAACATTTATTTCGCAATATTGTCGATCTCCAAAGAAGTATCTGAAAGTGGTCGTTTTTCAACGGACACTTTTCAATGTGCTGACCATGAAAAACGGACCCTCTTCTAAACTCTGTTTTCAACGGCAGAGTCAATTTTCCACGACTAGTTGGTTCTGTTTTCAACATCGGAAATGGACCCCAGGTCCGTTTTCAACGGAGGGCAATTTTCAACGTTACTTCGCTCACCTGAGATAAGCGATAATTGATAAAAAGGTTGTAGGGTAAGTAGCTTTAAGTGTCATGAAAACGAAGGTGTGACATAATATTAAGCCAGTGTCAATATATGCCTACTAGTAAGACTGTTATCCTACAGAGTAATGTATACAGATAATTCTTACCAAGTTATTTCCAATAGATAATAAACAAATTATGCTCAAAAATGAAGTTTTCCTATATAAACTATAATAAACTTGAACCCCTCCACGAGGATAAAGTGAGACCAAGGGGTCATGAAGATCACAATTTCGGCAAAGCACTTTAAGATCCTTAAAACCATGAAGAGGGTTTGATTATATTCTTTCTGGGTGTTAAGAGACATTTTTTTTTTCATTTTAGTCAATTTTGCCCATTTGGTCCCACTCATCAGCCCTTGGGGAATAGCCTGGATCAATATGTGCATACCATTAATCTGCCGTCTTTTGCAAATAATGTTAACCAAGTTTGGAATATTTCCTATGGATATAAATCAAAGTATACACACAAATGTGTTATCCTAAATAAACTACAATAAACTTTACCCCTTCCCAGAGAGAAATGTGAGACCCTGGGGCCATGAAATTCTAAATTTTCGTACAGCACCTTAAGACGCGTACATCTATGAAGAGCATTTGATTCTGTTGAGAAGACTTTTTAAATCTGAGTCAATTTGACCCCTTTTGGCCCCACCCCTCAGGTCCCTTGGGGGTTGGGACCCGATAATTCACTATTTTGGTTCATTCTGGACTTTCTCCAAAATTTCATTGAAATTGATTCAGGGTTTTTTGAGAAGATATCGAAAATGTTAAAAGTTTATGGACGCGGAAAAATAAGTGCTGCAAGATATTGATTTTTTACTTTTAAATTACTTTCCAAAATCTAATATTTCGAAATGTTATCACCAGAACAAAAGTTATTTTTTTCTGTCTTCTCAGGATGTACATTTTGAGCATCCTTATATAACACTGAAAAACGTTTTCGGTCCCGTCCGATCTTTTTTTTTTTTTTTTTATCAACGGCTTGTTTTTTCTGTTTTTACTTTTTATGGATCAGCTTATTCTTCATAATTCATATTCTTGCACTATTTGATTATCAACAGTCCCTTGACATTAATGATGCAGTACTGCTTGCAAAGAACAAAATAACACTTTAAGGTTAAACGAATCCGACACCAGGATAACTACATTATCGCCATATTCTCCGAATAGGCGAGCAAATGACACCCTATCCAATATATTCAAGAAACATTTATCGACAAAACGTTTAGACTTGTATTGTTGCATTCACAAATCATCATATGTCTGTTTAAAAGTGTCATCCATTAGTGACAATGATTTGAAAATCTGAAGAAGATACTCACTTACAATATTGTCGTAAGCAACGTAACAAACGGATTAAATGACAAACCGATGGTAATTGAGTTGTTATCATTTTCTTATTCGCAGGAACACATTGGGTGTTTACCATCGCCAGTATGCTCCGTACCGGAAATTCTGCTTATATAGGATCTCCACACTTCTTGGACTACAACGACGTCGACTACTTGAACAAGTTACCATCACCAAGACTTCTCGCCTCCCACATGACCTTTGACAGACTCCCTCTTCAGGTCAGGGAAGGAAAAGGAAAGGTGTTTGTTGTTTCCAGGAATCCCAAAGACGTTGCTGTTTCCCTTTATACCTTTTTGATGAAGTTAAAAACCAAGGATTTCTCAGGATCGTGGGAGGGATTTCTCAGGTTTTATATGGAGGGTAAAAGTACGTGTTATTAACATACATTGATGACTTAAGTTCTTACAAAGAGTACATCGATTTAACGAGGAATTTTCCGTATTTTAAAACCTTGTTTGACCATTATTTCATTACCAGATTACTGCAAATATAAAAGGAGAAGAAAAAAGTATTTAAAAGACTCAACAAGATGTCGCTTTAACATAGGTTTGACACCGATGTCCAGTGATTAAACAACATTCAATGACAGTCCAAATATCATTTTAGTTATCTGTCATATAGCATCATTATTTCCCAAAATCAGCCAGATATCGAAATACTGAACTGATACGCCTCTGTCTGAAATACATGTGAACAACAGATACTGGTAGAACTTACACTTCGCTACTTCATTTAACGTGTTATTTCAGTTTTCTTGTTTCGTGTTTTCAGTTGTTTATGGTTCTTGGTTCGATACGCTTTTTGACTGGGAGAAGATCAAGACTACGTACAAAGGAGACAATATCATGTATTTAGTGTACGAAGAAATGAAACAAGTAAGGTCCATGCTGAAAGTGTCCTTTGTTTTCTATTAATGAAAGTTATTAAACAAACTAAAGATAAATAAATAACTACATATGTATCTATCGGATATACATTGAAATGTAAGTATTTCCATGAAAGCATGTTTCGATTTGAAATTTTCTTTTCCCACAGAAATTGTAAAATAAAATAAAATGTAATTGGACGTCTTAATCTGATTGCAGGATCTCCTTTCCGAAATCAATAAAATGGCGACCTTTTTAGGTGTGGAGTACGACAAGTCATTTCTCGAGGAAGTCACTGAAAGAAACCAGTTTAAAACGATGGTGAAAACCATCATCGAAGAAATCAAACCACAAGACCAGCAGTTTATCCATAAAGTGTCCGACGAAAAGAAGCTTCCTATCTATAGGAAAGGTATGATACAAAATAAGATCAGTAATATAACTTATGTAATTCACGTGTAAAGAATTCATTATTTGTCTTGAGATCCTATCGCGATAATAGCGAAAAGAAGACGAATGAAAACTTTACTCGCCACACATAATAAGTTTACCAAATAAACATATCAATGTTTAAGTATCATTAGTTGGTGTACAGAAAGGCTCTTAGAGGTCCTATTAACAAGCAACCGCCATGATGAAAGCCAGTTACAGGTACATTGTCTCCGTAGTGTCACAGAAGCCAGTGTAAGATAGTATATAGTAACACTAGCGCATATCCTCATATAATCCCGCTTCCATACTTTATGTATTTCCAGGAGAGGTCGGAGATTGGAAGAACCATTTTACAGTGGCACAAAATGAAGCATTCGACAGGCTTTACCAGGAACAAATGCGAGACTGTAAATGTACATTCAGATTTGATTAGAACAAGGTTGTGGGATCTGATAACATGCGGATGTACACATACTAACATCAGGGGAAGTGGTAAAAATATAAGAGGTGCTAATGAGTATTCGATATATTTAGGAATAAATTATTTTTCGTTGTTTATACGAAAAACGCAGCTATCTGATTCGACGATTTTTCTTTTCATTTCTCGAGGAAAGAAAAACTTCTATTAAAAAAAACTTATCATGAACGCTTATTCATTAAGTTTGCAAAAAGGTTATTTTTTCATACCAACATGAAACTAAATAAGATTCCTATCAAAGCTTAATTGAAATATAAATTTGAGGAGCAAACAACAGTCGGGAGGTATCAATCTAACACTAGTATATTTGTGTATTAGTGGGGGAAATCTTTTAGTCTTCCTGAAATACCTGTATCGTAGGCCTATGTCGAGTTGTTGAATGTTGAGTGATCAGCTGTTGTTTGTTAACAAAAGCATCCTTTAAATTTCAAGACCTATATAGATGAAATCTTTGTAAACTATGAATTAGGAATTGTTTAGATCGAAAGAGTATATGTTTTTCTACTCTGTTGTTATCTACACGAAATAAAATTGTTGATTTTGTAAAGATTCTCTATTTGTGTATCGCTATGTGGTCGCCGCCATATTGTTTTATTGGTAGTTACTATAGAACGTGGGTAGAAGTCAAACTCTATATTTCGCTAACGTATGTGCCATTGATTTTTTATCCCGTAAATGGCACCGCCATTGTCGGAATACACCTGCCACATTTAGATTTGCTGTGTTCGGCAGTGACGGTAAACAGCTAAATTTTAGCACGTGCGAAAATTCGACAGAATTACTCTCTGAATTTACTTAAATGTTACGTTTAGAAATATAAACAGTTGTTGAAATAAACGATTTTCCATGTTGAAAAGAAAATGTTGATCTATGCAAAACTCATAACAGCGCTGTTATAGCCGATGACGTTTGGAATTATATTTCCGTGCGAAGCAATTACTTTGGCGTCAATCATTAGGCAAAATTCAGCGTAACGTCAACATCAGGTAAACACAGATTGAACAGCAAAACTGTTTCAGTTTCAGCAGTCTGATTTTCAATCAATATTGCAAGGTAGATAGAATACATGTTCAGTGTCTTAAAATATAAACCGTATTTTGGCCAGGGTGATGAAAGACAAAAGTGGCGAGCTATTAAGACACTGACCATGTATTATCTATATATAACTACACATAATGATAGATTAGACTTTAACATTTCTATCTAGCATAAATCACACATGTGGTACGTACGTGTAGCCGATAAACGGTTGTTTTAATGACATTTCAGTCTGTTCAATCGCTCTGATCGCACGATAAAACTGTTGACATTGATATTTCGGCCGGATTCTGTGTACGTTTAAAATATGGTTCGGCAACGAAAATGGAGAATTAATAGGAGTTCCAGAGGAATAATGGAATAAATTTGCATTATTAATAGATTGTAACACGAAGATCGTTGCTTTTTCTGTACAATTTCATTTTTGATACTCTGTTGCAGTGTGGTGGCGGCAAACAACTTACGCGAACAACTTGGTTGTTCCTGCCTCCAAATATCCTTATGTGGTAATTTGGAGGCGCTGAGAGTTTAAATAGCGGAGTAGTGTCCGCAATTTCAGGTCTCTCTTCCCGACATCGAAAAGTGTGACAATATTTGCCGAGTTGATATTGTTATGTCAATAGGAGTTACCTCCCTTGTATTAATCGCAATATATTCCATTTGTCATTGATCTTGCAATAGAGAAATCGATACATTGATCAGTTTCCGTAAATAATTCTTTAATATTTTCTTGTTAATTTATTACAAGATCTTTGCCTCAAGTCATGTAATAGAGAAACTGACGCTTTCATTAATTTCCATAATTGTTAAATATTTTCTTCATTAACCTCTTTGTGGTTTAATATAGATGTGAATTGGTCATTCAGTATTGAATGGTAATATTAAGTTGTTTAGACTGATAACCAATGTTCGAGACTGTTTCCTATTGTATATGGAATTTGGTGTTGTTAGGAATATCTTGTAAACCAATTTATGTTATAAACTTTATTCTGTTATTGCAAATTGTTATTGTTGCTACAAAACTAATTATCTATTTACTACCAAAATTATTTCAAATGCTTATTTATAATACTAGATTTACTTAGGTATAAAATTACTGAATCATATTCTCGGCTCTCAGTTCTTCGTAGTTTTTTTGTTTTGTTTTGTTTTGTTGTGTTTTTTTTTTTTTTCGCTACCAATAAAATAAATAGAATAGCGACTAAACAGGTATATCCCACCCCTCTTATTATGATAATAAAGAGTGTAAAATATTGTGCCTGTGAATGCGAAACACCAGAATTAGATGTATTGCATATGATTTGCGGCGTTGGGATATTCTCTCACCTAATTGACTAAGAAGTCGATTTTTCAGCGAACTCAAGACAATATAGACTTGAGTGAGGAACCCTCACAGTAGAGACGACCAGCGAATTTGTTTTCAATATTCGTAGAGGATGCAGCACGAGCGAAAATATCAAAATTGTCAACCCCACGCGATGAAGTACATCTGTCACTAATCAAAAATATTAATTACATTTTCGTATCTTACATTGATACCAGTTTAAAACTGCTGATCTATCTATTTATGTACCCTGTTGTCATTACATAATATAATTACCCCGGTATATAATATAGTTTTATATGTTGGGCACAAGTGTGCAACTTATCTAACTTGAAACAAGTAAATAAAACACGTGTAACACTCTATGTTTTCAATGCAGATTGATAAGGATCAATAATACTGTATAGCTTCTAATTTTCGCGGGTCAGATCTTTTTAATACTCACTAAGATTCTATATAATTTATATATTGAAAACAAAGAAAATAAGACAATACAGTATATGGTCAATAGAGAACAATCGACAGCAACTGCAAGAAGAAAGCTGTAGATAAGCATCCATTTTATATATTAATACTGTATAACTGATCATTTTCGCGAGTCAAGATTTCTGAGATTTTCTTTTAAAATGATATTATCCCTGTGAAAACAATCGGCTATACGGTATACTGGTACATGCTGAATTATCGTAAGAAGTAACTCAGTAAACAGGTGATCTTCTCTCTTTTCTAAACACATCTATATATACAAAAGATCTCTTCATTTCTTTAACTACAACGATGTTGACATCCGGGACAAACTTCTATCATCGAGATTTTTTTACTCCCTCATGACCTTTGACCGACTTCCCCGTTATGTCAGAGAAGGAAATGGGAATGTGTTTGTTGTTTCCCAGAATTCTACAGACGTCGCTGTTTCCTTTAATGTATTTTCACGAAGTTACACAACATGGATTTTTTCAGAATCTTGTGGGGGTTTTCTATGGTTTGGAATGCAGGACAAAAGTAAGTATAGTAACAGTGTATTTGTAAATTAAAGAATCGCTCTTAATTAACTAGCACCTTGTAGATTATCTTCTGAAATTACACGTATAAATCATACAAATTTTAAAAATATGAATAACGGCCAAATGTATCACCTACAGCAAGGAAACCAAATACTCATAATCATTTTTTTTTAAAAAACCCATTAATTTGCAAGTACGAATCAATTTCTTAATAAGGATTGACTCATCAAACTCTTACATAAAACCGGAATTCTCGGATTGTCCAAAAAGATTGGTCAGAAGCTATCACCAGGTTATCTACTATCCGGATTTATTGAAATAATTAAGTATTTGTCAAATTATGTATAGTTATCGCTATTTGGTTTTACAAACTCTTATTATTCGAATTCAGTTTTTTTAATATTATACAGTATTTTAAAAATGATAATAGTGACTAGAACGACCTTATTCCGGCGGACTAAGACGAGGTATCTTGCCTAAGTATGGAATCAACTTCTCGAACAAACTGTAAAAGAAAATATCGTAAAGGGTTTTGAACACTTACTGGATCCTACGGACTAAGATAGATTATTTATATAATTTCAGTTCAATGTCAACTTCGACTGGTTTCGATTGCTACATAATATCATTTCGGACCTTCCGGAAAGAGGCGGAAAATACCGAATGATATAATACCTGACGTCACAGCACCGGGGAAACCCTTATATAAAATCGGGAATCCGCTGCTTGGCCCTTTTCACTTCCGGTAGGATTTCTTGACAGAAGCTGTCACTACACAGAAGAAACAATAAAGTATGGATAATCCAGCTAGAGTAAACACGATGGCAGGTATGTTAATAAATTACACATTGAAGTTGTATGTATTCTGATTCGTTATACGGACACGTGCAACAGTCTGTCTGTTGCATAACTTCTGACCACGGCGTCAGTTGTTGACATGTGTTTCAGGACTGTTTCATAACATGGAAACCACAGGGGATGTGTATAGACCTAACTTAAAATTATGTGTGTTAAACTTGAGATTTTCATCGGATTTTATAGTGACATATTCTAATGATAAAGCTCTAATACAGCATTTACATAAACAAAGAGATCTCAATATACTGCAGACTTTAATCTGTTGTTTATTTGGCTGAAATCCATTCACGTGAGAATGTTATCCGTGGTCATGGAAGAAATTCTATTTCTGTGTCTAGCAGCATATGTATGCAAAAGCTATCAATAAACACTGTATACATTATCACAGAAACCCAACATGAAATTAAAACAATGATAGAGTAAAACATAACAAATTCACAGGCACCTGCATTTGGAATGTAAACAATACTAGCAAAAATCCAGTCCACTATGCATCATTATTTTTCAAACGTATGCGTTCCAGATACAGGTGCCTAAGTCATAACACAGCAGCGTGTAATTGGATATTAGAGACATTGAAACAAGATAAGAATCACCTCATTACATGCAGATACTATTGAACACCTGCATGTCAGTCAGGTGTTGCAGTAAGGATGGAATTTAGTGTACAGGGAGAGAGTTCATGTTTAACTGACCACCTTCCTCTGATGGTTTGGCAGACTATTGAATACATTCATTGTATACATACCCAGATGACATTGTAACAGACAGTTTTCAAACTTATCCCTTTAATCATTAGGTTGTTAAAATAAGATTTCTGAATTAAAAGACTGTATATAATAAGGAGCTACATTGGTAAGAATTTTGAAAACTTCACTGGCCATGTGTTTCATTCTATCAATATGCAGGAAATACAACTTAATTCTTTAAAAGTTCAGATATTTTTGTTGTAAAATTATTCTCAATTAAAAAAACTGCTTTGTAACATAGCATGTGCTCTTGTGTGTAGTTTCAACTGCAGAAGTGACAAGTCAGGGAACAACAATTAAAACTGTAAAGAATTACTTGAAATTTAAGAATTTCCGTTGCTTGCTGATCAGATCACAAACAACAAATTCTTTTCTACTCGTACAATTGCTAGGTATGTATGCACATCAAATTTCAAATGTGCAGAAGCATGCATGCAGAACAAATGCAGAATGGAGAAACATGTGTCACAAATACCTGATCATACTATGCCTAAGGGTTAAACAAGCATACTGAGAACACTGTATTGCTAAAGCAATACATGTCCCTTATACCACTGACCCCTACAAGCTGTTAGAATCTTTAAAGGAATAAGTCTGCTAGAACACTGACAATAATTGTCTAATACTAGTAAAAGTGAACTGACCCAATAGCATTGGACCTCAAACTTATCCAAGATAATTTCATGCTCTGTGATTAGAATCTTGCAAAGAATGAAGCTGCTAGAGAGCTGACAACTTTCACAGATGCAGGGACAAACACAGATAGAGAGAAAAAAATAGTCCCATCCCCAGCTTCACTGGTAGGGGATTAATAATTCAAAGTCTCGTCTGTATAAATAAATGTATAGTTAACTTAAATATGTCTACTCCCATGGCACCCTTATGTAAAACTTAAACATTATGCACAGTTTTTTCCTTTCCTATGAAAATATTTATCAAGCAATCAAATACTCTGTATTAGAAAAAAGGGATAGCTACTCTAGCTGATCGAAATGTCAGATATAGTTATAAATATTTTGTAAAGCTGCTTTGTAAAGTGAAGCTATGATATATGCTCACAGGGCATAAAACGCATCAAGCAAGTATGTAGGCATCAAGCTTCCAAAATTATAGATACACTGTACATACATCAATACCGAGATATGTATACATAATTCAAGATTTATCTTTTTCAGTCAAGCTTGTGGAGGCCAATGATGCACCAGGAGGTGTTCAACTTGTCAATAGCAGACGCACAAACAAACATTCCTCCCCAATGGACCTTGTTGAACTGGCTTCCTCAATTCAACAGGTATATATACTAACAAGAAATTGAGTTAACAACCCATGTTTCCATTTACATATATCACAGAGATTGTCTTGTACACAATATTTAAAAAAAAAGAATGTCCAACAAGGACTGGTGTCTTTCATGACAACAAAGATTGCTGTTTTTCATAACAAGAATGAACACCTTTCATGACAAGAATTGGTGTCTGTCATGATAACAAGGATTCATGTCTTTCTTGACATACGGATTGGTGTCTTTTTTGGTTATCAGGATTGAATAGCCTATGTTATACAAATCAAAAGGACTTTTTATAGCATTTATTTTAATAAATGATAACAATTATTTTTAACAAGTTTGATATTAGCATTCTGGGTTATTTCCATACTTTATAATTAATTTGATTATCTCTGCTTATTTTCTAGGCTGATGAATTTGTGAAAGCTACAGCTGGCAGCAAGTTGACTGTGATTGCTGATCAAATAAAATATCTCCAAGAACAGGCTAGGAAGGTAGGTAACTCTAGACTATAAAGTACACAGATATGATATCTCCAGGAACAGACCAGGAAGATAGGTAACTCTAGACTAAAGTACACAGATATGATTTCTCCAGGAACAGACTAGGAAGGTAGGTAACTCTAGGCTATAAAGTACACAAATATGATATCTCCAGGAACAGGCTAGAAAGGTAGATAACTCTACACTATAATGTACACCAATATGATATCCAGGAACAGGCTAGGAAGGTAGACAACTCTAGACTATAAAGTACGCCAATATGATATCTTAAGGAATAGGCTAGGAAGGTAGGTAACTCTAGACTAGAAAGTACACCAATATGATATCTCAAGGAACAGGCTAGGAAGGTAGATAACTCTAGACTATAAAGTACACCAATATGATATCTTCAGGAACAGGCTAGGAAGGTAGATAACTCTAGACTATAAAGTACACCAATATGATATCTTCAGGAATAGGCTAGGAAGGTAGGTAACTCTAGACTAGAAAGTACACCAATATGATATCTCTAGGAACAGGCTAGGAAGGTAGATAATTCTAGACTATACAGTACACAGATATGATATCTCCAGGAACAGGCTAGGAAGGTAGATAACTCTAGACTATACAGTACACAGATATGATATCTCCAGGAACAAACTAGGAAGGTAGGTAACTCTTGACTAAAGTTCACAGATAAGATATCCCAGAACAGACATAGAAGGTACTCCTGGATGACTCAATAAAACTGAATGAATTCACAATGCACTTAATTTGATTTCTGCAGCGAGTGAATTTCACACAAGATAAAAATTTATTTTATTTTGAGTGTTCAGTGTATAATATTTTACAGTTGGCTTTTTTGGAGTTAGAAACATGTACACTGATGGGCAATGTCATCTTAAGTAAAGAGAACAATGGATGTACTCAAATTCACGGCTTATCTATTGAAATCCTTATCGACCACTATTATAGGGAAATCAAATTTCACACAGATACTAGCCATATGTACAGTATGTATTATATTTGCTGACAATTTTTTTACTTTTCAGGCACTGAAGGAGGCTCAAAGGGATAACATGATACACCATGCAGCATGTAACATGGTAAAGAAGCCTGGAACAGTGTACTACATGTACGAAAGGGAATCAGGCCAGAAGTACATGTCCATCCTATCACCTGAGGTAGGGCTTATCACTTATCAGTCAGAATTCAACCAGTTAGAAATTAGCACTAATAAATTAAATGTTGTTGATTGCTGCCTTCCACTAAGAAATATATATATATAGGTTTTGTTTGTATACTAATTAAGGTTTAAGTACAGTAATTAAATCTTACAGAGTAAGAAATTATATCTTCTGTAGTCTTTATTACTAGAGGCAAGGCAAACAGTCTACATAGATAGAATTACCTTGTCAACAGTCTATGTTATAAAACCTTGTCAGCAGTCTATGTTATAAAATCTTGTCAACAGTCTGTTATTAATCCTTGTCAACAGTCTATGTTATAAAACCTTGTTAACAGTCTATGTTATAAAACCTACAATGTTACATTATGGTGATATTGTTATTCTAGGAATGGGGAGCCTCATGTCCACACGAGTTTGTCGGAGCTTACAAACTTGAATTTGACATGTCATGGACACCTATTGAAGAAATGGAAAAACGGACAGAACAGTTTGCCTTGATAGACCAACTTTTAACAAGTAACCAGAAATCCATTTCAGACTCAGCAACTATTACAGTATTAGGAGATGAAAAGTCTGAGAAGTCCTGATGTTTCTGGAACCTAGCTGTAATCATGTGTACTACAGCTGGTTGTTACTAATGTTATACCTACAGTTGTTAGGTATGATTCCTGCTGTTATCCTGCAGTTTTAATACTGATTGTTATCATGTGTGATACAATCTGTCAGGTTTTATTTTTACAATCATGTGTGATACCAATTGTTATCCAAGGTGATAGCAAATGTTATCATTTGTGATACCAGCGGTTGTCATTTATTATAACTATTATCATGTTTGTCACCAGGTGTTATCATGTGTGTTGCCAATCCTTATCATGTAACATACACCTGTTATTATGTGTTTATTATGTGTAGTACTAGCTGTGTGCGATTCCCACGGACGTCGTTTGATGATTCTATGATACCAGCTGCTCTCGTATCTGATACCAGTTGTTAACATATGTGTTACAGGGTATTTTGTAAATCAAAATCAAGTCTCAAATCAAGTGACAGTGTGGAAGACATGTGACAGTTTCATTTGTCTAGTGACAGCTGCTGAAGTCATTTGACTGTTTTCTTACATCAAGTGACAGTTGCTGAAGTCATTGGACTGTGTCTTACATCAAATGACAATGTCTGAAGTCATTTGACAGTGTCTTCTTGAGTGTCTGAAGTCATTTGACTGTGTCTTACATCAAATGACAATGTCTGAAGCCACACTTAATGTAAACCTGTTGATATGAGATATTTAGGTGGCCATTTTAACTTCTCTCCAAACAGCTGGTGTCATTAACAACTTAGCAAAAATTTACATACAGTTAAAGTTGTTGTGTTTCATTAATGTACTAGGCATTTAATTTGGTTTTATTATCTTGTTTACCTGCATTTCTCTAAGTCACTACCAGTAATTTTCACATCTCAATAAAATAAAGATATGTATTCAGATTTTTCTCACAAATGAACTGGTTTTCATGTTATTCTCTCCCCCACCTCCCCCTCCCTTTTTATTAATTTTTATATTAATGGCTCCTAAACAGAAGATACATATGTGATTTTTTGAAGTTTTTGATGGAAAAGAAGAATAATTGTTTGTAAAGCATTTAAATTAAAACTAACAACAAGATCTATGTTTAGTAGTAAAATCTGTGCATGAGAATTACCTTGAACATGATGTATAGAAATGAAGTGTTACATTAGTGAATGTATAAGATTCTGGTTTGATAAACAGAAATAGGAACTATAATCAGGACTATCTTACTTTTATCAGTGTTTTAGCTTACCATTAAACTGTCACAGTGATCATCTGTTACAGCCATTTTCTTTTTCATAGCTTCTCAAGAGAAATAAGGCTTGAAAATTTCAAAAAAGTCACTTAACACAACAAAGTTAGTCTAGAAAAAAATAACATGGATTTTAATTTTCCTTTTAATGACAGAATTCTATACCTTTTTTATGATTGACAACATTTATTAAACTTGTGCAAATATATTTTTATAAAAAAAAAAAAAAAAACTATAGGCCCCATAGAACTCCTATAATTGGTTAATAATAGTTAACATTTACTTTATTGATTGTAATTTTTCTAGTATAGTAGAACATTTTAAATATATCGTATAATGGTACATGTTGGTGTGTCTGAAAGGTAGTAATTTATTATACCCATTACTGATGAGAGTTGAATGTATGAGAATGGTTTTAAGATGTAACACCCATTATTGATGAAAGTTGAACGTATGAGAATGGTTTTGAGATGTAATACCCATTACTGATGAGAGTTGAATGTATGAGAATGGTTTTAAGATGTAACACCCATTACTGATGAGAGTTGAACGTATGAGAATGGTTTTGAGATGTAATACCCATTATTGATGAGAGTTGAACATATGAGAATGGTTGTGAGATGCAATACAGGATGCATATATGTTAGCGTAAAGGAATATCTGATATATCAATTATTGATAATGAAAGGGAAATCAACATTTGGTATGAATCCAGATCATAAAGCACTCTTAAATTAAAAGAAAAAAGTCTTCAAAACTTTTTGTTTGTTTTCATTATTAGCTAACTACTGACAAGATACTTTATGTGAACTCATGTTATCCTGATTTTCTATTTCAACCAACTTCCAAGCAAGATAAAGGAGTAATAGCCAAGACAAAGGAGTAATAGCCAAGATTATGGAGTAATAGCCAAGATAAAGGAGTAATAGCCAAGATAAAGGAGTAATAGCCAAGATAATGGAGTAATGGCCAAGATAAAGGAGTAAAAGCCAAGATAATGGAGTAACAGCCAAGATAATGGAGTAATAGCCAAGATAAAGGAGTAATAGCCAAGATAATGGAGTAATAGCCAAGATAAAGGAGTAATAGCCAAGATAAAGGAATAATAGCCAAGATAAAGGAGTAATAGCCAAGATAATGGAGTAATAGCCAAGATAATGGAGTAATAGCCAAGATAATGGAGTAATAGCCAAGATAATGGAGTAATAGCCAAGATAAAGGAGTAATAGCCAAGATAATGGAGTAATAGCCAAGATAATGGAGTAATAGCCAAGATAATGGAGTAATAGCCAAGATAATGAAGTAATAGCCAAGATAATGGAGTAATAGTCAAGATAATGAAGTAATAGCCAAGATAATGAAGTAATAGCCAAGATAATGAAGTAATAGCCAAGATAATGGAGTAATAGCCAAGATAATGGAGTAATAGCCAAGGAGTAATAGCCAAGATAATGGAGTAATAGCCAAGATAATGGAGTAATAGCCAAGATAAAGGAGTAATAGCCAAGATAATGGAGTAATAGCCAAGATAAAGGAGTAATAGCCAAGATAAAGGAGTAATAGCCAAGATAATGGAGTAATAGCCAAGATAATGGAGTAATAGCCAAGATAAAGGAGTAATAGCCAAGATAATGGAGTAATAGCCAAGATAATAGAGTAATAGCCAAGATAATGGAGTAATAGCCAAGATAAAGGAGTAATAGCCAAGATAATGGAGTAATAGCCAAGATAATGGAGTAATAGCCAAGATAATGGAGTAATAGCCAAGATAATGGAGTAATAGCCAAGATAATGGAGTAATAGCCAAGATAAAGAAGTAATAGCCAAGATAATGGAGTAATAGCCAAGATAATGGAGTAATAGCCAAGATAAAGGAGTAATAGCCAAGATAATGAAGTAATAGCCAAGATAATGAAGACTCCAATTTTATAATTTTATGAGTTTTTGGACAAGAGACTTCAGCTTCTTTTCAGTTCTTTTTAAGACTAAACATTATGTTGTATTCTCAGTGTACTAGCAGTGTAGAAGGCTTCAGAAGCCTAGATTGACAATGATCAATGCATTGGTATGAATAACATCATAATACAAAGCCAATTAGATAAATGTTCTTCAAATAGTGATTAAAGCAGTTTTGTACATAGATCAATCTACAATGAAATAACAAGGAAAAGTTATGCATGTTAATCTTGAAACAAAACCGTTTGGAGGTTACTGTATTAAATTTTTAAAATGGCATTAATTATTGTCCTTCAATTAAAATTGTTTGTGGGATGCCAGTCCTGAAAATGAAGCAGTCCCAATCTTATCTGATGTTACATTTGCAGTCCTCCATACCAAGAAATATCAGCTATTTTGGTATACCATATCACATGTAAAAAGAAATAAAGAAACTCTGAATTTCATTACCACGAAATTTTATTTAACTTTTACTGAAAATTTCTTAAATTCAATACATCTGCTAATTTGTGAACAAAATAAAGGTGCTATACTTAATTTTTAAGTATATCCCGCCTGCAGGTTTTGAAATTGGTATCTCTATGAAAATATTCAAACTCAGTACATGAGGAACATGCAAAGTATTCTTATAATTTTCTTAAAATATGTTTCAAATTACATCTAATGATCATGAAGTGATTTATGCATCATGATACTGCTGTAGATTAAAGACAAAAGCAATTAAATTGGTCAGGGTATCATACACCAACTTTAGACTGACCAGATAGGGTCACACATCCAACTCAGGACTGTGACCATGGTTAAAAAATATATTGATAGGTGTAATCTCAAACTGAGATCTCAGATGTAAATTTATGTATAGGATCTTCCTTGAGAGCTCAGGTAATGTTAAATTTATCTTAAGAATATGGATAAATTCATTAGTACATTGACACAAGCATTGAATTCAATTTCATAACTTGTATAGGAAGAAGCAAAATTCGAGTGTATTTCCTTTAAAAAATTCTTTGTTCCAACTTTTTATACCATTTTTTCCACCATCAGGATAGTTGTTATGTCAATGTACTGTTATACATATTTCATACAAAATGTAAGTGGATAATTATTTGACAGCCCATTGACAGCCAGGGTCATTTTGGGTCAAAATGTAATACAAGACACTACGAGTCGAGACAAATGATTATTTCATGACATTTTCTAAACTGTCCAAGTAATTACAAAAGTAACTTCTGCAATCACAACAGGCAATGTAGGCAAAATGATAAACAAATACTATGGACATTCCCTTATATTGTATGAACCACAAAATATTTAATAGTGATTAACCAGAGGTGATACTTTTGAAGAGTGAGGATATCAACACCAAGGGTTGATAAATCCTTGTATTTACTTGAAAACAGGTCAATAATACTATATGGTGATAATCCATGCTTCTGATTGGTCGAAAATTTCTGGATTGTTACATTCACCTGCGAAATGCTGACAGGGTATTGGACTGTTATATTCACCCTGAGTGTACTGATTCTGCCTGTTTTTGAGTAACATCACAATACTTTTTGACCAATCAGCTTGTAAAGAAAATGAGTTATATAATATGTTAGAATTTTTATGAGAATATGCAAAATTGCTTTACATTTCAACAGGATATTGGCCAAGTTGAAATCTGGTCAAGTCCAGCTTCAGATATACATTCACCATTATGCAGTCAGAGACAATTTCTGGATATCAATAGTTTGTGTTGTAATCAATGTTTTTTATATCTGATCCAAAGACAACAAAATCTCTGATCATTTAGAATGTAAAGTCATTAAGGAATGAAATCAGCTACAACTGTCCAGAAGTTTCTGTAAGATGAGTTTCTGTCCATGGTTAGTGTACAACACGTACTTCTGTCTTGGAGATAACTTGTCCAACCCAGTTGCCAGGCATTCCTCATCTTCCTCTAGACTGGTCTTGTACATTGCCAGACACTTCTCAGCACACCTGTAACAATCAGGACAACAGCTACTTGACAACATTTACAGGACAACACCTACAGGACAAGAGTTACAGGACAATACCTACAAGACAACACCTATATGACAATACCTACAGGACAACACCTACATGACAATACCTACAGGACAACACCTACATGACAATACCTACAGGACAATACCTACAGGACAATACCTAAAGGACACCATTTTAAGAATAACACATAAAGGACAACATCTAAAGGACAATACCTAAACAATAACACCTATATGACAATACTAACAGGACAACACCTATATGACAATACCTACAGGACAACACCTATATGATAATACTAATAGGACAATACCTACAGGACAACACCTACATGACAATACCTACAGGACAACACCTATATGCAATACCTACAGGACAACACCTATATGATAATACTAATAGGACAATACCTACAGGACAACACCTACATGACAATACCTACAGGACAACACCTACATGACAATACCTACAGGACAACACCTACATGACAATACCTACAGGCAACACCTATATGACAATACCTACAGGACAACACCTATATGACAATACCTACAGGACAACACCTACATGACAATTCCTACAGGACAACACCTATATGATAATACCTACAGGACAACACCTACATGACAATACCTACAGAACAACACCTACATGACAATACCTACAGGACAACACCTACATGACAATACCTAAACAATAACACCTACATGACAATACCTACAGGACAACACCTATATGACAATACCTAAAGGACAACACCTACATGACAATACCTACAGGCAACACCTATATGACAATACCTACAGGACAACACCTACATGACAATACCTACAGGACAACACCTATATGACAATACCTACAGGACAACACCTATATGATAATACTAATAGGACAATACCTACAGGACAACACCTACATGACAATACCTACAGGACAACACCTACATGACAATTCCTACAGGACAACACCTATATGATAATACCTACAGGACAACACCTACATGACAATACCTACAGAACAACACCTACATGACAATACCTACAGGACAACACCTATATGACAATACCTAAAGGACAACACCTACATGACAATACCTACAGGCAACACCTATATGACAATACCTACAGGACAACACCTACATGACAATACCTACAGGACAACACCTATATGACAATACCTACAGGACAACACCTACATGACAATACCTACAGGACAACACCTACATGACAATACCTACAGGACAACACCTACATGACATTACCTCCAGGCAACACCTACATGACAATACCTACAGGACAACACCTATATGACAATACCTACAGGACAACACCTACATGACAATACCTACAGGCAACACCTATATGACAATACCTACAGGACAACACCTACATGACAATACCTACAGGACAAGACCTACAGGACAACACCTATATGACAATACTAACAGGACAATACCTACAGGACAACACCTACAGGACAAGACCTACAGGACAACACCTATATGACAATACCTAAAGGACAACACCTACATGACAATACCTACAGGCAACACCTATATGACAATACCTACAGGACAACACCTACATGACAATACCTACAGGCAACACCTACATGACAATACCTACAGGCAACACCTATATGACAATACCTACAGGACAACACCTATATGACAAGACCTACAGGACAAGACCTACAGGACAACACCTATATGACAATACTAACAGGACAAGACCTACAGGACAACACCTACAGGACAACACCTACAGGACAACACCTATATGATAATACTAATAGGACAAGACCTACAGGACAACACCTACAGGACAACACCTATATGATAATACTAATAGGACAAGACCTATATGACAATACTAACAGGACAATACCTACAGGACAACACCTACAGGACAAGACCTACAGGACAACACCTGCAGGACAACACCTAACAGGACAAGACCTACAGGACAACACCTATATGATAATACTAACAGGACAACACCTACAAGACAACACCTACAGGACAACACCTATATGACAATACCTACAGGACAACACCTACATGACATTACAACACCTATATGACAATACCTACAGGACAACACCTACATGACAATACCTACAGGACAACACCTACATGACAATACCTACAGGACAACACCTACATGACAATACCTACAGGACAACACCTATATGACAATACCTACAGGACAACACCTACATGACAATACCTACAGGCAACACCTATATGACAATACCTACAGGACAACACCTATATGACAATACCTACAGGACAACACCTATATGACAATACCTACAGGACAACACCTACAGGACAACACCTATATGACAATACTAACAGGACAAGACCTACAGGACAACACCTACAGGACAACACCTATATGACAATACTAACAGGACAACACCTACAGGACAACACCTATATGACAATACCTACAGGACAACACCTATATGACAATACCTACAGGACAACACCTATATGACAATACCTACAGGACAACACCTATATGACAATACCTACAGGACAACACCTATATGACAATACCTACAGGACAACACCTACATGACAATACCTACAGGACAACACCTACATGACAATACCTACAGGACAACACCTACATGACAATACCTACAGGACAACACCTACATGACAATACCTACAGGACAACACCTATATGACAATACCTACAGGACAACACCTATATGACAATACCTACAGGACAACACCTACATGACAATACCTACAGGACAACACCTATATGACAATACCTACAGGACAACACCTATATGACAATACTAACAGGACAATACCTACAGGACAACACCTACAGGACAAGACCTACAGGACAACACCTACAGGACAACACCTATAGGATAATACTAATAGGACAAGACCTACAGGACAACACCTATATGACAATACCTACAGGACAACACCTACATGACAATACCTACAGGACAACACCTACATGACAATACCTACAGGACAACACCTATATGACAATACCTACAGGACAACACCTATATGACAATACCTACAGGACAACACCTACATGACAATACCTACAGGACAACACCTATATGACAATACCTACAGGACAACACCTATATGATAATACTAACAGGACAACACCTACATGACATTACCTACAGGCAACACCTATATGACAATACCTACAGGACAACACCTATATGACAATACCTACAGGACAACACCTACATGACAATACCTACAGGAAAACACCTAAAGGACACCATTTTTAGATGAACACCTACAGGGCAACAACGACTACACAGAAGATCCTACATGAGTGTCCTTGTAATGATTTGATATCTGGAGTGTGAGTAACATGTTTATTATAGCTAAAATTGCCCTACAGATCAGCTGTACTAAACCTCAATTTCTTATATCCAACAGTCTGCCCCTAGTGGTCTTTCTTCATTTAACCCATATGATACCTTTGGAGGTCATTTACACTATTTAAACAGAATTCATTGATTTTGAGCCATACACCCAACAAACTGGCTGAACCTCTCATTGGTTGTATACCTAAAAACCCAACAAACTAGCTGAACCTCTCATTGGTTGTATACCTAAAAACCCAACAAACTAGCCTGAATCTTTCATTTGTTTAGAATTTAATACCTGGTTCAGTAATCATTGATCTAGTAGTTTTGATTAAAGAGGAAAATTAAAACCTTTTGTTGGAAATAAAAACGAAAAAACATACCCTTTCAATAACTTTTTCCATGAATCCTTCTGTTTTGGTATTCCATTTGGGACTAAAACATTAAAACAAAATTTTATATCTGGAAAGTGTTCAGTCAAGTACACAAAGTGTCATTTATCATTGATATGTCAAACACATGCATACAGCGTAAGCATCCTCATTTCATTTTAAATGCAAAAGTTTTGTCTTTTTTTTTTCTTTTCCTATTTTAAAGTGATTTAAAAGTGAAGTGGTATTTCAATTTCATACTTTCAAGTTATCTACATCTTTAATACAACCACATGTGGGTATGAGATTCTTCAAACTCTAGAGATAAGTATTGAAAAAAAATAAGATTTATTGACAGATAAATAGTACATGTTTACTTCCTTTAGATAAGTAAATAATACAGAAAAGCTCCATAAAACCACCATCTACAGTTTTTGGAATGGCAGATGTTATCTTCAAGCATTCCACTAGCTGCTACGATAGAATTGTTCAGCAGTGGCAAAAAAGTATGGTGAAAAAAGGTTTATTCCAGTAAAATATCTATTTGACCACAGGATGCGAAAATAAATCACATCTGTGCATGGTTCAATTTTCTGCTTAAACTGATTTGATGGTACCCTCTAAACAACCCTGGAGTCCAGGGGTGGGATAGGTGTTTAACTGGAATTAACCTAACCTGAATAACCTGGGTTTCATATGTTTACTCATACTTTAGTATAACACAAAGTTACTATAACAGTACTCACCAAACATCCATTTCTCTTCACTGTCATCCTCCTCATCGCCTTCATCTTCACTCCAACCATCTTTTTCCTGGTAGTCTTCAAACTCACTTCTGGTCATCTCAAGTACCTGATTGTTAATTAGTAACTTTACTAATTGCACAAATGTGTAATTATCGCGACAACATCTTTAACATCCTGAAGTAATATTGAAACTATTCATTTACGTAAAACTATGAGTTTAAAGAAGAGAAAACTCTTTTATAAACACATTGTCCCAAACATCAAGCATACAGCAAGACTGTATCAAAGTGTCTGAAAAAAATGTAATATGTAGGACTTAAATAACTATTGGTGTTAAAAAGTGTTTTTCTTGCTGTGGTCATTACACATATCCAATGTTTTAATCCCTCGCCATACTGCCCCCACCCCCACCTACTGCCTAACCACTACCACCAATTGACATACTGCCCCCACCTACTGCTTAACCACTACCACCAATCAACATTACTGCCCCCACCCCACCTACTACCTAACCACTACCAACAATCGACATACTGCCCCCACCCCCATCTACTGCCTAACCACTACCACCAATCAACATTACTGCCCCCATCCCCACCTACTGCCTAACCACTACCACCAATCAACATTACTGCCCCCACCCCCACCTACTGCCTAACCACTACCACCAATCAACATTACTGCCCCCACCCCACCTACTGCCTAACCACTACCACCAATCAACATTACTGCCCCCACCCCCACCTACTGCCTAACCACTACCACCAATCAACATTACTGCCCCCACCCCCACCTACTGCCTAACCACTACCACCAATCGACATACTGCCCCCACCTACTGCCTAACCACTACCACCAATCAACATTACTGCCCCCACCTACTGCCTAACCACTACCACCAATCAACATTACTGCCCCCACCCCCACCTACTGCCTAACCACTACCACCAATCAACATTACTGCCCCCACCCCACCTACTGCCTAACCACTACCACCAATCAACATTACTGCCCCCACCTACTGCTTAACCACTACCACCAATCGACATACTGCCCCCACCCCCACCTACTGCCTAACCACTACCACCAATCAACATTACTGCCCCCACCCCACCTACTACCTAACCACTACCCACAATCGACATACTGCCCCCACCCCACCTACTGTCTAACCACTACCACCAATCAACATTACTGCCCCCACCCCACCTACTGCCTAACCACTACCACCAATCAACATTACTGCCCCCACCCCCACCTACTGCCTAACCACTACCACCAATCGACATACTGCCCCCACCTACTGCTTAACCACTACCACCAATCGACATACTGCCCCCACCCCCAGCTACTGTCTAACCACTACCACCAATCAACATTAGTGACCCCACCCCACCTACTGTCTAACCACTACCACCAATCAACATTACTGCCCCCACCCCCACCTACTGCCTAACCACTACCACCAAACGACATACTGCCCCCACCTACTGCTTAACCACTACCACCAATCCATACTGCCCCCACCCCCACCTCTGTCTAACCACTACCACCAATCGACATACTGCCCCCACCCCCACCTACTGCCTAACCACTACCACCAATCGACATACTGCCCCCACCCCCAACTACTGCCTAACCACTACCACCAATCGACATACTGCCCCCACCTACTGCCTAACCACTACCACCAATCAACATTAGTGCCCCCACCCCACCTACTGTCTAACCACTACCATCAATCAACATTACTGCCCCCACCCCCATCTACTGTCTAACCACTACTACCAATCAACATTACTGCCCCCACCCCATCTACTGTCTAACCACTACCACCAATCGACATACTGCCCCCACCTACTGCTTAACCACTACCACCAATCGACATACTGCCCCCACCCCCACCTACTGTCTAACCACTACCACCAATCAACATTAGTGCCCCCACCCCATCTACTGCCTAACCACTACTACCAATCAACATTACTGCCCCCACCCCCACCTACTGCCTAACCACTATCAACAATCAACATTACTGCCCCCACCCCACCTACTGCCTAACCACTATCAACAATCAACATTACTGCCCCCACCCCACCTACTGCCTAACCACTATCAACAATCAACATTAGTGCCCCCACCCCACCTACTGCCTAACCACTACCACCAATCAACATTACTGCCCCCACCCCATCTACTGTCTAACCACTACCACCAATCAACATTACTGCCCCCACCCCACCTACTGCCTAACCACTATCAACAATCAACATACTGCCCCCACCCCCACCTACTGCCTAACCACTATCAACAATCAACATACTGCCCCCACCCCCACCTACTGTCTAACCACTACCACCAATCAACATTAGTGCCCCACCCCATCTACTGCCTAACCACTACTACCAATCAACATTACTGCCCCCACCCCACCTACTGCCTAACCACTACCACCAATCGACATACTGCCCCCACCCCCACCTACTGCCTAACCACTATCAACAATCAACATTACTGCCCCCACCCCACCTACTGCCTAACCACTATCAACAATCAACATTAGTGCCCCCACCCCACCTACTGCCTAACCACTACTACCAATCAACATTACTGCCCCCACCCCTACCTACTGCCTAACCACTACCACCAATCAACATTACTACCCCCACCCCATCTACTGTCTAACCACTATCAACAATCAACATTACTGCCCCCACCCCACCTACTGCCTAACCACTATCAACAATCAACATACTGCCCCTACCCCCAACTACTGCCTAACCACTACCATCAATCAAAATTACTACCCCCACCTCCACCTGCTGTTGGCTTTTATAAAGAGATGTAACAATGAAGGCAAACCTACATATGAAATTGGAGAATGATCAATCCAGTACTTCTCCAGTAAAAGTGATAACAACGATTATTTCAGGAGATATGCCCACCATCTCATAATGTAGAGCTACAAATTTTGGCAGTGTTGTTCAGTTCCATTGAAAACAAAAAAATCTCCAGTAATTGGTTAAGATCTTATGATAATAGCCCATGAGATCATCATTTGAATAATCAAAATACAAGAAATTTTCAGTAAATCTATAGTTATAGAGTCACTTACCTTGAGTGTAGCTTCCAATTCGTCACACGTCTCTATAGCTTCATTACTCAACACAAACGCATCGTCTTCCCCAATCACCTCCTGGATAAACCAAAGTTGTAATTAATATCATATAGGGAACACTTTATCAGTTTGTGCTGTTTGTTTTGTTTGTTTATTGGAGTTATTGCCCATTAGACAATAAAGATCATTGGAGGTGGGCAGTCTTGTAGAAGCTAGTAGCTACCTCACTGAACAACATACTGGAGGCCTGTCACATGAAGTTTCAGAATAATTTGTGTAAAGTTTCTCGCCCAAGGAGACAATCAAGAGAACACAAACTGGTCTGCTTCTCAGCTTCCTGAAAAACACAAAGAGCAACAAGTAGAAAGCCTGGAAACACATCTCAGATCTCCATCTGAGGTTGTGTTTACCTTCACTCTACCAGCTGAGCTACAGCAGCCCCTTTATAACTAACGGTAAATATCAAGGCTATAAAATGAGTAACTTTGGATTCATCCTATATGTTTCCATGTAGAATTTATTACTACACTGTATCATAAACACCACAGTATTTGATATCAAGGTGTGACATGCAAACTACTTAAGGTTTTAATTTCAATGTTCCTAATATAATATCTGTACCCATCTTATTTATGTGTATACATTGTATTACATGTATCATACAATCTGTAATACACAGTTTGTCACTCATCAATTATTGTCTAGAGCAGTCTGACCTCTCTAAGACACTTTCCTTTTTCACTCTATCAGTGCCAATAGGCTGAACAGCCAACAGGGGCCAAGAATGTGTCCAGAGTAATCTGCTACAAATCTTTTATATCAAACCTTACATGTTTAGTCAACTTAAGTAAATTTCAGATTTATGTAAAATGCTATTAAAAAAACACACGATTCTTTTTTCATTTCTTAAGAAGAAAAAAAAATGTTCACCTGTTCCATTAAAAACTCCCATTTCTCTTCCAGAAGTGTTTTATCTGCCTGATTAATGTCCTGGCTCTTCGCTTCTTCTTTCAGTACTGTGGCTGGTATGTCTACCTACAGATAGAGTATAACCTGTGATAATGTTAAACTGGACATAGTGACAAAATCTACACGTATATATCACATCCTATACCCTATCATCTAAAACCAAGTGTATCAGTTACTGCCATATCATTTCACAAAGATTTTATAATAACACCAAGACATTTCCATGAAGTTATCACTGCAATCTAAAAATGCATCTGCAATCTCAAACAGGAGGACAGTTAAACAGCTGATTCTAACACACACCCCTCCACCATCCTTAATAATCTACATTATCACATCACTTATCATTAACCTATCATTTACTTTTGAAGGCCTTATGACCTCCTATAAACTTACAGTATCTTTGTCGTTGTTGGGATACCTCTCTGAGAAACCGTACATGTGTAACTCATCTTTGTTGGATAACATGCCATAAGTGTTGAAAACTTCTTCATCCTGTTAACAATTCAGCATTGTACATCAACCAGTGCAAACTATCTCCCTCTCAGTATAGAATATATAAATCTCCATCTAAATAAACAACATTCATCAGACACCAGAATGTAAATCTTCATTTTAACATACAACATTCATCAGACACAGAAAATACAAAATCACTTCAGGGGGCACATCTCCACATTGAACTGGCCATTTCAAAAAAATTTTAAAAAGACCTGTTGTAAAGTTAGTGAATGGATAGCCAGACAAAGTTCCTCTATGGATAAACGGATGGATTCCAGTATACCCCCCCCCTCCCCATCTTCGTTGAAGTGGGTATAATGACCCGCTACATTGTAACTCAAAAGAGATTCTTACTAGCAAAAATTGTATCATTAGAAGGCTGTCAGTTTGATTAATGAACATTTTATTTCAACAAAGATTTAACTACTTAATGCAGTGTACCATGACCTCCACCTTTGGAACCTTATATTAATATAGAGTTTCTTTATTTTACCATAGAAGTCATTGTGTAATTCTTATGACACATGTTCTATGATTAACCCAGTTTTACTTTAATAATAAAAAAAATAATATTTAAAACTGTTGAAGTAATCTATACATTCTTTTACCTTAAAACTGATAGCTTATCATCTAATTTATTCGTTAATCACCATGACAAATTCTAATACATATATATATTATACCTCATTCTCAAATTCAAAACAGTTTTCACATGCCTGACAGTCTCTTGATATTTGAACCCAAAATAAATAAGGTTTCTTCTATCTCACTGACTAAATGTTGATGTAAAATGACATCAAAAACATGAGCTCTATGACAATAATGAATATTTAACTAGTCATAATTCTGTACAGGAAAACCAACCTTGGCAATTTTAGCAGTTGAAACCATTTTCAAAAATTCCTTTTCAAAACGCAGTTCTGCATTATTGTGTGCTACATGGTTTAATATATCGCCCATAGGAACCATCATCGGGGCAGACTTAGAGGGAACATCCCCTTTCATCTGTTCATCTTCATCATCCCCTGTAGGTTCTGTAAAGCTGTATGCCATTACAAAGGCCACCATCTTCTTGTACAGTTCCAGGCTCTCACAGGCGGAGCTAGTAATAGAAATACAAAAGTATATAAATTCTATAAACCGGCAGGTATATGATAGAAAAACATAGATATACACACAGGCAGAGCTGATGATAGAAATACATACAGGGTATATACACACAGGCAGAGCTGATGATAGAAATACATACAGGGTATATACACACAGGCAGAGCTGATGATAGAAATACATACAGGGTATATACACACAGGCAGAGCTGATGATCAAGTATGGGTTTTCAGGGATGTGACTTACAAGGAGTTAATAGGGATGTGATTAAGTATGGGTTTTCAGGGATGTGATTAAGTATGGGTTTTCAGGGATGTGACTTACAAGGAGTTGTTAGGGATGTGATTAAGTATGGGTTTTCAGGGATGTGATTAAGTATGGGTTTTCAGGGATGTGATTAAGTATGGGTTTTCAGGGATGTGATTAAGTATGGGTTTTCAGGGATGTGACTTACAAGGAGTTGTTAGGGATGTGATTAAGTATGGGTTTTCGGGGATGTGATTAAGTATGGGTTTTCAGGGATGTGACTTACAAGGAGTTGTTAGGGATGTGATTAAGTATGGGTTTTCAGGGATGTGATTAAGTATGGGTTTTCAGGGATGTGATTAAGTATGGGTTTTCAGGGATGATGATTTTATAAATAATGCTACATTCTAAACTGACTACCTTAAATACCTTATCATTTTTTTATCATTATTTTTCATGTACATGTAGCTGTTGAAAACATTACAAGATCCTTTAAGTAACAGAGAAGAATTAGGCGGGAAATATCAAAATTTCTGTGTTGTGGCAAGCAAATTTCTGTAAACTGCTAAAATTGCTTGATCAATTCAAAATAACTAAAATATTTTTCATGAAATTAATAAACTGTAGCTCAGAGAGTTTTAACATCTTGAATTTAGAAAAATCTCATTATACTTCATTTATACTGTTAAATACAAGTACATCACTTGAAAAGATTACCCAAAAACATCTTTGTGCTTCTGTACAAAAGGTAAAACAATTGTTGTGAATTCTGCTGTCAATGATTTTATATCTCTTTCCACACATTTCAGGATGCCATTTGCCGAGTCAAGCAGAGATGCTCTTTCAGACCTGTAGTGAAATATAAAGGGGAGTACATCAATCATTTTATCAAACTCATCTAAGATATGTACTACTAGTATTCTTATGTTATCATTACTTGCACAAATATAAATTAACACCTGAAAAGTAGGTAGGAATATTTACTACAAACAGGTATCTTTCACGTTACACTAGTCAGCTAACATGCAATAATAGTCAGGCCAAAGCATATGTAGGTCAAGTTCAAACTTACTAAGATCAAAACAGAGGGAGGTCAAGTTCAAACTTACTAAGATCAAAACAGAGGGAGGTCAAGTTCAAACTTACTAAGGTCAAAACAGAGGGAGGTCAAGTTCAAACTTACTAAGGTCAAAACAGTGGGAGGTCAAGTTCAAACTTACTAAGGTCAAAACAGTGGGAGGTCAAGTTCAAACTTACTTAGATCTGAACAGAGAGGGGTCAAGTTCAAACTCAATAAGGTCAAAACATAAGGAGGACACGTCCAAACATAAGGTAAAGTTAGGTCAAAACATGGCTTACTAGGCACAAGATGGTCACAATCAAACTTACTCAGGCCAAAACATCGGGAGGTCAAGTTCCTTGAAGTCTGGAACAAGGTCAAGGTAAGGTCGCCATGTAGATTCTGGACTATTATGTTCGTACATCAGTGCCAAGAGAAGGGGCACCCATCCACTCTCACTCACCAACGATGCTTCTTCTACAACAGGACATTTAATATAATGTACATATTATTCAACAATACAAGTGTATAAAGTGTACAAATTACTAGTATGAGTTTATGGTACCATAATTTATGTATTCAGTTATCATAAGTAAGATATTTCCTGTCTACAGTGATTCCCATTCTGTATCATTAAACTTCTTACTTATAGCAGTAGGCTATAACTTGACTCTTCAAATATCTATTAACATGTAAAATATTTGTTTTTAATTACTGTTGTGATCATTTTCATCTTTCATATAAAAGCAAAAGAATATAATAATTTTTATACCAATTTACCTTTTCTCAACAATTTAGATATAGCAGATGTTTTAGGATGAAGCAGTAACTTCCTAGGAACCTTAAAAAGACATTCTCCACAGTCCACACTGTCTGTGGCTAGCATACCATACTGAGCACAGGAACCTTGTTTAGTGACACAAACCTAAAAGAAATCAGAAATTGGTGTATCAAAATACCTATGCTTGCAATTTTTCTTTTTTTTTTCTCTCTCCAAAATGATGAAACTTTTTTTTTGAGCATATGCTAATATGTGAACATAAAATGTATATCAGTAACACTTACATCATTTTGAAACATAAACCAGCAGATAACTTCATCATCACAAAAAATTGATTTGTGTTTTATTTTCTTGATATTTTCAACCAAGATTGATATTGTTGCTTATAAGCTTCGTCCCTTTTAGTAACTGTCTGACTTATATTAATCTATTGCAACAAGTACCTGTTTTCAAAAATGTATTTTTGGTAGAGTCAGTCACAGCAATTAAAATCAACAACATATGTGTTTATTTAATATTTGCTGTTTTCTTGGCACCTTTGACTAAAGTACAAATACGACTTTTTTCATATATCCCGAAACAGCCTAAATGAAGTACTGAAATGACTTCCGCCTTTGTCTTAAAACGACTTGTTACCGAAAACGACCTAGCCTGAAACCAGTGATTATCTTTCGTGACTGGCCATGGTTCACAATTGAAATTGAATGCCCCACATCTTATGTATTGCAAGCGTGTCATTCACTACCTTTGGAGAAAGCCAGAGACCATTTTCTTCGGACCAGCTCAGAAAGTTCTGTAATTTTGTTTCATCTTTAGAAACAGTTGATAATTTCGATAAAATGTTGCTGCTGTCTGCTTCTTCACACGCTCTTTTCGTGGGTACCGCCATTTTCACGAATAAATTACCTTCACAATACGAGAGCTCTTTGTTAGTTTTCATCCAATGAAAACATTGTCCGTCATTACGTGCGAGTCTTCAACGTTTACATGCAGGCAAGGTGACGAGTTGATGCTAGTTTTACTCTGAAGCAAGTTTGGGCCATATTGTGCGTGTCTGAAGTTTCGGAAAGTGGTAACGTGGAAAGTTGTTTGTTATATTTTTTGCGGTCATTGACCGACACTGAAAAGAAGACATGCAACGAGTCGAAAGACCGCGCAGCGGAATGTCAACAACTTCAGGTTACGGAGACCATAGCCAGCACACTAAAAGCGGACCTTACCTTGATGGCAATCTCAAGTTGCTGGACACAATGTGAGTTTTGTCTTACTTGGATATGATACGCTTTCATAAATAGCAAACTGAAAATACTGAAGTGTATAGGTCTTAACAGCTGTAGATTATTGAACTTAGATTTTTTAAAAAAAACTAAACAGGAAAATGGTTAAAAATATCAATAATAAAATGACCTAGCAGACGATGTAAACAAATATGATCTACTATCAGACGGATTGAATTACGGTAACGTCATCAACATCATGATTTAAAAACAACACAACTAGATTGGCTTGTTTCATTTAAATGTCCTGTCGAGGTAAGGGGAATTGGAAAATGTAGTAATAATTTTTTTGTGGAAATTAAATATTAATGTAATTTTTATTTATGATAATTCCGTTTTCATTAACTAATCTATTTATTATCTATCATTATTTGCTTTTTGTTGTGTCTGGTAGGTGTCAAACCAATGTTATATAATTACTTTTCCCTTCAGGATTGTTGCGAAGTGTTATAGCAAATATGCTGACACTTGTGAAAGTAATGCTACATATTATTCAGGTTGATAGTACATATGCCCTAGAACTCATGTGTATCCACTCATTACAGAGGAGAGAAATCCTCTGAACTCAGACACATTGATGTCCAGATGAGTCCAACCCGTTTTTGGGATTCCTCCTTGGGACTCGTATCTGACATTTGACGAGTCTGACAAATGACATTGTCAAACTTTCGAGATAAATGGGTCCCAAGGAGGAATCCCAGCACTGATTAAAGTAAGTCATGAAGTGCTTTTTAAAGATAACCAGACTAGATGGCATTTTTCTCATTCACATGATGAACTATATTTGCCAAATTGAAATTTCAAAGATATGTCATCAACATTTTACACCACTGGTACTCAATCTTGCCACTGATAACAGTGAACTCTTTTGCAAGAAAAAAAAACACTCGTGTGTACATTCCAAAAAAACAGGTTCACAAACTTGTGCAAGATATTACTCTTGCTGTCCATTGGATTACACCATGTAGTGTATAATTTACTAGACTTATTGTGATAATGTGATTTTTTGTGGTTACTCTCAAATTATTTCATAACTTACCCGTACACCATTCTGCCTGATTCATCAGTTCTAAGGGCTCTTGTTCTCTGTAATAAAAGGATGTGTTGGAGTTCCAATACACCTTAAAAAACCAAAGATGTTCACAACCTGCTATTCTGTAGTCCCTACTTATAAGCCCCATTGTAACAAAAGTCATTTAGACCTCTAGCTTAAGGAATCTTACAGTCAACCAATCAAGCTAAAGAGGAGTTCTACCATGTTGGGTCAGGGTTATTAATCAGTGCATTCTAACTGTTCTGAATTTAAAATTAACTTTAAGAATTTCTTGACCATGTCAAACTAAAGTACATTTATATCTTAAAGATGGTGATTAGAAGAGAACAAAAACTAAGTAACCCAATGGAATGTTGTATTAAGGCATCCCTTTGATAAATATTTGTTCTTGAAATATGTTACAGTCAAAACTTATAACTTAAAAGGGACATCATGATGGAGAGCTTTGAACTCCTTTCCAAATGTCTCCGTCTCTTTAGATAATGTTGGAACAGAACTTTTCTTTTCCTTAAGTGGCATTTATGATATCATATATGAGACCTTGGAGCGACAGTATTTTTTTGTATTTTTTTTTTTGTTTATTAAATATATTTATAAGTGAATTATCTGTAAAAGAAGCGGGTCAGTGTGACTTGTACATAGTGTTAAATATGGTTTGGTCACTCAGATGGCAGCTCATGCTTCTTTGACATAGATGGTAAAATTGAATATCACGCCCTTGAAAGGAATGTGTATATTTCAAGTTCTTTTACATTGACGCCAAACAAAATCCCATGGATTGTGGTACTTAGTGCCTTGGGTTGAGATTTTGGAAATCTAAGATAAAACTAGGGGAGTAGTGTAAAAGGAGCTGGTTTGTATGGCTTTATATAGTGTTAAGTATGGTCTCTGTAACTCAGGTGACAGGGCATACTTCTTTGGCTCAGTTGGAAGAGCTGGCCAATTATCATGTTAGAGACCTGGGTTTGATTCCTGATGCGGCCACTTGACAGGAATGTGCGTTTATCCCTATTATTTCACACGATTTAAAGCTTATATTTCTTCATTGGATAAACCGTAAATAATGTTAACTATATTTATCTATTGTTTTACTTGGTAATGTATTGTCTGGTTACAGGTTTATAGCATGGACCCTAAAGGTTGATCATTAATAAAAATTTGTGTGCCCCTCAGATGACAGTCAAAACACTATCAGTGTTCCCACCTCCTGATTACCTACAACAAACACCCAGATTACCTTATAATTATTTATAAATGGTTTAAAAGCACCAGCTGTCAGTTTACTGGGTGGATATGTAAACATACAGGAAGGCTGACTGTTGAATTAACTGATTGATGTATTGACCCGAATCTTACATCAGCTAATCTTTGTTGACATGTAAGACAAATTGACTTTTGCGAGGCTATTCCATTTAGTAACTTGATCTGCATTACAAAAGTTTTATGTGTAGTTAGACTATAAACCCCAGACCTGCAAACAAACCATTCTTCAGAATCTGCATTTACAATTAATTTTACTGGTTTTGTTTGTATAAATAATGAGATCATATTTTTCAATTCCAATATGGTCTAGTGATTAAATGTCATTGTGACCTGATTTAAAATGTGATATTATCTAAAATTACCCAGTTATTAGTACTTTTATATGCCAAATATCAAACATTTTGACAGGACATATTACGTTATGGCATTGTCCATCTGTCTGACCACCATAAACTTTTAATTGTCCAGAGATCTCCTACCACAGTTTTCAGCCTATTTTTTTAGCAAATTTGGTGGGCTTAATCACTATAACGTGAAGTTTTGTTTTCCTGAATTGCAGTTTGATTTGACTGTATTTGGGAAGAATTACTGCCCCTTGTTGTTGAATTAATAATTGAATTTTGTTGAAATATTTTTTTGAAAGGGATAACCAAGATTTTGGTAAGATAATTTTAAGTAAATCATGTTTCTTTAGCTCAGTTTTTAGAGTCATGGATTATTACACCAGAGACCCAGGTTTAATTCCTGTTGAGGCAGGTATCAAGAATGTGTAACTGCCTCATTTTTTAACAAGTTTGTATATGTCTCTGCATGAGCATTTTTTATCAATATTTGACAGAACTTAATGAAGTATGGTGCTGTAATCTGTCTGTAATAAATATTTACCTTTGCAGAGTTCTCCTCTCCCAAATGACCTCTGGTTTTAACTAAACTCTTTGAAATTTAAGTTATCACCACAATATGAGATTGTTTCCTGAACATCATCATTCAACAATTTCTGGAAGAGTTATATTGCCTTTTATATTTTGTTCTTAATTTTATTTTTTTTTTCTGTGTTTTTTTCATACTTAAAGCCTAGATTGCATGTACAAAATGACATGCTGGTTTTTTATGGCATTTTGATTCAACAATTTCTGAAAGTGTTATTGCCTTTTGTATCTTTTAGCTTTTTATTTTTTCCCATAAATTTCCCCACTCAGTTTTTGACTAATTTCTTCACACCTAGAAATAAGAAGGCTTTATTTCTACTTGACAGGAAGTTGAGTTTACCAAAACAATATTCTCATGTAACAAATTGTAGGAGAGTTGTTTCCCTTTTTACAGCAAAGATCCTCTCAGTTTTTGACCAATCTCTTTGAAACTTGTTGGGCTTTATAGTTATGATATGATCTGTTGAAATCTTGGTAGGCATGACGATGACATGTAGGTTTGTCAGACTGATTTCGTCATAACCCTTTATTGTGTTTGAGTATTTTAATCTTGGCACAGTCACAATGAGCTCTCTTGTGTTAGATGATGTGATAGATCTTCAGACTAAGCAGCTGTACTGGTGAAGATCTGAGATATTGTTCATTGTTCCCTACCGATAGTGGTATATGTTTCTCAGGAAGTTGAAAAACAGATTGGTCTGTATTCAAGATTGTTGTCCTTGGGTAAGACACTTTACACCAGCCATATGCAATGAATGACAGACCTGTGTTGTTCAGTGAGGTAGCCACTAGCTACTACAATGATTCCCTGTCTGGAAAATTACACTGACCGGTGTCGAGTCAATAGCTCCAGCAAACAAACAAATCCATTGAATTTTAACCAATTTTTATGAAACTTTGTCTTTTCTAATATAAAATTTCAAGTTTGTGCTAAATCTTGGCGTGATTGGATATTGATGTATGTACATTTCTATATTGTTACTCATTTTCTTTCAATAATGTATGTTCATTTTTTAATCTGATCCAAAAACAGTTTTGCCAGCAGTACAAGTGTTTTTACCATTATTTACATTTTCCCTCCATTCAACTGCTACTAAACTGTTTCAAAAATTACAGTCTAAAGTTTCAGAGTAACATAAAATCCGACCATCAAATACATCTCATAAACAACAAACACCCTGCAGCATCATAAAGACAAAGTAATATGAAATGCTTGATGTACTTGTCAATTACAGTGACTGTGCCAATGATGTACTCTGTTGTCGCTTAAATCACGACGGTTCACTGCTAGCCGTTGGTCTTGTGGATGGCTCCATCAAAGTAAGTAGCTACAGCATATCTTGGATCAGTCAGTAATCTTGGACCAGATGTTTTAATATCTTATCCTTTGATTAAACAGTTGAACAATTAAACAACATAATAAAAATTAAACAAAACATGAATATTTTGGAATTAAAACTGAGACAAAGCAAACAAAGATACTCGGTTTAAAGGTCAGTTTTAGAGTGATTGAACAACTATGATGATGGCTCATACATTTATCAGTTCATCATATAACACACATTTATAGCTGTCCTTTATATAATGTACACAAACAATGATGATATTTAAATGTCAATTCTCTGACCTGTTCCAGATCTATGACGCTGTACATGTTAGACTGTTACATAGCCTTTCGGACGAGGATACACAACGAATGCGTCTCCCTGTCACGCAAATACGATTCAGAATATTTGGAGACATGGACAAAGTGGAATATCAGAATATGCTCATAGCTACCTGTAGGTACAAGTATACTGCTCTATGTATGCCTTTAATTTAGCATTGTCAAGGTGTATAGTTAATCATTTACCAGTTCATCGATCAGGACTGTCAATACAAACAGAGCAACCAAGCACAAAATTACCCTGTGGGGAGCCCCAGGCCTACTCAATAAAACCTACAATTATCTATTGATAAACAGTGGTTCTATGAGCGATATTGATATTGAAAAACAATATTCAGCTCCAATGGTTAGTGTTTGTACTCACCTGAACTATAAAACATCAAATTCTACAAAATTATTGTAAAGATAGGACTGTCATTATTTAAAAGATGGGGAGGAAAGAATTAAAATATAATAATAAATTAAATATTTTAACTGAGAATGTAATGACAGGTATACCCGGAGATATTTCGAAATATCATAATCTCCCTTCATCAATTTGGTGATGATCAGTGATGATTGTCAGCCTTCAACAGTCATTTGATCATGTGGCTGATAGTTTATAAGCCAGACTGCTGTGTCCAGTCGTTAATTTTTGTCTCTGTTATCTTTGACAAAGCCATTATAATGAAACTGATAAGTCGTTCTACATAACTAAGGATTTTTATATTAATCATTGACTTATGTACTATTCAGTATTCTGTCTTTTGTGATTCAGATGCCTCTGGCCTTGTGAAAATCTGGCACTTCACCTCTCAAGCATGCCTCCATACCATACACGAGGTGCGACAAACTCTAGCCCTTGCCGTCAATCCACTTGGACAGAAATTTGTTACAGCCGGTAGCGATCAGCAGGTCCATGTGTATGATGAGGAGACAAAGATGAAAATCAACACCCTAGAACCAAGGTAGGAAAACCAGACTGTGTGCTGTGATCAAAGTGCTGAAAAAAATACCAGTTTATGATGATATATGTTCTAAAAAGATAGGTACAGTGTATATTAAACCTGGTGTTATTCTGTTTTGTCATGTGCACTGTCTTTATATCTGTAAAATGCCACAACCTTATTCCTCTTGATGGCATGCAACAGATCTCCTGTATGTTGTTCATTGAGGAGTCACCAGTGACCACAAGGAGGCATCTCCTCCAAGTGACCCTGACTGTTGATGGATCCAGCTAAAACAAAAACAAAAAAATCCCCAAAATATTACAATGAAAAGTGATGATTGGTCTGTGTCAGTTGTTTTTTGCCTACATATTTCTCAAATGGTCTGAAGAGATTAAAGATTGTACTAGAGAATGATTATACATAACATAATGAGAAGGACAGAGCATTAATGGAGTGCATGAGTTTGTGGGCCAAACAAAATCAATACATAAGTGTAGGTTTTGTAAAATTATCCAGGAAAAAAACATATACATATATTTACATGGTTAGCCAAGCTAGAGTATGTCACCAGAAACCCCCCATCAGGGCATGGAAATTTTCATTATTTTTCTTTTTTTATCACAACAGTGACTCAAGAGATATCATGGATGGACATCGTCAACGTGTATACGCAGCCCAATACCACCCAACAAAACCTAACATATTTATCACTGGGGGCTGGGACGACACAGTACAGGTAAATATTTCTGTATTTATCACTGGGGGCTGGGACGACACAGTACAGGTAAATGTTTCTGTATCTATCACTGGGGGCTGGGACGACACAGTACAGGTAAATATTTCTATATCTATCACTGGGGGCTGGGACGACACAGTACAGGTAAATATTTCTGTATCTATCATTGGGGGCTGGGACGACACAGTACAGGTAAATATTGCTGTATCTATCACTGGGGGCTGGGACGACACAGTACAGGTAAATATTTCTGTATCTATCACTACAGTACAGGTAAATATTTCTGTATCTGTCACTGGGGGCTGGGACGAGTACAGGTAAATATTTCTGTATCTATCAACAAGGGTTTTAGAGAAAGTGATACAGATAAATATCACTGTATCTCTCACTTGGGGCTTAGGTGTCACAGTACAGGAAAATATTACTGTATCTGTCACCTGGAGTCTGAGAAAATGATACAGGTAGATAATACTGTATCTCTCATTGGGGGCTGAGAAAGCAGTACAATATTTTCACTCTGGTATTTTAACGTACACCATATACCAGGAGGTGTTGAAAGTTTAGCTTACCTGGACCAAAAGGGCATCAAATAAGCTCATGCCATGGTGCAGCACATAGCATCCATCCGGCTTCAATTTTTCTACTGAAATGATTTCTTCTCAATAATCATCAGGAAGAGTCACTTTGTTTTTATAATGGCTGGTTGATTCCTGAGATAAAGTCATACATATTTTGCTAAAAGAAGTTACTTTGGCCAATATTAAAGGTCACAGAAGTTAAATTAGCTGAAAACTTCAAAATATTTCTGATTAATCCAAAATCCAAGCAACATGATATTTGGCTAGTAGTTTACTAGGATGAATCTGAATATAGTTTTGACATGGAAATGATCTTGATACATATTTATATTCAAGGTTACTAGAATCAAATTTATCAAAAACTTTGAATGCTTCTGTGATGAATCCATTTTAAAAATAGAAATGACCTTTACCAAATTAAGATCAAAAGCTTGAAACTTTTCTGCCAAAAATGAATCAAAGTTGAAATAATGTTCAGCCTACCAGGTTTCAAAGTTAGTTTAAACTAATTGGATAAATTGCCCACTTTGAATATCGATAATGTGAGATGTTAATGTATTTGTAAATGGCTTTGAATGCCAGGAAAGCAATAATTAGACCCCTTGAGCCTCTTGTAATGAAAATAGTATTGGTAGATGTACTCACTTTTTTCCTTCTTTTCTACAGTTCTGGGATGATAGGGAAAGGCATGCTGTCAGGTAAGTGAAATAAGGCCAGGTAACACCAGGTAAATATTAATCAGGTGTCTATAGATTAGGGTAAGTAATATTGGGTTAATATCAATCAGGTGCGTGTCTGTAGATTAGGGTAGGTAATATTGGGTTTATATCAGTCAGGGAAGCATTTGCTGTTGTGAGCTGAAAATTTGGGATCAAATAAAGGCATTTATAAAAAAGAAAACACCAAAAAATGTTAAATTTATCAAACCTAATTTACAGAGACTAAAGCTTAGAATATTTGTTGTTTACAGACATTTCCATGGCCCACATATTTGTGGGGATTCCCTTGAAATTGACACCGAACACAATCACATCCTTACAGGATCCTGGCGGAATGATAAAGTTTTACAGGTGTGTATATAATTATATGTACCTTATCATCCAACAATAAGCAAATACTTGGTGACCAGAATGTATGGCTGATAAGTAGAATCATCAACAATTTGTTTATCAGAATAAGCCCACCCCTTCACTTTGACTCATAGGTTATGTGTTGGCCCTAAATCTGGGCCTAATACAGGACAAAATATCTTACATTATAAGATGTACCTGTACATTCATCCAGGAATTTTAATTTTATTCATGACAGTATCCAGGATGATAAATCTCCATTATGAAGTTGGTTGTATCATCAGCTAGGGAGCAAAATTATGGCTGAGTACTTTGCAGTGTAAAATTTTACAGGATCCAGACGTCTAGACGAATAAGAGATAATTGTTCCTTTGTTCCCTGTTCCTTTCTTCTGTTAGATTTATTTTGCCTCAGTGATGCAAAATAAGTTAGATTGAAAGAAATAATTTCGTCTCAGTTATTGTAAAGTGTTTTGGTTCAGTACATTAAACTATCTTTATCATTGAAATGCACTTGAGATTGGCCTTCCAGCAATACCATCTTGTGTGTTAATGTTAAATTACATGTATTTCTCTGTCAGGATTGACACATTTCTTTTCTTAAACTGTTTTAAAACTTTCATAACAAGTGTGTAAGAAATTTGAATTATCTTTCGCCAATTAAGGGCTGGTAGTTTTTAATCCACCAAAAACAAACATTTGATGAATTTCAGATTTGGGACTTCTCTTCAGGACTGCTTATCAAAGATGTGCCTCCAGAACCATTAAATGCTAGTCTGGTAAGCATCAATATAATAATATAAGTTAGGTGTTAACATGTTAATCTATTTAAGTGTCAACATGATTGTCTATTTAAGTGACAATGTGTTAATTTAATTAAGTGCAAACTTGTAAATCTAGTTAAGTGTCAACATGTTAATCTAGTCAAGTGACAACATGTTAATCTAGTCAGGTGTCAACATGTTAATCTAGTTAAGTGTCAACATGTTAATCTAGTCAAGTGACAACATGTTAATCTAGTTAAGTGTCAACATGTTAATCTATTTAAGTATGAATGTGTTAATCTGTTTAAGTGTCAACATGTTAATTTATTTAAGTGTCAACATGTTAATCTGTTTAAGGATCAACATATTAATCTAGCCCTCTGGGTTTTTTCACAGCTAACTGCTTTTTAATGATACTTGACTATTGTTACAGGTATACTGCTGTCAATGGCTAGGAAAGGACAGTATTATTGCTGGTGGTTCCTACATGCATATGGCCCGAGTGATTGACCGTGGGACACTTAATGTAAGTAAGGTTAAAATATTATAAAGTGAAGGTTTATTATTTACAACCACAGCCTTTATTCTTAATTTTAAAGTTTTAATGAACTGTTTGAATATGGCATTACCTCCCTTTAAACATTTCCCTTCTGTTTGACCTTGATATATTTGACCTTCAGAGGTTTTTATGTCACATGAAAAGGTGATATGTATGTAGTTATCTCTTTGTCTGTAGTCAGGTTAGCTGTTTGATGTGTTGTCATCCAAACAGGTTTACATGCCATAATGTGAATACATCAAAGTTTGGAATTGACTTTCAAGTAAAAATGTCACAGTTACTATTACTATAAAATCAATTAATTGAAAATTAGTTTCTACAATAACTTGAAGGCCTTGAGTCCACCAAACTGAAACATTGCTCCCACTGAGTGTTTTGCTGGGGGTTGCTATTCATATAGGAATGTCAAAGGCCAATGTCACATTACTATAAATAGAAAATTGATTTTTTTTTTATATTTGATATATAACCTCATTACTTATTGTCAATGTTTGACCATGAAATGTATGTATTTGTTCTTGACCTTGACTTTTTTATCCTTTCAGACAACTGGTCAGTTTGTGGAGCTTCCCCAGGGTGTATACTGTATGGACAATGACCGACAGGGTCATCACCCAAAGATTGCCATTGGCAGCAGCCACAATATCTACCTTCTCCGAGGGGAAAAGAAAAGCTAAATCAAATCCCTTATATCAATATGCTTCTATTTATTCTTATGAAGTTGCCATTTAATTGTAGATAGATGTAGGGAAATCTTTTAGAAAATTCCAATATTTGTTTACTTCTTTCACAGCTTGCTTATGCAGATTAAAATCAAGCTGTGGAAAAAATGTTGAAAATTTAAAACATACATGGCTACGTTATGAGCAAAAAAGATAAAAAGAAAAATATTTTAACATTTAAAAGATGTAATATTAGAAGATAAAGTATAGATAAAATGTCAAAGCTGGATGTTGTTATCAGATACTGTATTTGATATTAAGTTTTCATTATTTAATGTGTCTCAGGTTTTAACATATAAACATGTGAGTTTTTCATGGTATCATTAAAGCAATGTCTATTTATAGAGATTGTCATAGGATCACACACATGATGAACATTATTTTAATATGAACAACATTATAACATGATCAATGTTGCAGCTGATGTAGTATGATAACGTGAAGCCCATGGTGAAGTAAACGCTGTTCATTTCACCATTATAGGGGGTTCATTCACCATGACCATGGTAAAGTGAAGCATTACACTATTTTCTTACTAGTTAAATTTTTGGCACCAATTCTTTTTCTAAATGCCCTGATTCTATCATAAAAACACACAAATAACAAAAATATATGTGTTGGGTAGGGAAATTCAGGGTGAGGCAGGGGGCTTCACTTTACCATGGCCATGACCTGCAGTTCACTTCACCACTGTGGTACATGTATTTTGACGCCGATTCACAATACCATCTACATCGGATCAATATTGTAATAGGATGAACATTTCAATAGAATCAACATTATAATGATATCAACATTGCCACTGGATTAACAAATTGCCAGTTATATTTGGCACCAATGTTACATACACATGTTGGTTCTGTTTTGAAGGATTTCTCTGTTAAAATTTTACCATCAAAATTTGAACTCCTACTTCAGAATCATTTAAAACTGAAAATCCTGAATATGTTGAAAATGTTTCTGTAAAAACCTAAGGCATATCTTCTGTTTGGAATTCATTACTTATATCAAGGGTATATCAGAAAAATGAATAATTGAAGTCTTAATTCACCGGTATTGTTCAAAACAGCAAATTCAATTTTATACAGATCTTTTTGATTAAGTTAAATTTTCTATCCAATTCGATAGAAATCCACAAATCACTGTAGTTATCGTGCATTAAGCCTAGGGATCAACAGTTTGATACTTCTTATTCAAAGTTAGGGCATGGGCTTATTACTGAACAGTGAATTAAAATATATAATTCTGCTGAATGATATTATGGGTATATGCTGGATAAGTACTGTAAAAAATTGTAGGTGCTAATTTTCATGTTTGTTTTTTTTTTTATGTCGTGTTGTGAATTATCAAGAAGATTGACAAAGTTTATCTTCGATGAGTTTTTTTTTTTAACATGATAACTGTTAATATGACTTTGATACCACTGGCTTTAACTCACAAATGTTGATGATACCTTAAATATGTAGTGTCATGATGTTAAAGCTCGCCAGCCCACAGAAGGATATCAACCAAATATAACCCCAGTGCTTTATCTAACTTACACAATCACTTTGTAATTATCACAGCCTATTTACAATCATAACATCAACACATCTATGTTTGATGTTTGAGACATATTTTTGTTCAGTTTAGTGATATTAGAACTGTAGTCATATTAGTTCTACCTTAGTTAGAATATCCTATTCTGTATCGCACAATCAAGTTTGACGGCTGACTACAGACATTAAAAATGGTTTATTTGATGATTTCACACTGATGAGTGATTAATTCCAAGTTTATCATCAGTCTTTGTAAATAATGCATCTGATTTCAACCTTATTTTCTGTACAATATTGTAGACAGGTTTAAATATTCAATGTGTGTGAGAGGGAGACTTTGTTATTTAATTGTGAGAGAAGACATGTATTTATATTCGTACATATGGAATCAAACATTTTGCTTGAAACACCATAGTTTCTAGTACTTAAAATGGATGTTGTATGTTGTCTTAAGGAATAAGATGAACTGAGATACACATGATAAAAATCAGATAGCATTTTTAATTCAAGGTGCTAAACACTAATTAGCTTAATAATACTTCAATCCGTCCAGTTCTAAATGAACAATAGTTTTCAATGAAACAATTGAACGATTTCCATTACTTAATCAACTCTTCATCTGGTTAATTTATTATATCAGCACAAACCAGCTTTGTATGATTGTATGAGATTTGCACAGGTCAATGAAGTTTAAGTATTTTTTAATTATTTTCTGCTTCAGTGAACAAAGCATCATACTCTGTAATATGAAACTCTATATGAAATGTTAGTAGGGTACTTTCCTCCATTGTTTCAAGATTCATTGAAGTGTTAAAAACCTCGTAAGATACTACATGATGTACATGTATTTCTTTTATCAGAAGTTTAGGATTTATTTAAAGAAATTATATCTTGACTACCTTTGTAAGTCACTAAGATAAAAAGATTCTTAAGATACTTAACTTTCAGTTTTGGTTCACTTGCCATTAATTTGGCCTTGACCTCTTGATGTCCATGACATTTACAAAGCAGGTGATTGATATGGCCACTTGGTCCTCTAGGTTTTCTTAATTCAAAATTCATTTTTATTTTTGTAATTTTTTTTATATTATTCTAGATTTGATGTTGCACTTTGTTTAATGTTTGTACTTTTGAATTTTTTGTCCTGCTAAATATATTGGATGGATATTTGTCTGGATTTAATTTTGTTTGGTGTGACATTTAACAAACTGTGTATATCATTTATATATAGCTTCCAATCCAGTTTGGATTATTTCAAGTTGTACTTCTGAAAAAAAAATTGCAGAGTTTTGTAATTGTTAATATATTTTACATTTCTTGTAATTAATGAATAATTTCTGTCTTCACAGCGTTAATAATGATGTTACAATGTCACACTACCTCACAGTGTAGTTTATAAATCTTTTCTGATCTTCTATAAGTTTCAGTTTATTTGGTTTGATATTTACAGGAGAAAGATTATAAATTCTGTGACTGCTTAGATAGTCTATCTCACTACATTGTTTTTACTTTTTCATTATAAAGAATAAATCTTGCGTGACGTTTATGGGGGTTTGATAACATGAAAGTAAACAGGAGGGAAAAAGCCATATTGTATATTCCTAACTTTGTTTTTGTTTTCTAAGAAATGTAAAAATAAAATTGGGCTTTTGTGCTAAATAAAAAATCCAACACATCATACTTTAGTATTAGAAAAGCACACACCTGCAATAACAGTGAATTTACCAGGTGAGTACAAAGATGTATAGACTTTCTGTCAGTTTATATGAAATATTTATATGAGAAAATAAAATTCCTTTGATTGTTATACTGTTTTTTGTGGGTAGCACCTTTAATTCAAATACTTTGACCCAGATATTTTTACACAGTATAAACTATGCATATGCATGTCTTGATGTCCTGATACAGATAAACTACATTTTACACGTGTCAAAATATTGATATGATGCAATTTGTTTTAGACTGTATATTTCTAAACACCCAGAAGTCTGAATCTTCTAGATTAGTTAAACAAGTCTAAAAGGTGATGCATTGTTGGATGCACTGAGATCGTAATTCAGCCTGTCTCCTGTGATAAAGACAGACCTGTCCTTCATTTCTACCAACTTGATTTCTTGTCAGTAACAGATTTAATACTTAACATCCAGTATAATTTTCCCTTTATTTTCTTAAAACAAAATCAGAGATAAATCTTGATCACGTGATCGTCATCCTTGAACATAAAATCCATGTTCTCTTTCCTTTTAAATGTAATTACGATTTTGTCATTAATGGATTTTTGTGGTACAATATTCAAAATTTCCTGATGCTTTGTTTCAAAAATTTTAAATGTAATGTAACCATGGCATCTAGAGCATAATTCAACTCTAAATGACTGGTAGTGGACATCTAGAATATCCAATGATTACACGGCAGGCACAATAAATACCCATACTTATCCCTTAGTTTCAAGAACTCTTTCACAGTTCTTAATAAAATACAATAAAATTCCTTTGAATACCCAAATTCAAAATGACCATTTTCAGCCATCTTGAATATCTTATGATGCTCAAAATGTAGCATGCAAATCTAGGACCAATCATGAACATCTTTTTCACTGCTATGCATACATTGCAGAAACACACTTTACGTGTCAATGTTGAAAATGCTGGTGGCAGCCAATTTAGATATCCAATATGGCCCCATAATATGAATGTTCATAGTATAAAAAAAAACAGATCACATCATTAGTTCTTAATGAATATCAGTAACAAACTTTAAATGTTAAAATTCAAAATGGCAGCTAAAGATCGTCTTGAATGCATAACAAAGATCTTAACTGAACACGTCAATAATCTTCGGAAATAGCGGTAACATACATTAAATTTCAAAATTGTGGCTGATATCCATCTTGAATAGCCAATGACGTTCGAAATGTACAATTAGGACGAATACTGAACGTGTCCATAAAGATTCGAGCAGATCGCTGGAGTAGTAATTGGCAGAAACAGCGGTAACAAAAATCATTCTTTATTGGTGGAACGGACGCACCATGGACGAAAAGTGATTTTAAAAGGCATTCGATGATAGTGCTGTAGAAGTTGTGTTCGTATTGGTATACAAAAGTAAGTGAGAAACTTGTATGATAGAAACTGGTTTTGGTTTATAATTTGAATTTATTTGTCATTTCTATCATTGTCGAACGTCGAATGTCTTTAGCTGGGCACAACACCAAGGCTAAAGGGATGTGTTTTAAGGAGGATGAAAGACACGTTACAAAGACAGAACGCAAATTCCGCAGCCCGCTTCACTTGTGTTAGGTTTTTCCTTTTTTATGAGGGGGTGGGACTTACGTGCTATCTAATAAAAAACAATCCGTTCATAAACAGATTTTACATAAACTTCCATTTTACTGAGCACCTCTTAATTACTACAATAAAAGCTGGTACATTGAAACACTTATCAAATTATTGAAACAATTCAATATACAGCTTCTCAACATTGTCACTTATTTCATCACGCGACCGGACATCTGGGGACCCCACTGATGGAAATCGTTCAAAATAACACATCCAAAATAGTCATCTTCCAAAATGGTCGTCGTGGTTGCCATATCAATTTTTTTGTTGCAGACGAAAATAATTATAACGACTTTGTCAATATCTGTCCCTTACCGTCCCCGAGAATTTTAGTCCAATGACACCAGTGGAACTAAGAAGTTTAAACTGTGGCTTTCAAGATGATGACTATGGTTGTCATATATCAGATTTAAGACTTACCCGAAAAATAGCAACACGTGACCAGGGCCGTCTCTGGATCATTTCAGGTAGATCTGAATTAATTTACAATTAAGGATCTTGTGAGGTGAAAGATGTGAAAGGCTTACAATGTTGGCGGTCGACTGATGGCGAACGACGATAAACGAAACACCGTGAATAAAAATCATTTAATCTTAAAAAATCGTGACTATTTTCATAAATCGTATATGTAATGGAAACGAATGTAACATTCAGTTGATCGCAAATGAAAACATTCTCGAAAGCAGTTATTAGACTGTTACAAATTTTAAATGGCGATATTCTCTCTAATCATCTTTTTTTCACGTCATAATGCTTGCGACGCCATAGAGTTGTGACGTCACAATAGAAACATTTGGGAACCGTTAAATTATATTTCACTTATGGTCTAAAACCTAACTCATATGATGGGATACCTGGGTGGTTATGTGATAAAACATGACTGAATATTAGAGTATCGAAGGGATATTATCTAAATCAATGATGTGACAGGCTCTTAGATGTGCGAGGAACATACTAAGCAATTATCAGATGCGAAGAAACCTACTTTGGAGCACAAAGAACGTATTTATTTAATCTATTCATGAAGTCCACTCAAACTGACCTTCTCATGACCGATTCAAACAAATTTTCACTAAAACAGTAACGGCCCAATCTAACCCACTCATGAGTACCGATTCAAACAAATCTGCACTAGAACAGCAACGACCCAAACTAACACACTCATGAGTACCGATTCAAACAAATCTATACTGCACTAGAACAGCAACGACCCAAACTAACACACTCATGAGTACCGATTCAAACAAATCTGCACTAGAACAGCAACGACCCAAACTAACACACTCATGAGTACCGATTCAAACAAATCTATACTGGAACACGTAACGACTCAAACTAACCCACTCATGAGTACCGATTCAAACAAATATGCACTAGAACAGCAACGACTCAAACTAATCCACTCATGAGTACCGATTCAAACAAATCTGCACTAGAACAGCAACGACTCAAACTAACCCACTCATGAGTGCCGATTCAAACAAATTTTCACTAGAACAGTACCCACCCAAACTAACCCACTCATGAGTACCGATTCAAACAAATCTGCACTAGAACAGCAACGACCCAAACTAACCCACTCATGAGTACCGATTCAAACAAATATGCACTAGAACAGCAACGACCCAAACTAAGCCACTCATGAGTACCGATTCAAACAAATATGCACTAGAACAGCAACGACCCAAACTAACCCACTCATGAGTACCGATTCGAACAAATTTTCACTAGAACAGTACCCACCCAAACTAACCCACTCATGAGTGCCGATTCAAACAAATTTTCACTAGAACAGTAACACCCAAACTAACCCACTCATGAGTGCCGATTCAAACAAATTTTCACTAGAACAGTAACACCCAAACTAACCCACTCATGAGTACCGATTCAAACAAATCTGCACTAGAACAGCAACGACCCAAACTAACCCACTCATGAGTACCGATTCAAACAAATCTATACTGGAACACGTAACGACTCAAACTAACCCACTCATGAGTACCGATTCAAACAAATCTATACTGGAACACGTAACGACTCAAACTATACCACTCATGAGTGTATCAAGATGACGCGGCATTAAGGCCTTCAGTAACAACGTAGAGTCTGCTGCTGCTGCTACAATACGTTTATTGCTACATCGAGCATGGCATAGACGCTTGAAATATGATCACATAAATGTTTGACTATTACAGTAGTACTAATTACTGACATATATCGACTAGAACTTGTACATAACAATGACATATTGTTACAATGAGTACCGATTCAAACAAACCTATACTGGAACACGTAACTACTCATACTTACTGATTTCCTAAGTGGATACTACAATAGCTCATGTAATTTATGTAATATGTAGTCGGGAGGTTGTTCACTAACTTTTCTACATCTGATAGCTAAAGATGTTTGATAAGCCGTAGTCCAGCATGTACTCTACATGATTATACAAATATACGGCATATGTGGTATTTGATGATCGAATTCTAAGGCAAAATGTACAAGGAGTGAACTCTAGGAATATTTTGATGCCGCGTTCATTGTAATAATCAACATCAATCATTGGAAACGATATTCGAAACAATTATGCTATACTCTGCATTACTCCATGTTTCGTCAGTTCAACATAGCACCAGGATTTGTAACAATAGCATTCTGTTTGTAAAATTTCCTGCAATGAGAAAAAAAGGAATAACAAATATCCTGAAATTTAAATTTTGGTGTAGACTTGGGAAAGGAATATCATTGTTTTAATCGGATAGCACGCTGATTATGACGTCACAAAGGTATGGATTCTATGACGTCATCGTAATTATTTGACTGGCCCTGGTAACCAAGATCGATGAGACCATTTTTCTTCAACTAACGACCATGTCCTGAGTTTAAGTCTCCGCTGTGAAGTTGCCATAGTATTACAGACGGTGACGTCCAGACGAGTCTAGGCTTGCTGCCAGGTATGTTATGGATAGTAAAGGAGGGGAAGGCTGTGAGAATGTGTAAAACCGCGGAAAGCGGGCCAGTGGTGTAATGGTGAAATTATCTCGATCATTAACAGGTCTAAATCAAATGTGTAATTTAGAGGAGAACAAGGAGGAACAAGGAGGGAGATATTGGTCGTAATAAATGAATAGCAATGTAGCAAAAAGTGAAAGAAATGTCGGACAATGTAACGAGACAATTACAATGACATAGACAACCATAGTCTGTCGGGAAAGTATAATGTCACAGGCGAATATTGTGTAACGGCAAAGTATAATGTCACAGGCGAACATTGTGTAACGGGAAAGTATAATGTTACAGGCGAATATTGTGTACCGGGAAAGTATAATGTCACAGGCGAATATTGTGTACCGGGAAAGTATAATGTCACAGGCGAATATTGTGTAACGGGAAAGTATAATGTTACAGGCGAATATTGTGTAACGGGAAAGAATAATGTCACAGGCGAATATTGTGTGACGGGACAGTATAATGTCACAGGCGAACATTGTGTAACGGGATAGTATAATGTCACGGGCGAATATTGTGTAACGGGAAAGTATAATGTCACAGGCGAATATTGTGTAACGGGAAAGTATAATGTCACAGGCGAATATTGTGTAACGGGAAAGTATAATGTCACAGACGAACATTGCTAAACAGCAGATGAACATTGTGTAACGGGAAAGTATAGTGTCAAAGACGGACATTGTATAACGGTGGAGTACAAAAAACAGAGAAACGTTATGTCGCATATTGCTTTGCAACATATAGACAAGGTGCATCATGTTAAATTGTGTTATTTCTAGGAGTTGCAATGGAAGATACCGGGCGATACTGGCCTGAAAAGGGCAAAAAGACGAATGAGGAAATTGTCTTCTTCGACGCGAAGGCCCTTGCTGAAAAGAGGGCCATGGATACGGAGAATGTGTACAATATTACACAGCTTCCTCCGCCATCGCCCGACATCTCTCTGAGGGAGATAAAACGACGAAACTCGAAAATAAAACGGGTTCAACAAGAGGAGAAAGAAATGTCCAGACAGATGGAGCAGCGCTTGCAGGACATCTCCAACATATATCGGGTCGCCATACCTTCTATGTCCGAGAGTTACAGCAAGCTTCCAAGTGGAAGTTCCGTCAGTCACCTGCCGCCGTTGTCGCCAAGCGGCAGAATGGTTTCGGCTTCTTACCTCCAGACGCGACCTCCAAAGGTTGCCGTTAATCCCCAGTTAGATAAAGGTTCTATGTTCCGGGCAACAATGGCGGGACGCACTCGCACGTCCAGTTCTTACCGGGAATTCGTCGGTCGTCTCTCCTACCTAATCAACCAAAGTAGAGAAAAAATGACCAAGCTGTACGGAAGCTCAGATTTGTCACTGGTCATGGAATTTCTAGGGAAGGAGTCCCCTGATCACTGCGTGTATCTCGACTCTAGTCCCAGCGACAAAATGGCAGCGTTCCGTCAGCAGCAGTTTTGTATCAATACCACAGTAAGAAAAATACTTCATAATGAAGCCAAGAAAAAAGGGCGTGCTCCTCATTCGATAAAGTAGTTGTCACAAAAATTAACTGAATAAACCTTCATGAGCAAAGAGAAAGTCCCATTATTTTTGTAGCTGCCGTTATGGATTTCCATGGTTAATTTAATGACCTAGTACCAAACGTGAACACAGTTTCTTGGGTTTCTGAACCCCAAACTCTGGACATTGACTGTTAATTTGAAATTCGTGGTTCGAACAATATTTGCGGCCGTCAACCTACTTCATCGATGTTTGAAGTTTACTTGGCGATATCCTTACAATAAGGTCAGATAATAATTCGACAGATCGGCGACCTCTTGTGTTACAGTAGTTGTCATAAACATATCTTATCCTATTAGAATCGCTAAAACGTTGCTTTTTACATATGATTTGATAGTTTTGTCTCAATCTCTCCCATTCTATTTCCTCTCCAACATCCCGCTATCTTAGTAGATTATTGTCACTAAACCCATGGTCTGCAGGAATGATTGGCTAAAAACAACTGGCCTAGCTTAATCATGTCTTGTTATCAGACTGTAGAAGTTTACAAGATCGGTCAGATATATATGGTCAGTATAATTGTTGAAATATTGTCTGACTGGGGTAGTAGCAGGCAGAGTTTAAATAACAGTACTACATTAATTCCTTAGTAAGGCAAGACTTGTTTTCTAGCTAGATTGTTTGAAAGGGAGTTGAATTTTTTTTAAATACCAAATAAACATCTCTTATAAATGTACAAAGGTTCTCATCCAACGCTCTATTCCCTTTCTGCAATTTGTGTAGTTGACAGAATTACGATTTTGTTTAAATTGTGTTATGAGGTAGGAGGCCGGGTATTAACATTGATAACATTGTTTGATCTAAATAATTTCCTGGTGGTAAAGAACCCATTGTAAATTATTTTGTCAATCACTGGATTTCACAATGACCAGAACATGTCAAGTTGTCAACATATTCATTTTGGGTGATTTATTAATACCTCTTAATATCCTAATGTGGTAAGTGTTTCTTACCTGGATATATATATAAAAAAAGTCACAAGTTAAAAAAAACTCCTTTATTGCAACAGGTAGTCTTCAAATACAAATATGTTATCTCTCTCAAATAAACATAAATGTCACAAAAACGATTGTTATACCTGATACATAAAGAGTGAGGTTAATTAAGGGACAATGATTCTGCTGCCAATGACAATGTACTTTTTTAACTGAAAAAAATGTATTACAGGAAAATACATGTTACCTCAATATCAATAATTCTGATGCATCAAAATTTTGGTTTATTTCTTATGCCTTATACTGCAGGAAAGACACTTCCTAGCCAAATAAGCATGCTTTACTAAAATAAACACAGGAGTATTTCCACAATTTTCACAAAGGAATGTTACTACCTTTTCATGTATTCAGTTTCCACACACAGGTTGTTGTGAAAATCAAGCAGAGGAAAAAATCACTGCCCTTATTCATAACTGCAAACAGATCACAGACACATGAACATCCATGGTCATTAGACTTTCTGTAGGAATAATGTTTAAAACTGTTTATGGACAAAGAAAAATTACACAATAGCAAAGAAATATATTTGACCAGCAGTAAAATCAAACTTCAAAGGATTATTATATGAAACTACAAATGTACATAAAAAATATTTGATATTATAAATCATCAAGCTAAATGTTTCGATTATTTTGCCAATATTAGTAGCAGCACTTGTCACATAAAGTACACGGAGTGTGGTAATATTACAAAGTAAAATGTCTAACAGATTGTAAAATAAATCTCATTCACGGGTAAGAAAAAATATGTGATAAAATGCCAAAATACAAACATAAGTATTTTGAGGGATAAGCCAGTTTTAAAAACTTCATGATGGTATATTAAATATGAAGCTATTTAAATATTGTAATCACTTCTGTTTTCAAACAGTAAAGCTATCCACTTTCCATTCTTTGTCACTCTATCCAGGATTTGTGACACTGATAACATTTAAGATTCAATAATCTTTTGGGCCAAGACATGAGGTCATTCATCATATTAACAATTTGCAGCAGACAATATATCATAGATATACCTCTGCAAATACTCTCCAGTGAAACATGACCATTCAAAAGTGACATTACATCTTGGATGAATCAGAAATAGCTTGACATCAAATTACATACAATTACCAATCATACTTTTAAAACATGATTTTTGTGCAAAGAAATTTGTATCAAAAAATGAAATCATTGTAACTTGAAAAATATATACTTGTGTCAATATATTTTACATTTGTACCTGACAGTCTAGTCTTAAAACAATGGTAACATCCATACACAGTAGGTGTCATTTAATCTGCATTTCACCTTCAGTTCATTCCTTCATTAATTCTCTTTTACACATTTCTATACAAAAACTCATCCACTTGACTTAAAAGTATAAAAATTGCACTTGTAGTACATTGAATGCTGCCTATTCTTATCAATGCTATTTAAAATAGCAAAATGATTATTTTCTCCCCACTGCGTAGAAATCTTGTAACAGGCTTCAACCTCTATTTTTCTAAAGCAAATTACCTATATCAAAATAAGTAATGACTTTTGAAGATCATAATATGATTTATATCTGAAGTGAAGGCAAGACTTTCATACACAACAATAAATTCATCAGAATATCATCTGTCTCTAGAAAAACATTTTACTTTAAACTCAATACCAAACAAGGTCTTTAACAACTTGAGGATATACAGAGGAAGCTTGAGATACATCCTGTTTTACATGTTGTGAACTGTTGTAGTCATATTACGATGCCTTTGATCTTGTGAAGTATGTTTTAGAGGTTATGGAGGAAGAAGAATCCTCTGCCAAGTAGTACAGTCCTGCAGCAGGTAAAATGCCGGTTAAGCAGCAACCCAGAAACAATCGTACCGTCTCTGCATTGATTGATCCATCATAGAAGGCACAGGCCACACATCCAAGGGTGAGGAGTATTATCTGAAAATAAAAGAAAATACATTCAAGCACGTTCTCCTGAAAAGGATCAATACTGATTTCAATCTGTTATGAAGAAAAGTGTATACAAAGGAATAAGTGGGGACATTATATTTACAGTAAACAACATGAATTGCTTTGTAGTTGTACTTCCTTGAACTTTTCATTACCAAAATTCTTCAAAATTTAATAAACAGATGTTGACAAATATGTGGTAAATACTTGTTTTGATTGTGAATGTATGTAAAAACCAAAAAACATTCTGATTGTTAAAGTATCAACAAATGTTACACAAACAGCCTGAGTTCTTTACATATATTATCCCAATCCTTATCAACAATAGAAGCTGTACTGCCACTTAATAAGTCAATCGAGGAACCAGATTGCCATATGTTAATTTTGTTTGAGACGCCAACCCATCACACGTCAAATGTCTAAATTTACATTTAATTAAACTGACACAGTTCAAACGACATACTAACAGCACAATATGAAAATAAAGAATAAACCCTGCGGATACACAATCATAAAAGAAATTCATACTGGGATATATCAAATCTTTAACAGTATGATGTACATAAAGTGTGGGAAAAGTCTAATTTACCGTGAGCTGCATGCAAAAAAACCTCCTTCTGTCCTCATTTTCTCTAAAGCTTGGGGCAAACCAGGCCAGAAAAATATGACCGAATGCAATGGCACCAGACACACGCTCTTGGTGGACTTGAAAGTTCTTGGGATCGTGTATCTGGAAAAAGATTTCAGTAATAAACCATAGGAAACAGTGAAATAAATTGTTTTCTGGCTCTCTGCCAGTTTTGATACATTGTAGTAAAGAATGGATGAATCCATTGTGTATGACTGCGAAAAAAAAGGTTTCTGGGTCTGAGCTAGTTTTGATACATTTTAGTATATAACAAATTGATCTTTTGTGTATGACTGTGAAAAAATTAGGTTTCTGAGTCTATGCTAATTTTGATACATTATAGCATAAAATGAATTAATAATTTGTGTATGACACAATATGGATTTAGAGTTTCTTTGTTCTGATATATTGTCCCTTGACCTCCAAAACTGATTTACTTGATGTGAAATAATGTGGTTTCACTCTTGTTAGTGAATTTAAAACACAGAACATGATATTGCCAGAGGATTCTTTGGCACATCATATGATCACATCTAAAGTACAGGGTTTCATAGTTATAAGCTGTTTGTTATATTCATCTAATCTGATAACCAATGCAGAAAATGCTGCAAGGCCATTCAGTTATTCAAAGTGATTCTAAATTAAAACTACTGTCCATCCATAGAAAATCAAATTTGAAGCTAAAATCTTAATTGGTGGTTGTCTCCTACTTACAACAAGTATTGATAGACAAAATTTTGTCAATGTATCTTCAATCAATATTGCTGAGTAAAATATGCAAATATGCAGCATATCTGGAGCACTGATGGTACTATGCTTCATTAAATACTTACAAACGACCCGATTGTCACCTTTGGGAAAGCCATTGTCGCTAACCCAATGATAAAAAGGAGCAGGAAGTCAAGTCGTAAGATAACACTGACAGGACCTTTCATTTCTCGTCTACCAACAGAAGGTCTTGTTCTCACAAGCTGGACAATATTGGTCACCATGATACAGCCAACACACAGAATGAAGAACCACATGTTCTACAAAACAATAGAAAAAACATAAACATAAAACTGGAACCAGTATTAAAACATATGTATGTGAAGGAAAAAAATGTACAGGAGGCCTACAAAAAAATGGTGGAGCTGTTTCTCATGTGTTACCTTTAAAAGGATATACAGGCCTTCATGTCTTAAACACTCCAGTCACGTTCCCATGCCTGATAATAAGCTCATTTATATTTGCATACAAACCATTATTCTGTAATAAACCTCGGAGTCAGTTTATTTATTGACACCAGGGTCAGATGTAAAACATTTTTATTTACACATTACCACATTTGGCAAACTTTTTTCCCCAACTGCATTTCATTATCTTTAGATCTTGTTATAACATTTAAAGTGACTAAATGATTAGATTGTGTAACTTTTTCCCATGCATTTGATTTTGGGTGAACGTTGCAATACTTAAAATTAGACTTTTCACAAAATCATAGCAGTTTTTGAGAAAAAATTGATAAAGATTATCAGCTTCAAGCTAGCAATGGTTGACAACCACTGTTGTGTCCACCGCTATTTTAGTTGAAAGTGGCAAAGTTCATTCTGTAATCTTTCAAAACCTCGATTAAATATGTAGCTTTATTGATTTCTAAATTCTCTTTCATCTCGAATGTAGAAATGTATTGTTTATACTCTCAAAATGATAATGGTAATAATAAGTGATTGGTTGCTCCTGTTTTATTTAAGATTTTTGTTGTTTTTAATTACATGATTGAGCAAACTTCTGAATATTGTAATAAAAAGAAAATGAGCAACTTTTAACAGGTTTAAAGGTTATAATGCTTTTTATCAGTCATGAAATGAAAACCAAACCATTTAGTCATTTTAATGAATTATTGGTAGCACAAGCACAATTAACAATCTATACATCTGACCAATAATACAATATAATATCAGGTGGATCTGCTTAATGTATATTATCCTTTGAATCACAGAATGCTTCATACTTGTGTTTCTGTTATCCTCACAATCTATTATTGTATTTGTATTAAGCAAACCCTGTATACAACTTCAATCATACGACTACAAACTGATTGCCACAGTCAGTATTTACAGCAGATTACTGTTTTATAAATACAGACGTGCTTTCTTGATTTAGACTTTGTCTACAGTTTGCTTGCCTTGCAGAAGTGTACAGGTGTAACATGATATTGTTGTAGACATCACACAGCCCAAATGTAATATCAATATCAAGCCTCCTCTGTCCCATCTAGCAAGGCAATGTAAATTATTGTCATCATCATTATAGCTAGCAGTATCCCCTTGATTTAATGACACTTAATATGCTTTCTAAACAATGTATTATCATTACATTCAGTTTGATAAAAATACTTACCCTGTCAGTGAAAGTCTTGGTGTAGGTAAAGTGTCCATGCAACATTACCATCAACAGTGGGAACAGCCCCTGTAAATATTGACAAGTCTTAATATCAACACCCACTGTTAAGTGTAGAATTTAACTTGGACGAACATGACCGAGGAAAATTTAACATTGAAATTTTGTTTAGTTTAAAAAATCAGTTCTAAAAACTGAAATGAAGATTACATAACATTCTAAATACTGAAAACCAGAGTTTAGTGGAAATTCCTTACTACAAAACCATATATATAGTGATCAGCTGATTTAGTAAATATATCAAAGAGTTTTACCAGTGTCCTGGACCACAGCATTGCTCCAATGACACTATCATCTCGTGATTTTCTGCAAGAGTACCACATTACCATAGGAGCCAAAATATGTACACCATACAAACGGTACATGAGGATGTTATTAGGATCCTTGATAGTCTTGTCGCTGAACACCTGCAATACAAACAAAATCATTTGTCAAAATATCACAAAGAAATACTTCAAAAATCGTAATTTGCCAAAAGATCCATTACCAACAATCTGCAAAGAACTATTTCATCAATACATCTGACATGGTCATATCTTCAAGCAGAATCACTTTAGTTACATGTATATCAATATTTCTCTTTGTGGTCTTAGTAAAGGCCTATTGACAAAATGTGAATTTTAAATCCACAGTGCCATCCTGTCACACTAAACATCTGCCCTACAGGTGGGACATTTAAGAACTGTACTTCCCATCACTTTTGTGTAATTCCTAACTGGCCACGGATTTCCTTCAATGACCATATCTGTTAGTAGGATATAAAGCAATTAGGAACCAAACCATATTGAACATACACCAAACCACAATAAATAAATGTCTTATTTCTTCACATTGTCACCAACTAGGAAATGATTACCTTCATCTGACACCAGTTTTTAAATTTCTGCACCTTTGGTAACATATTAGTTCATTTCTGACTACATAAGCTATAATTTCAGTGTGTTAAACTTCTTTAGCAATTAGTTCATTATTATTTAATCGACCACATATAGGATGTAAATTTTGATGTTATTGGCATTTTAAGAGGTGACTACTTTACAACTACATATTATCATATCCTCATCAGTACAGAGAAATTCTGAGTATAATTATGAACCCATGTGGACCCTCTCCATTTCTTAAACCAAGGGCAATAACTCCATCAAAATATCAGACTAAATCAATACATTTAAAATCAAAACTAGAGGTTCTGACATATTTTATAGGTATTACAATGTGCCTATAAAATATTATGCTGTACTGTATACGGACTCTGAACCATTTATTGAATACAACATCGCAACATTGAGTAAGAAACCCTTGTGCTCAAATCTAAACAGCTGCGCCTTCCATAGTTTACTATCATATCAGTAATAACATGCTACTGACATGAATCTGGCTACCGGTCCCTATTCTCCCAATCTTTTTGTTAAATGATAAGTCGACGTCCTCATAAATCTCAAATGAAGTCAAACGGTTAATTGCAACATTTGAAGTCGATCAAGTGGCAATATCTACCAAATGCGAAATGCAATAACGCACGCAACTAATAACACTGAAAATATTTAAGTACGTGACAATATTATGTAGAATCGTTTCGAAAACAACGCACCTGCTGACCCATGAAAAATTGTGGAAATAAGATTGCTCCAACGCCGAGCCATGAGGTGAATACCATATCTGCAAACATGGCAGTCTTCCTGTCTCCAAGACTAACTCCAAACCCCACCAAAAGAGCTAAAGCTCGTATCACGTCGTAAACAGGCACCATTTTTCGGTTTTCAGTTTAAAATTTTCAAAATATACAACCCGAAAATTTCAAACAATGCGCCGCTTTCCCAATGATGCGCCACCTGGAGGACGCGTATAGAGGTCACTCAGGAGTGTTCGACTAGACAAGCTCTAGGTGCGTTCGTTAGATATAAGCCAAAACTAAGCAGGGACAAGTCACGTTTCCTTATCGCCCATAAACGATTCTTACTCGACTTTTGATATACAATGTTGCACACAGATCCCATCGATGTTATTATTATGACATTTCAGTTTTGAAAACCGTATTTTCTCTGGTAGGAATGCCAAGGTAGTTTGATGTTGGGCATACCGACTTTTTAACAGTTAAGAAGAAATAATTTCAAATATCCTTTGGAATCAATCGACAGCAGAATTTAGGAATCGTATTTTCCATGTCTGACATTTCATGTCGAAAGAGAGAGCTCGACGACTGTGGACATAGTGGCTCTAAGTGAAAGATTTACAATGGAATAAAATGGACTAAAAGTTAATTTATAACTTATACTTTTTATGGTTGATTGTCGATTACCGGATGTTTTGAATTAGTGTCAAATCAAAAATTTTCTATTGTGTGGGCTTACAGTTTAGTTGATTATGTCATCTTGTCCATTCTTACATTCGTCGTTTTAAATTTGTATAAGCCGACGAGTACGATAAAGCTGCCAACTTCGTCTCCTGGTTAGATGTGCCGAGTTTCCATGACCATATCTATAAACATTGTGATACATCACCAGCATCATTAGGTAAGAACTATAATTTCATTTGCTGTGGTAACGGTGGGCTAATATTCATAGTCCATCAAAAACTTTGCTACCCTTTAGAAAGTATACCAGACAATCGAATTGTACCATCGGTATGTGTATTCATCGTGTTAATTCTACGCTTCCTTTTCTGATTGGGGTCTATATGTCTACACTCCGGTGTAAAGGAATAAAGTAAAGTCACATAGCCCATTGGAGGTTGCATCAGGTTCTATGCTGATATTATTGACGCCCAATATGATACACAGCCTATTTTGTATTCTGCGCGACGGGAAAAATCGCCATTTCATGAGCCAATCTCCTCAAACAACTTTATTCCAATCAACAAATTTGACATGTGTTCGGGACTATTTTACACTTTTACTCTTCTCTGACGAAAGACCAAATGATTGACTGCATCCAGGCATGAAGAGTCTGTTCCATTCCCGACACAGATATACCGCGCCTGACCACGCAGTTTTGGAATGTACAATCCGAGTGCAAGTGTTCCTTGACACCGCGTTTTCAAAACCTCCGTCGAACGATAATTGAGAACTTGCAATGTTGATAATCTAAGATAGTTCCAACTCACCGTCGACAACATACTACGGAAGCATCTAGACATCGACATAAATCAAAAGCAAGACATTGATTCATTCCATACTATAATCACAGATATTCTGATCAACTGCGCGCGTCACCTGAGGATGGAGTGGATACGAGACGAGAAATCGCGTGGCGTTCAGTATCCTTCTTATCCTCCATACGTCAACACATGTAAATTATCATAGGTACGGACGTAATCTAAAAACATTATTGGGGTCCATGCGCTATATGACAAGTCGAAGTGTAAAGATAAGTGGGGTACGTGCGCTATAAGACATGTCGAAGAAAAACAATAGTGTGGCACGTGCGTTATATGACAAGTCGAAGAGAAAACATTTAGGAGCGATACGGAAACGTTTTCTTACCTAATCTCGTTTTCAAGGGTTTCAACTTGCAGCCCTGGTGCTCGCTCATTAGCAACGCTGATGTGGGTTGTGCACGCGGTGATGTTACTGCTTATGACAGTGTCTATCCGATTTTCTGAATGTATACAAGAGCTATTTTAGCTCATCTAGTCCGAAGAACCCGCAAGTTTATGCTATAGAGCAGCGACTGTCGTCCGTCAATGTTTTACCTGAGAATCGCTACTAGTCATAGAGGACTGAGCGGATTTTGACCAAATTTGGTCAGAAGCATCCTTGGGGTCGAGAAACAAATTTTGCATAAAGGGTGGATCTCGACGCCCAGGGGATTGAAAGCTGGGCCACACTGGGGAAGTTTTGGCTGGATTTTGGCAAAATTTGGTGTGAAGTTTCCTTGCATTGGATGAAAGGGAACCAATTTTGTGTAAACGATGGGTTTTGGTCGTCTGAAGCGGTAGGGGTTGTGACCAAATAGGGGTATATAGTGAAAATTCTTTAAAATCCTACTTTTCCTACAGGAAAGACTGGATTTTGTTTGAAGCATTCTTTGGCGAAGTGGACTAAATTTGGTATAAACGACGGGCCTCTGCCCTCGAGGCTGGAGAGCGGGGTCCAATGTGACCTCGAATGACCTTTCCTGAAATTAATTCGTCGGATATTTGGTATAACCTGGTATTCAAAATCGATGTAAATATTGATCCATTCATTAAACATGTGTAATAGCTCTGTAATTGTCTAGTTCTTTAGGTTCATCTATGTTTTTGTTTTGCATATGGGTTTATTTATCTCAGTACTCCAACTTTCCGGTATTAAACCAGTATCTTGTATAATGTTAAACAGTTTAACGAATGTAAGAGGCATAATATCCTCTATATTATTATATATTCGTTATATACATCGTCTATACCGCATGCTTTGTTATTATCTAGTTTTTGAATCGAGTTTACAACTTCTTCGGGAATAATTGGACCATTATATATCATAGATACTGGCGTTCCTAATCGGTATTTCTGAAGACTTCGTGTTCACCGTTTTGAAGATTCAATTTGCTAAAACATTCATACAGTTCATCGATTTGGAAGTCATCTTTGTGTTTTCATTCGATTTATCGATTCTGTTCAGGATGTTCTAAAACAATTTTGGTTTATACAAGAAATTTTCCTTGTTTCTCTTACAGGTTCTTCATGAAACTTTAAATAATTTGCGTTGATCACGTTTCTGTACCATCTACCTTTCTTGTTTAGTGTTTACGGTTCGCAATACTTTTTAAAATAGTGTACCTTTTCTTAGCGTCATGAAATTCTTTTCGTTTCATGTGACATTCATGAATTATCATTTTTTTTACCTGTATAAGCTTCTTTTATTCCAAAGACCTTTTCGTCGTTCCTTTAAACATATCACTTATAAAGGTTATTAACTCATTTAAAGTGGACTTTCATATTTCTTGGGTGATTCCTTAATGCTGTCAATTTTCGTATTTATTTCTCGTAATTTAAATGGAAGGTTTGCTGCCTTATCCAGGTGAATTCACAGTTCACAATTTAATTAACGGGATGGGAAGGAGCTAGTCTTCGAAGCAATTAGCCAATATTTCTGCCAAATCCTCGTCCGTAATTATTTCTTTTTGCTTAACTGGTGAGTGGTGTTGACTCCGTCATTTTCCACATTTCGCTTGCAATAAAAGTAACCAAATCCTTGATGTTCTTGGACGTACGTAAAGATGATATTGTCCTTGACCCTGAAACTTCGATTGATGTTCGATCCTGGTACCTTGATCCTGAGAATATAACAAAAAGTGGTCAAGAGGGCTCTGACGTGACGCTTGGATATGCCTCTCGTCTTTCTTTCTCTGACGGTCAGTCCTTTGGGTTTCATTTTTTACCCTTCTCAGTATCTCGTAGGCAACAATTACGGCGCTGGATATTGTCACGGTCCTTGGTATGCTGACGATGTATGTTTTGGGACAGAGATCGATCGTCACTCTCGTGTTCGGTCTTGGACAAACTCGGCATTCTCTTGTCGTATTTCGAGTGACGCACACAGCACCTTCGCGGCAACTAGTGATCGATTCGTCCGTGCAAAACCCATACAAGCCGCGTTCGAAGTCTTCTCTCATTTCCGATTTGATGACGTCGTCTATACAGTTGGCAGTCAGGCCACGTACCTGTCCACCTGTACAAAACAAAACGATTAAAAATCTTCCTTATCGAGATCGACGGTGATTCGATCAGCCGTATCATGGTATCCTCACCCATTGGGTCCTCCTACATTTGATAAATCCCTTGAGGGGCAGGCCACTCGAGGAAGTATCCCTCGGGGGAGGGGGTAGCCCCAATAGGGGGATTACCTTTGAGGGGGATCTCTTAAGGGCCGGGGCATGGAACAGGAACATATAGAAGGGACTCGAGAAAGAAGTACATCCTATTCCACTTATAGCCACCATGTTTACACGTAATGCAGGCTACAGTCACATGTGTGACCACGTAATTATCTCCCTTGAACGGTATGCCATAGATTCGGGACCAGTCCGGAAACTCGAGTGGCAATCCAGTGTCCATGTGGACTAGTGGAGACTTTCGTGGAGTATAAGGACTGTAAGGTCGAAAAAATCCGATTTAACAGTGTCCCGGCTATGTTACTTGTCTTCTACACGTTTCTATGTATCGTCACGCTATCATACATACGACAACAACTGCAAGGATTTTAATAGGTTATCGCCTTACTTAGGTCACGAAAAGTACAAAGGTGTGTAGATTTTCCAGAGAGCAATGGCGAAGCCAATACCGAACAATGTTGTCATTAAGACCAGGGAGATGCATACGAGCGGAGAACCGTTGAGGGTAATCGAGTCCGGTTTTCCCTCCCCTCGGGGAGACACTTTACTTGAAAAAATCCGCTACACTCGGGAACATCTCGATCCTTACAGAAAGTTGCTGATGAGCGAACCTCGCGGCCATCTTGACATGTTTGGTGCGGTATTGGTAGAGCCGGATAACAAGGAGGCAGACATGGCCATCATGTTTATACATAATGCAGGTTATAGTACCATGTGTGGTCACGCGATTATCTCCCTTGGACGGTACGCTGTAGATTCGGGACTAGTCCGGAACCTTTCCAGTCCAGAAACTCGAGTGGCGATCCAGTGTCCATGTGGATTAGTGGAGACATTCGTGGAGTATAAGAATGGCAAGACCGGATATGTCCGATTTAACAGTGTTCCGGCTTTCGTCTTCGCAACAGGTAATAATGTGGTCATTGATATATAGGTAAACACTTCAGAAACATTCTATTTATAGGAGAAATATTGATAACATTTACTAGCAATTGTTGTTCAAAGTATATAAGAAGTTTGATATGATTATCTTGGCACATTTTGTATGTATCAGTACAAGGATAATGTAGATAGCTGGGCAGTATTCGCTTCCTGCAGAATGACTTTGGTAAATTCTAGTAATTGCAAAAGCAATCAATTTGTTTATATCAGTACCCCTGTGGTTTAGATGTGTCAGTGGATGTTCCCGGGTATGGTCATGTGGTAGTTGACATCGTGTACGGAGGTGCCTTCTTCGCCTTAGTGCCTGACTGTCAGTACAGCTTCCGATTGGAGGGTGTTGCCCCAGACGTCATCAGACGTGCAGCAGCGGCCACGACAGGTAAAGTTTCTCCTGGAATACGTGCCACCAGGGCAGATACTACGGGGAACAAGTATTCCAAGGATACACGGTACATTTTTTGGGGATTTCCGTAAACAAAAAATGCATATCGAAAAAAATCAAGGCAGTATGTAAGAAAAAGCAAATTTCACAAGTGTTCCCAGAGAACAAGCTCACTCGTTTCCATGCTTGCCACGGACACCTGTTAGCAGGCCATGATTTGCTAGGAAGGGAAAATGGGTTGCTAGGGGCACATATTACCAGACACGCGTGTTACCAGGGACGTGTGTTGCGTTAGTAGGGATATGTGTTACCGGGGAAACAGATTACAAGTACATGTCTGTTACCAAAGAAACAAAAGATCACGTACATTAGTAACCAGGGACTATGAAACATACAGTTGCAGAATCGCTCAACGTTACAAAATGTGTATAAGATCTGCACGATGTATGTATGATAGGAAAACTGGACGAAATAAGCTATCGCACTTCTGTGCGCATGCGCACGTTGCATAGATGTTCGATTTTATCGTGGTTGATATAAATTTTAAAATTCATTATAGATAAGTGTGGTACAGGGTTTATTTACTTTCTAAATATTAAGTACAACTAAGAATATTTCTTTGAGAAAGGAAGAGGTCTTCCGGAAAGCAGCGAACAAACTAAGAAGTAGAAAAAGCGAAGTTATCAGATACTCTTTCATAAATCTCACAAAAGAAAGGAAATTACACGGACATAGACCCATGAGCGACAAGAGAGCTGTAGACAGTGTGAAATACCAGGCAGGATTAGATAAACAAGACACGTACCCTATCAGAATAATTACATACAATTATATGACAGGTCAGGTAGATACTTGTTGATCAATACCTCTCCCGGACAGGTCATGAATTTAAATCATGTCGCAATATGAAGTATTCAGATATTTTTTCACTTTCTTCTTTTATAAAAAATGTAAAACTCCGGCATACAAACATTTCCCTTTGATTACCAGGGGCGGATTTTGAGGGGGGGGTGGGGGGCGCACGCCCCCCCTAAAATTGGCAGAGTAAGGGTGAGTTACGAATTATACTGGATGGTCTTGGTCTTATGTTATGACTATCACTGTTCTAAACAGCTATAGATGACTTAAGTTGGGCTAATTTTCAAGTATACAGTAACTTTATTATAGTTGATCACATAACGACAGAAAGAGTTATCGCGATTATAGGAACTCTTTCGAAAATGAAGGCCATATTAGAGCAAAATGTGTCATTGTTGACATAGTATGAAACTGTAACGACGGTACAGTATCTCGAATATGTTTCAAAAGAAAATTGTGTTTTTTTAAAAGGCGAGAGTAAGTATTTATGCCAAATAATTTCTTTAACTGTCACATGAACTGTAGACAAGCAGGCCTTGCAGCATCCCTCCCATCGCCCCCGCGGTGGATGATATACACACTTTTGTAGTAGCCTTGTGTCACCGGTTATGGCGCACTTAAGAAACGATCTTCGATTACAATTTCATTTTGCAATTTTGAACTAAAAACTGTTTGGATATATTGAAACATGTGTACTATAAAATGCATTCAACAAAACAGCTGTTGAAGCCTACAAATTTCTTAAAACAATTTTCTTTCATTTTAACGAAAATTCGATCACCCGTAATGGCCGGCATGTATTTTGGCGCAGCGGTGGCAAATTTTGGGAAATAGGTTAAAATTTCAAACTAATTTTAACTGCCTAGAGAACCTCCAGAAAAGACATGAATTTTCAAATTCTAGTTCAAATTGGTAACACTTTTCCGGCTTTGCACATAAAGAGTGTTAGTGTTGGCGTGTGTTGCATTTAAAAATTTAAAATACATGTAATTCTTGAAATACATAGCCCAAAAACGACATTTCTTTGTCATTCAAATTTTGAAGTCTTTTCTTTGTTGTGTTCATAGCTTTCCGTAAGTTAACGGTTTCCTTATGTGAAATTCACCTTATTTGTCCGTCTATCCAGAAGTTTAAAGGGTATTACATTTGTATATATTATAGAAATAACAGAGCATTAATAACTTCATACAGGCAGCCAGGCACATTGACGCAAATACAAGTGCAAATACAAAAACATATATCACAACGCTTATTAATAATGTCTAATGACATGCTCATTAGTAGCTTTTCTTACTCCTTACTTTTTTAGTTTTCCTATATATGTATTTTTTCGAAACAACGCCTCCTCAAGTCCCTAAAACCAGTCATTTCCTAACGGTTTTTTGGGAGGTTTAAACCTGTTTAAACCATTTTCCATAATTTCGCTGGCAGAGGGCTCTGCCCTCCCGCTGGGGGCCTAATTTGACAATTGTAAGTTAATTATAACGCCCCCCCCCCTAACTTAAATTCCTGTATCCGCCCCTGATTACAAGTTGATTTTAAGTGTATTGCATGTATTTTAATTAAGTAGTGTTCTTAACAATTAACCTCCTTACAGACGCCCTAAAGGCACAACTCAAGCTAACCCATCCGGACAGTGACGACTTGGCCTTTCTGTATGGAACCATTATTACAGACGGACAGGACGGACAAGCAGATATCCCGTCAACACATGTTTGTGTGTTTGCGGAAAAACAGGTAAGATTTCTTTGTGCCACTACTTTCATCGTGCAGCATCTCTTGGCTAATTAAAACCACTTTTGACTGAAGTCAAGAGCATCATAAATATCAATAAAACCTACCAGTCGAATAAACGGAGTTTGGCAAATCCTCAAACAGTCGACAACATCTAATTTCATCGTATTTCTTTCAGTTTGACAGATCTCCGTGTGGATCCGGTACCACCGCCAGGGTGGCACTTCTGCACCACAAAGGTTATGTCAAACTAGGCCAGTCCAGGAGCTTCAGGAGTCATATCAAATCCGAGTTCAAGGCCAAAGCGGTACAGGAAGTGACGTGTGGTGGACATAAAGCGGTCATAGTAGAAGTTTCCGGAAATGGGTACTATTGTGGTTCTTCAGAATTTTCTTTAGAGGAGGATGACGTCATCGGGCGAGGTTTCCTTTTGTAATTCATACCAAGTCCCCAGCAGTGTGCCGGGATTTATAAATCTGAGCTATGATGTTTGACAGGATAACGTAAGGAACACAAAATAACAAATCGTTAAATGATCAATCTTAACACTGTGTTAAAGTTGCATTGTGTACATGACATGTAAAGCTGTTTCCGAAGTTAATTTATAGGGATTCATTTTCTAATTTCGCTGGCAGATGAGTGTCCGACTGATAATTTGACAATTATGTTTGGTGATCAAAGTCTGTTTACAGTTTTAGGACATGATATAAAATGAATCACATGCCAAATTAAAGAGAGCGTATTGATCTATCAGACAACTCCCAGCGAGACATCTCTGATCTATCAGACCACTCCCAGCGAGACATCTCTGATCTATCAGACCACTCCCAACGCGTTATCTCTGATCTATCAGATTACTCCCAGGGAGACATCTCTGATCTATCGGACCACTCCCAGCGAGACATCTCTGATCTATCCGACCACTCCCAGCGAGACATCTCTGATCTATCAGACTACTCCCAGCGAGACATCTCTGATCTATCAGACCACTCCCAGCGAGACATCTCTTATCTATCAGACTACTCCCAGCGAGACATCTCTGATCTATCAGACCACTCCCAGCGAGACATCTCTGATCTATCAGACCACTCCCAGCGAGACATCTCTGATCTATCAGACCACTCCCAGCGAGACATCTCTGATCTATCAGACCACTCCCAGCGAGACATCTCTGATCTATCAGACCACTCCCAGCGAGACATCTCTGATCTATCAGACCACTCCCAGCGAGACATCTCTGATCTATCAGACAACTCCCAGCGAGACATCTCTGATCTATCAGACCACTCCCAGCGAGACATCTCTGATCTATCAGACCACTCCCAGCGAGACATCTCTGATCTATCCGACCACTCCCAGCGAGACATCTCTTATCTATCAGACCACTCCCAGCGAGACATCTCTGATCTATCAGATCACTCCCAGCGAGACATCTCTGATCTATCAGACCACTCCAAGCGAGACATCTCTGATCTATCAGACCACTCCCAGCGAGACATCTCTGATCTATCAGACCACTCCCAGCGCGTTATCTCTGATCTATCAGACAACTCCAAGCGAGACATCTCTTATCTATCAGACAACTCTCAGCGAGATATCTCTAATCTATCAGACAACTCCCAGCGAGACATCTCTGATCTAACAGACCACTTCCAGCGAGACATCTTGAACGGTTTAGCGACAATCACAAGTTTCCGGAGATTTACAAATCTTGTTATTAGTATGAGTGTATTGACAGACGAGCTTGGTACATGTATTGGGCTTGTAAAGCGAATTGAATGTAAGCAAGTTTATGTACATGGTTGTAAAATTGTCGGGAACAGTCTCCAACACAGAAACAGAAACAGAAACAGTCATAGATTGCTCTGATGCACGATGTAGCATATGGACACAGTAATAAAAAATGTCCCAGTTAAACTTTCATTACTATTTATATGTGTAATACTTAGCTTGATATTCGAGTTCAAAGCATGCGGCAGACTTTAATTAATAGGGTTTTACCCAACTCAATTATCTATTTTAGGTTTTTGGGAACAAGTTTTGGGGTAAGATGTGCACCCTGGTTCACACCCATGACAAGAATCATAAAATACATATAGGTCATAGTACAGACCATAGGTGACTTTTGGATTTTTCAAAAATACATTCTGGGGTACTATAAATGACATACAATAAAGATTAAATCATGAATCAGATATACCAGCTATTATATACACTATATTTTCAATCTGGTTTGTGTTACAACGAGTTAATAGCTGTCTTCCCGCGAAAACACACACATTAGACGACGGTGTGTCGCTGTTTCCGTCCTGTCCGTCCGTCACGATGGTTGTATATAGGAAGGCGAGATCATCATTCTCCGGATGAATTATCTTAACCTTCAGGGCATCTTATTTAAAGATAACATGATTAACGACGGTTAATACATACAGTCCAGGTATATAGGGACATAATACGATACCTAACACTAATATAAGGAGTCTTGCAATCTTGCTAAAATTGTATTCCTAAGTCGTTCTAAATTTCAACAGAATTCGATGAACGTTGAAGATCGACAGAGAGCCTTATGGAACGTGACAGAAAGTGCGAGTCTATCGTGATAATCGTAAGAGAACGTGATGAAATCAGACCAGGGTCGTGCTGACTTCGTAACAAATCGTTACAGAATGTGATAAAACGTATCGAGGGCGAAGAAAAGCGTAGAAAAAAAATCCTACAATAATTCATGGAATTCCATCGTTTTTTGGAGATCATGGCCACCAAGGCCTCTTTTTGTTGGGTCGTGAAGGGACTGGACTCGTGACTAAAGACGGCATTAGTAAATTCCTAGATTACATGACTACATGTAACACGATCACAGAGAGAAAATGGTTTAGTTATCACACGTCCATTCACAATTACCCATCGCATTATTTCTAGGAACACACTAGCATCACCGTGATTTTGTTGAAAATTCGATGAACTTTTATCAAAGCAAATAACTGTAACTGTCTCCGTTATTAAGCACCAATGTGTCCAACCCTAAATTTGTATTGAAAGGTGTTTTTACTTGTGTGTGTGTTTTGTATAATCAGAAACTCACTTGGTCAAAGCTACAAGTAACATACATATGTAGGTCAAAATATTTCGAACATTAGCCGTTTTTAAGGTCAACAAGTGGAAGTTTACCTATGAAACCAATTACCTACAATGGGGAAAACTAAGACATTCTACATCTGTGTCAATATGCTCACGGACATTACGTTCTAATCGTACATTTTTATAATACCAACTACATAAAAATCCAAAACAAAATGTGGATGACATATTACATATATTACATAGACGGTTCATTTTTTATATCAATTAATACTAGTATCGTGAAAAATTGAATACCACCTGTACTCCAATTTTCCTTCTCGGGTGGGGGGGGGGGGTGGAAACGAAGAATTTATTCGTTAGTGGGTTTTTTTCTGTTAGTGTACCTTAAATATCATAAGACACATAACCTGTATTACAGTGTAATATAAGATCACACCTTCAGTATGTGGTTTACACATGGTCCCCAACATTCCTGTGTAGTTTTACGGAAATCGATCCAGTAGTGTAGGAGGAGTTATCCACACAAATATTTTCTACTGACAGACAGGCAAGCTGATTCCAGTATCAGGGGTGTATGATGAAATAATTGCCAGACGAATGAACCAGTAAACCTACTATGATTTAGTCACATTAAGCTTTGGTAAATCAGAACATCACAAAAGCCAATCACATCAACAGTTTATTACTACAAAGAGTTAATTGTTATTACAAAACTAAGTAAAAAAACAAGAAATAAGAAAATCTCAAACAGAACAAAATCATGTGTTATTGTATAAAAATGGAACAGGTCTCTGGTCAGTAATTTTCAGTATAGATGTCTAAAGCCAACATCTCACAAATATCATTTTAAATGCATTGACAGATATAAAAAGTTCATATCAAAGTTAAATCCCTTCCAGGTAAAATACATTAAAACATATGAGACAGATACAATGGACATTATTTCATTTTTATTATATTTTTACCTTACTACCTGCATTGTTTATCAACTACTGCTAACTAGAAGACAAAATTACATGAGCTGGACAACTATCTATTTTCTAATTGTTAATTTTACTTGCCTTCAAATTCAAATTCTTTGTTGGTAAAATTGTCAATTACACCATAACCAAAAGAATTATGGGTGAATGTGTTATTACAGAATTACATACAGTAGCTCTGGCATCTACAAACACCTATATAACATATAAAACCCACTGTTTAACCATCCCTGGGTGACGGTAATCTAAACATTACATATAATGTACAGTAATTAATTGACAGAATGAAAGATACAGCTAGCTCTGATTAAATTATTTTAAAGTGCACAGCACTGTATCAAAAACATATTTCAACATTACATGGCATTATATTGCACTTACAAGGAAACATTTGGTGAGGTTACAGTCAGTCAGATGACAAGATATTAAAAGCAATAAAAAACATAATTTGCGTCCCAATAAAATTACTATGAGTAAACTGAAGACCTCCAAACTTTGACATACATTGGAAAAAAATGTTTATAATTTGGCAATGTTGAAACAGTGAATATGTTGTGCCACAAGAAAAGGAACATTTATGGAAGAAAGTAGAGCAACAGGTTAACACAGGGAGTCATGACTAAAGTACCAGTAGGGGCCATGCACTCCGTACCACTGTAACAAAGGGACATAACTTTGTATAGAACTAGATATAACACAAGACAAAAAGGTACCCGACATGTACTCCCTACCATCATAACAAAGGGACATAACTTTGTATACAAGTAGATATAACACAAGACAAAATGTACCCGACAGGTACTCCCTACCATTATAACAAAGGGACATAACTTTGTATACAAGTAGATATAACACAAGACAAAAAGTACCTGACAGGTACTCCCTTCCATCATAACAAAGGGACATAACTTTGTATACAAGTAGATATAACATATGACTAAATAAAAGAAGGTGACACAGTAACATACATTTGGGGACTAGTATATCAAGGGCAGAATTCTCAACATCATGTTGAAATTTGATTATAGTACAACAAAAATTGTGTTGTCTTTAATTACAAACACAAAGTTCAGGGATTTCCAAAACACACTCACACAAATATTCAGATTGTTTATTGTACAACAAACAGTTGTGATGTCTCTAAATTACAAACACAAAGATAAGGGATTTCCAAAACACATTCACACAAATATTCAGGTTGTTTATTGTACAAGAAACCGCTGTGAAGTCTTTAATTACATACACAAAGATGTCAAATACACAAACATCTAACATTATATACAACAAACAATTCTGTTGTTGTCTTTATCACATACACTGTGAACATGGATTACAAATATACACAAACTGTTCCATATCAGAACTTGAACCTAACTCCTTTTTTCTACCCTAATCCAAGTTTTCATCAATTTTTCGAAAATTAACTTATTATTAAATGCATAGTAAATAAAATTAGAAAACACTTTTTCAATGGATATAATGCTTGCATACAAGTGTATCCCTTTCAAATTATTAATGCATACATTTATTAAAAATGACTTGTACAAAGCCCTCATTCTATAAAAGTGTCTTGAATATAGGGAATAAATTGTACAAAGGACATACAAATGTGTTATACTTGACAGCACCACAATGATATACCTATATAGCTACCGTGGGACTGATGTAATACATTTCCGTGGGATATTAAATAGTTATGATGAAAATATTTCTTATCCAAACTAAAGCATCTTTGTAAGACATGAATACCCCTGCTCTCTGTGAATAGTAATCACTCTCTAATGAGTTTGAACAACAGATTATCAAATATGACCTTTGACCCTTTAACTTGGACTGATAACTCAAAAAACTTCAAGCGGAGTTACTATGGAGTTGATATGAAAATATGACCGTGATTTGGAAAAGGACATGATGAGAAAAATGGAAATGTGTAACACTATATCCCCATCCTCCCTCATAAAATGGTTTGGACATTGAAATAAGAACACCTGTCTATTAAGGTAATTTGTTTTAGGTTCCAACATAATATTGAGCCACCAGACTTCTTCATAAAGACTACCTGCCTATAGAAACATTCTCTGTGTCTTGAGCGATCTTTATAGATAACAGGTCTGACTTTTATCCAATAATTATACCACAATACATTTTATAAAATACGGAGCCTGCATAGTTATCTCCCTTTCTTGGCCTCCTCCTCTACAGTTTCCTTATCTACCCCACTGTCTGTTTCTGAGATCTCAGAACCTGTCTCTGGGGTAGTTCCTGTGTCGTTTCTGTATGTCAGAAGCAAGCCATTCATTGGCAGGAGTAACAAAGGAAGGTACATCATTGTCCACAAAAGAATTTCTTCACGTCCAAGGATCTTAGAGGTGTACTGCATAAAGGCTTTAGCTGTGTACACCAGTAAAACAGTCTGACAAGTAAGAAAAAAAAATCATTATCTATAGATTGGAACAGCTACACATGATATCTTCATGGGATAGAGACTCTCCCTACAGAGTTGGCAATTCTCCTACAAATATTTCTTTTACAGTTTATGTACATTATTATTGTTGACCAATGACAAATACTGAATCCGTCAATGTAAAATTTCACCATTCTGTCAATCTGTCAAAGTGAATTCCATGGTTATGTGTTTGAATTTGAGTGCACCATCATCAAAAAGTTTGCAATGTTTTTTGTAGAAAATAAGGTGAACATTCCCAAAAATACATTAAATCCAGTATCAATATCAGTTAGAAGGACAAGCATGATAGAAAAGTGCCTAGAAAGGAAATGTATTGTTTTGCAAATTATTTCTCAATGAAATCTGTTTCCTCAATATCTATGGACCACAACTTAAAACTATTACTCAAAATATGGGTGGGGTTTATTGCAGGACAGGGCATTTACTATCATATCACTTACTAAGACTTGTCCACTGAACACTGCCCTCACATCACGTTTGTTTACAAATCTTGGCACGAACCACATGAGAATGCTGAAGCCCATGGCAAGAGCCCCAGCACACCTGGCTGTGTGTAGATGGTACTTGTCCAGCTTTCTTCCCTGTATAACATCATAATAAATAGATCATGATAACTACAATTTTTGTTTATTACATGTAAATATCAATAACCAATAACAATAGATATGTAAGAAACAGCATAACAAAACTGTAAACACATGTATTAATTCAAAATCAGGGCTCTCACACCCCATTTTGGGACTGGGGCCCGGGGCCCTTAGAATTGAGAAAAATAGCGCATTTTCCTTAGAATTGGGAAAATTTGGGGCCTAATTGGGAAAAAAAGATACTATTTTGCATTTGGAAAGGGGCCAAATATCGGCTCTAAATCTGGCAGATCGAGAGTCCTGCTTAGATATATTCATGTGATTTGCCTAAAACCAAGACAATTTGAAACCAACATACCTTTACACCTGTTGTCATGAGTGGGAATGCCATAAAAGCTAGGGAAACAAGAGTCAACATCAACAAGTTCAAGTTACACACTAGAGTTATTCCCCTTGACTGTGCATAAGGCCCTCTGCTGACTTTGGGTCGAGACTTCAATAACTGTACAGCATTTGCAAGCCACCACAGAGAGTTACCAAGTACTCCAAACCATAAGTGCTGTAATAAAATGATACTTAATTTGTCTGGAACTGTATTGCTATGATTAAGTCCAAAGCACATTTATAACTGAAGTAATTGGTATTCCTACAGAAAACAACAACTGATTGCCAGGTACTATTCAAGTGACGTAAATATCTAGTCTGGCGATTACTTCGGCCAATATATTATCTATAACAAGATAAAATAAGTTCCAATGCTAACCTATTTTTATAGTTTATCAGTCCTGTAATGATTCTCATTTATTAATACTGTATTTCTAGTCCTGGCACTGCAATAGCAATCCAACCTCAAACATACCATATACTTCAAGCCCTTTTCTATGTTTCTAGTTCTACTTCACAGTTTGAATATTAAACTTTTTCTAGTTCTGCCTCACCATTTAAATATTATAGAAAGCCCTGAGGGATCTTGGCCCCAAACATGTTTTGATCTTTATTAGTTCTTTTTAAAGATCTGTCACCCTTATTTTCTCTTATTTCCTTTTTTTGCTCCTAACTTTATGAAATTTGAAGAAAAAGGAATAATAATCTTTTACTGACAAATTGAAGATAGTCATCTGTTAGCCATGTTTTTGGATCAGCCTTAAAATGGAAAGGGCACAACTAAGGACCAAGGTATTCTGAGATATTCTGAAGATCAACTTTTTTACATAGGTCTTGAGTCTGATTCCTTTGTATTTGTTTATACGATAACATTTGTTTATATGAAGAAGACATCAGTTATTTATAGAATTCTCTTAAAATTCTTTTTAATTTTATACCGTCACTAAATTCAAAAACTCTGACAATAACTTATCTGCAAAGTTTTACTCACCTTATCTGTAAAAAGTTTTCTATTTGCCAAATGCCCAGAAATTACTATGGAAAGAAGGCATATTATACCCTGCAAAATGAAGTTGGCAAAAAAATAATAAGAAATTAAGAAAAGGGAATACATGAAACAATAAGCTTGATAAAATTACTACATTATGTCCGGAGCTTTACAGGCAGAATTGGATAATATGAAGTATTACAACTAGGCTCATGGTAGTTTATTACAAGGATTTTAAAGTGTCAAACACTACAATCAGGCTTATAGTTGATCATTACAAGGATTATAGAATGTCACAAACAACAATCAGCCTCATGGTAAATCAGGGACAAGGATTATAAAGTGTCACATGGTACAATCAGGCACATGGTAAATCAGGGACAAGGATTATAAAGTGTCACATGGTACAATCAGCCTCATGGTAAATCAGGGACAAGGATTATAAAGTGTCACATGGTACAATCAGGCTAATGGTAAATCAGGGACAAGGATTATAAAGTGTCACATGGTACAATCAGGCACATGGTAAATCAGGGACAAGGATTATAAAGTGTCACATGGTACAATCAGGCACATGGTAAATCAGGGACAAGGATTATAAAGTGTCACATGGTACAATCAGGCACATGGTAAATCAGGGACAAGGATTATAAAGTGTCACATGGTACAATCAGCCTCATGGTAAATCAGGGACAAGGATTATAAAGTGTCACATGGTACAATCAGGCTAATGGTAAATCAGGGACAAGGATTATAAAGTGTCACACACTACAATCAGGCTGATGGTAAATCAGGGACAAGGATTATAAAGTGTCACATGGTACAATCAGGCTCATGGTAAATCAGGGACAAGGATTATAAAGTGTCACATGGTACAATCAGGCTCATGGTAAATCAGGGACAAGGATTATAAAGTGTCACATGGTACAATCAGGCTCATGGTAAATCAGGGACAAGGATTATAAAGTGTCACATGGTACAATCAGGCTCATGGTAAATCAGGGACAAGGATTATAAAGTGTCACATGGTACAATCAGGCTCATGGTAACTCAAGGACAAGAATTATTAAGTGTCACATGGTACAATCAGGCTCATGGTAACTCAAGGTCAAGGATTATAAAGTGTCACATGGTACAATCAGGCTCATGGTAGCTCAAGGTCAAGGATGATTAAGTGTCACATGGTACAATCAGGCTCATGGTAGCTCAAGGTCAAGGATTATAAAGTGTCACATGGTACAATCAGGCTCCTGGTAACTCAGGGACAAGAATTATTAAGTGTCACATGGTACAATCAGACTCATGGTAACTCAGGGACAAGAATTATAAAGTGTCACAAACTACAATCAGGCTCATGGTAAATCAGGGACAAGGATTATAAAGTGTCACATGGTACAATCAGGCACATGGTAAATCAGGGACAAGGATTATAAAGTGTCACATGGTACAATCAGCCTCATGGTAAATCAGGGACAAGGATTATAAAGTGTCACATGGTACAATCAGGCTAATGGTAAATCAGGGACAAGGATTATAAAGTGTCACATGGTACAATCAGGCACATGGTAAATCAGGGACAAGGATTATAAAGTGTCACATGGTACAATCAGGCACATGGTAAATCAGGGACAAGGATTATAAAGTGTCACATGGTACAATCAGGCACATGGTAAATCAGGGACAAGGATTATAAAGTGTCACATGGTACAATCAGCCTCATGGTAAATCAGGGACAAGGATTATAAAGTGTCACATGGTACAATCAGGCTAATGGTAAATCAGGGACAAGGATTATAAAGTGTCACACACTACAATCAGGCTGATGGTAAATCAGGGACAAGGATTATAAAGTGTCACATGGTACAATCAGGCTCATGGTAAATCAGGGACAAGGATTATAAAGTGTCACATGGTACAATCAGGCTCATGGTAAATCAGGGACAAGGATTATAAAGTGTCACATGGTACAATCAGGCTCATGGTAAATCAGGGACAAGGATTATAAAGTGTCACATGGTACAATCAGGCTTATGGTAAATCAGGGACAAGGATTATAAAGTGTCACATGGTACAATCAGGCTCATGGTAACTCAAGGACAAGAATTATTAAGTGTCACATGGTACAATCAGGCTCATGGTAACTCAAGGTCAAGGATTATAAAGTGTCACATGGTACAATCAGGCTCATGGTAGCTCAAGGTCAAGGATGATTAAGTGTCACATGGTACAATCAGGCTCATGGTAGCTCAAGGTCAAGGATTATAAAGTGTCACATGGTACAATCAGGCTCCTGGTAACTCAGGGACAAGAATTATTAAGTGTCACATGGTACAATCAGACTCATGGTAACTCAGGGACAAGAATTATAAAGTGTCACAAACTACAATCAGGCTCATGGTAAATCAGGGACAAGGATTATAAAGTGTCACATGGTACAATAAGGCTCATGGTAGCTCAAGGACAAGAATGATTAAGTGTCACATGGTACAATCAGGCTCATGGTAACTCAGGGACAAGGATTATAAAGTGTCACATGGTACAATCAGGCTCATGGTAGCTCAAGGACAAGAATGATTAAGTGTCACATGGTACAATCAGGCTCATGGTAACTCAGGGACAAGGATTAAAAAGTGTCACATGGTACAATCAGGCTCATGGTAACTCAGGGACAAGGATTATAAAGTGTCACATGGTACAATCAGGCTCATGGTAACTCAAGGACAAGAATTATTAAGTGTCACATGGTACAATCAGGCTCATAGTAACTTAGGGACAAGGATTATAAAGTGTCACATGGTACAATCAGGCTCATGGTAACTCAAGGACAAGAATTATTAAGTGTCACATGGTACAATCAGGCTCATAGTAACTTAGGGACAAGGATTATAAAGTGTCACATGGTACAATCAGGCTCATGGTAACTCAAGGACAAGAATCATAAAGTAGGTTACATATTTAATATCCTGATTGTCTGATATTATGAAGAAGCTTATATTAAGAGAGTCAACATACCATGACTCTTGACCACAACATTGCAGCTGTAACAGTACTGTCTTTGGATGATCGACAAATGCACCATATTACAGCTGAGCCAATCAAGAATGATCCAAACACTCTGTTTAAGTGACAATGGAGAACATCAATCTTCAGGTCTTGGGTCTACAAGCAGAAAGAAATGAAATGGATTTTGTCATTCAAAATTATATTTTGGTGGAAATTTTGATTAAATGTTAAAAAGAAATTGGGTTTATCATGTCAATATTATACAAATTAATGGGAGATTACAATAACACTAAAAAGCAAACACAACAAAAGTGATATACGATGTACAAAATTCAACAATTACCATACACAATGAAACTTTACATGACAGTAGTAAACTTTTTTTTGTTTAATTTTTCACATGTCGATTAAGGGATCTCTCCTGAACCTGCAATTTGTAAACATCAATATCAACAGACCACAACTAAGCCAGGCAAATTATATACAGTACAGGTAAGTTATCAGATACACAGCTAAAACAGAAAGGATAGAGTGCTATATTGAGATAGTTTTACAGGCTCAAAATTTCCTGGCAAGAACCAAAACTATGCATGCAAATACATTCATATACTGTATGATATGTATTAAGATAAAAAAAATAAAAACTCTATTCCAATAAATAAGAAAATTAATAAATTGATAAATGAGATCACAGAGAGATCTTGGTGCCAATGTTTGTTTGATCTTTATTTGTTCTTTAAATGATGGATCTTTTACCTTTTCTTTCTCTTCATTTTTCTGTTTTTGCTCTTAATTACAAGAAAGTTGAAATCCTCTATAGGTAATAACGGTAATAATTTGTACATATTAAATCCAAGATGGCCACTTGCAATCGTTTTTTTTTTTTTTTTGTATTGTAAATCCCAAAATCACAAGTGCACAACTTGGGACCAAGGAGAACTGAAATCTGAGAAAGATCTATTCACTATTTCCCAAGAAACAGTAGCAACAAACTTTCATTTTCCAAATCAAAGATGGTCGCACACATCTTTCAGCCATTTTTTTTTTTTTCAGTCCTAAAATCAAAAGTGCACAGATAAGGACCAAGGGGAATGTACATATGAAACCGGAGAAAGATCCAATCCATACTTTTAAAAGTCATGTCACAGTAAAAAAATCTTTTGGCTGTTGTTTTTATTATTACTACATACACATGTAACAAGTTTATCAGCTGATGAACAAAGATAGATGGTTTCTGCTGAAATATACACATAAAAACTAAAAGTTATAAAAAGAAAATCTCATGCCGTTGATCAACTGTCAGTATATGTAAATTTTTGTGTCATCTATGGATATGAATGTTCACATTACACCACATCAGTAACAAAAATGTCTTCCCATGTGAAACAGTCGCATAACTTGTTACGATGTCAGCTACAAAGTAAAGGATGGCCAAATTAGCAGGAAAACCCCCAGAATTTCCTTGGAGAAGCTTACCATTGCAGATGGTAACTTATAAGATGAGAGAGCAATCAAGATGGTACATGTATTCTGCTGCATTGGTCACAGCTTTGCATGTTGTTTATAATGTGTGTATGGCTAGAGAGAAACTTTCAGAGAAACAATGCTATTAGTATTACATTTTTCGTAATTCTGAATTAAATTTCAGTTATCAAGCAGATGTCTACTCATTCAAAACAAATTCAGGTGTCGAAAAACAGGTGTTTACATACGGTGTCACTACATTTCCCTCTGCTATCATTTACAAAGGAACTGTATGATTTTCAAAACTGTCATGTAATGTTATCAGATCTAAATTTACAAGGGGTTTCCAAAATAAATTGAATGGTCAAATTGGAGATTGTAAATTGACTGTGAATATCAGGTTAGCATAGAAATGTACCTAGAAGTGTATAAAACATACATAATCAATAAAAAAATAACATTTTTACCATGACGTCCCTTTAATAAAATAGAAGTAACAAACTTCAACTCTCAAAATCCAAGATGGCTACTAGTCAGCAATTTTGTCATTCTGATCCATTCCAAAGTTAAAAATGCACAACAAGAGATTGTGGAAAACCTACACATCAAGTTTCAGAATTATCCTTCAAGTACTTCTCAAGAAAATTGTGATAACAATTTTCAACTTTGATATCCAAGATGGCCACCTAATGGCCATATTGTTTTCCTTATCATATTCTAAATTAGATGGGCACATTAGCGATAACAAGGATTGTTTATGGATAAACAATGGACCACAGACATAAGGGAATTTGAATAGCCCATCATCATCAATGGTGGACTATCAAAGCAGAGGTGAATCAGGGAAAAAACAGTGAGGATCATAAACAACTGTCAACTACAGGTGCCACAATTCATGGTTATATGATTTTCTCATACCTGAAGTTGGATGGTGATCTCAGGCCTAATGTAAAGTCCAATGCCAGAGAATGCTGTGAATACTGTGTCAGCTATCAGCCAGGAGGGCAGACTCCACACTCCAAGAAGGAAGAAAGCCACCACAAAGGCTCCCCCTCTTAGATAGTCAAACTTGTCAGCCATAACTGAAATTTGATAAAAGCATTACAAGCTCTTTCTCAAAACTGAAAAATACTAGATTTAAAATGACTTTGCTGCAAGAAGATTTTTACTTTTGCTCTCAAATACCTTTATTTATCCTGTATCAAGCTCATGAGGGGACAACGTTTTATTCTGACCCAAAGTCATGGTGAACTTATACAGGGCAAACCATAGCATCAGCTTACATATCTGGCATCCTTCCTGGCTATTCAAGGGTTAAATCAGCTAACAAGCTGTTCATACTGTTAGGCGTATATATTACTAGGTATATGGTATATCACTTCTTGGACAAGTTATATATATGCATTCTAAATGATTCAGGTCATGATCTTGAAACTAGAATACATAGCCAAAGGCAATCTAATCTTTTAGTTACACAGAGTTATCTTCTCTTGTGAGTGTAACATCATGAGAAAATAATCAACACCTGCTGTTATGTATATCTTTATCATTTGTTGTGCCTTGTTTGGATAGGGACAGATTAATCAAGCTAGTTAGTTTGCTTTACAGTAATAGATAGCATTGCGAAGGTTATCAGATAAATTTTCAATCATTTGGTATACTGTTGAATGTCTGGGCTGTAAGCCAGACTGAAATTCATTAATCAAGAAATTTTCTAATAATTACATAAAGTTATACAAACATTTCACGCTACTTTTTTCTTTTTACACTGAGGAGATATTATGTACCCCCAAATACTCAATAATCTACAGGTAGCAAAATGCTTTTGTGTAAACATTTGGCCTGTTTCAGTTATTTCATTTCTTTACATTTACTTTAAAATAACATACAAAGCTTTAAAAACAAAACTTCATTACACAGTGTTTAATGGAACAGAGTTCAACACTTTCTCCCTCACATACTGACATCCAGGCCAACAAGAGTGATTAGTATAAATAATTTGCTTTGCAATTGTTGTACAATAAATAAAGAAACTTTAATTTAGAGAACCACACCATAGTGTAGACCTTAATACTTGAAATGTATCTGAAGATTTTTATGTCAATGATATGTGATGTTGTTAAAGAAAACATAACATAGATTTCCAAAATACTACAGAATGCCTATAACTTGTAACATAGAATAATTTTATAAGGACAACAGGATGTACATTCTATAGGGACAACATGACTTATATAATAACATGTAACATTTTATTAATTTTCAAAGAACATCAGGACATAATTAACACATCACATTGTGCTAATTTTGTGAACAGTGCTCAACTATAACTTAAAATCATTTGAATTTATATGATTTTTTAAAATGGGAGGTGTAATTATAGGTCTTTTTTGTGGCAAGAAAGATGGTTTGTTATGGATCTGCATGTACTTTTGTCATTTTTTTAACTACTCTGTCACGAACTATAAAACAAATTATTCTGTAAACAATGAAATGATTGATGCGTTGCCAACATGTATGCATCTTTAATTTAGTCTTGTCATATATAAAATCATCTGGACTTAGCTTTCCATCATTTTGATATCAAATACGCCACAAACACCTACAAAGAGTTTGCAAATGTAATAAAACATATCTAGAGAAGCACATGTACAAAATGTTTACTTCCATGATTTGAAATTGAAATAAAAACAAGCATTTGAGTGTCTATGACACAGTATAAATATTTCTGTGAGTCCAGCCAAATGCAGGTGAAGCAAAGGAATGCTGTGTATTTTGTTTACCTAGGATATATTCAGATATTAGCTCTGGGCCCAGTCCTCTTCCGCGTCAACCGCCGCCAATTTCACCTTGTTTCCAGTTAATGAATGAGAGTCGACGTGAAAATAAAGTTTTTATTTTGTGATATTAAATGACTATTAAAAGAAGCGTACACAAGACTAAGAAACTATTATTTCCAAATTCAGCCAATCAAAATCGGCTTTACAACAGGTGCTTGTTAGATACAAAATGGTTGCGGATGTAAACAACAGTGAACACTTTAATATCCGTTAAACTGATCGGCCTTATTTTCTGTCGTTTTCACCGAAGGGAAAAGGTTGATATGGGAAAGAAACATGGGATCAAGTCCAAGTAAACACAAGACAATTGTGAGAACTAAATCGGAACCACAGTTGCGGATTCCCCTAAACGGACATGTTCCCGTGAGGAGAGCGATCAGTGCGTTCTCGACTCAGAGAACAACTCTGCCCACGGACTCTTTCAAATTATCCCTAAAGAATTCTGAGGATCCTAATTTCGATATTCCGGAGGAAGAATACAGAGACGGTCAACTTGGCATTTCTGTGCGTAAATAGTCTGTGACCAAATAATAATTTTCTCAATCATGTCCGAATACATTGCATATTGTTAAGTTTCTGTTAATACAAGTAATCGATTCTCGGCATATTATTTCATAGAATGTAATTCTAACACCTTATACATTTCTATTTGGTTTAATGTGAATCAGGCCATGTTGAAAAGAGCACAGCTTTTGAATAAATACATTGTTATAATTACATTGATCAGAGACAGATGTATGTCTTGACTGTAACTGCTATGAAGTTGTATTTCATTTTCTCTTTTTGATATGCAGAACATTTCTGTCGATCCCTTACTTGGTGTCCAATTTCTTAAATAACAAGAGGGTACCTATTTGTCTTTCACACTTTTTTTGAGAAAAATGGCCTATATATTTAGATATCATTAAAGTTGCAATGTTTTGATTTCATTTTTAACAAAGTTTATGTTAGATGGATGAGATAACAGGCATAGCCTATATAAATCTTCTCCGTCTGTGATATCATAGATATTTATAAGTTATTTAATCATTATATAGTCATGATTATATTTTACTAACAAAACCATTCATACACACTTTTTCATTCCCGTTTGTTCATTTGACTCACTCATATTTACAAATTCATAACCTAACAGGTATAGAATAAGTTGGCTTAAAATTCTGCTGAACAAAAGCAACATCTACTGGATGTAGGTATTGTGACTGACTGCCCAGACTGGAAAAATATCTGACAGTGTTGTGAGAATTGATATACAAATATACAATATATAAACATTTTTTTTGTTTAAACCCTCTCTTTTTTGCATATAATGTGTTACCGGTTACCAAATATAAGCTATAAACCAAACAACTCTTTGGGATCAAAAACAAATTGAACAAAGAACATCGGGGGGTGGAGGCACAATGTTCCACAATTGATGATGTTTAGTAAATTCTTCTTGGAACTGCTGTGGATATAAGAAGTATACTGTGTCCTCACTAAAAAAAGGGTAGAATGTAGGTCAAGAGTGAAGACAACATGAACAGCTCATCCCAGATTCATGATTTATTTGTGCTTCAAGTTGCTGACATGTTTCGCATTCACTTGGATACATGTCTAAATTTGACGTACAAAAGCTTCCATATAACCTTGTTGCAATAAATGAAGAAATCTACCGAAAATCACAGCTACACAGACTCGACACAGCTCCGTCGGATACGACACAGCTCCATCAGACTTGACACAGCTCTGTCAGACTCGACACAGCTCCTTCAGACTTGACACAGCTCTGTCAGACTCGACACAGCTCCATCAGACTTGACACAGCTCCGTCAGACTTGACTTTCCAATTCCATCTATTAACCACTCTTCCTTAAAGCTGGCTGTTTAAATTAAATCCAGACTAGAATAATCTCTTATCAGACGTGGCAATTTCAGACATCCTAGAAGCCTTAAAACCATCTCCATACTTCTTCACAAGATTCATTTCTTTTTTGTTTGTTTATAGTACCTAATCTGTAAATTACACACCAATTTATTGATACTATCTTCCATATGATGAAGGAAGTTGATAAATAGTAGAAGGAGTTCTTAATAACTTGCTAAAATATATGACTTGCCCAAGGATAACAAAATTTACAGTCATGACGATTTGGTTGTGCCATGCATATGTGGCTGTCATAGATCAGAGTGGACAGAAATATCTTAAAGTGGGGATTCACACTATGTTTGAAACCCAAGCTAGTAATTCTAAGTGGATAATTCTATTATGGCATAAAAGACACCAAGTAATTACCATTTCAAATTTAGATTACTGCAGCTTAGGTCTGTAATGATGATTAGAGGAAAAGTTCAAAACTATGTAATTCTCAGTTGGTAGGAAAGAGGCTAGTCAGATTAACAATGTCACATTTTATTTCAGAATCCAAAGCATATAAAAAAAAAACTCCGTCGCCTTCGGAATGATGAGTTGTTTTGTGATCAGGACTTCCCTGCTGACCATAATGCCCTTTACTACAGTGACCGGTCAGACACAGGTATCCTGTGGAAGAGACCTAAGGTACTAACATTAATTGGTTTTAGACAAATTCAGGACACATTATTTTTTGTCATATAAAGTTGTTATTACGTAAAGATGAGTCGATTGGTTTTGATTTTTTAATGAAAGAAATAAAATTACCTTCGCTTCTCATAGTTGATTTAAACATATTTTACAAAAAGTAAGATATTGCTGGGGACTGAAGTTTGAGTACTTAATCATTGAATTGCTTTCAGTTGGCATTTTTAAGCATATGAATGCCAACAGGGTAAGGACAAATTCAATGAAGTGTTAGCACTTCATGATTAATCTGCCGTAATTCAGTTAACATCCATAATGCAGAGGAATCCTACATTAAGCAGTTTGAGGCTTATATTAATCATTTTTGTTTCTTGTTCTGTTAATAGTGAAAGAAACCCTGATGTGTTTTACATTACTTACAATATTCCTGTTGGCAGGTTATTAGCTAGCATATAGCAGTAGATATGATAGTATGAACTGTCAGTCTCCTGAATCTTCTTTTAATGAATGAAGTGATATGTGACCAAGGTAGATGATAAAGAGTGTTTACACATTATATATGTATCTATTGCACTAGATTGTCATTATAGCATTTCAATCTTTTTTCAGGACCTTGTTGGAGAGTGGCAGGAACCGTACCTGGTAAAAGATGGTGTTACCCGTGATGATATCAAACAAGGTATCCTGGGAGACTGCTGGTTTCTATCAGCTTGTGCTGCTGTATCACAAAGAGAAAACTATATGAAGAAAGTAAGTTGTCCATTGACTTTATAGCTATTTTACAATAAATGGATTGGTTTGTGATCATTAACACCATAAAAAAACTTTTTTTATCATACTTGCTGTTCCCTGTAGGAAGTTAAAATGTTGAAATGAAGACTTCCTAACACTCAAGAACGGTCACCATCTTCTTTTTCTGATCTAGATGGCATTGACATATTTTGCCTGAAATCAGGACCACTCTTACAACTTTCAGATGCCCTAAAGTACAATTTGTAACTCTCTTTTATATGTGATTGAATATATGCTAATTGGTTAACAAAAATACACTGCCACTGATGATAGGATACCATAGTTAATCATAACTGTCCTACAATGTTATGTATCCATCATATATCTATATTTACCTCACAGCTGTAACCATCTTGAGCTGCAAAATTGTACATGAGGGAGTCTTATGCTGTAAATTTCAAATTTTAAATGAGATGGCATCAGGCCTGACAGCAAAATGTTAAAATGAGGGTGTTTGCAAGCTGGATTAGGATTTAAGAAATATTTTAGACTAAAAATAGCAGTAACACAGATGCAGCTGATAGATTTAATATCAAGTCACAACTGAACAATTGCTTTAGTGTTGTTTTAAGTGATATTATTTCGTAACACCTGTTATCTTCATGAATTCCTGTATACTGATTACAGGGGACATAATTTACTATTAGTGTTGATTATAACTCTTCAGCAATTCCAACAAGAACTTGTTATATTCTTAAAGTACGATCTTGTTAGATTGTTCCTGGAGACCAACCTCTGTTTGGGGAGGGCTACAAAGGAATTGTCCACTTCCGTTTCTGGCGCTTTGGTCAGTACGTGGATGTTTATGTGGATGACCGGTTACCGACCATTGATGGGAAGTTGATCTATGCACAGTGTACAGATCCTACAGAGTTCTGGGTGGCACTCATAGAGAAAGCTTATGCCAAGTAAGTAAAGCTCCTAATTACATTTTTGCCTGTGAAATATAGGAATATAAATTATGTATCAATTTGGTACAAACTTTTATCATCACGGCAGTGATCGTATACAAAATCTGATGTCATCATCATTAGTGATGATCAAACTTTTCCAGTGATGATCAAACTTTTCCAGTGATGATCAAACTTTTCCAGTGATGATAAAACTTTTCCAGTGATGATCAAACTTTTCCAGTGATGATAAAACTTTTCCAGTGAAAAACTTTTCCAGTGATGATCAAACTTTTCCAGTGATGATCAAACTTTTCCAGTGATGATCAAACTTTTCCAGTGATGATCAAACTTTTCCAGTGATGATAAAACTTTTCCAGTGATGATAAAACTTTTCCAGTGATGATAAAACTTTTCCAGTGATGATAAAACTTTCCAGTGATGATAAAACTTTTCCAGTGATGATAAAACTTTCCAGTGATGATAAAACTTTCCAGTGATGATAAAACTTTTCCAGTGATGATAAAACTTTCCAGTGATGATAAAACTTTTCCAGTGATGATAAAACTTTCCAGTGATGATAAAACTTTTCCAGTGATGATAAAACTTTCAATGATTTGACCAACCAGAGCAGTGCTTTTTTTGTCACTGCATTGAAATTTGCTGACTTTCTTGTTCAGATGCAAATGAAGCTCAAGTTGAATAAGTTAATTTTCCATCAAATAATTCCTGTGTGCATTTCTGGTTTTCATGATTTGGTTGTTGTCAAGTGTAACATCTCATGTTAATGAAATTTTGTGTTTATTTTTATTTTGTGTTTATCTTTTTTTTTCCTTTAAATTTTTTTTTTTTTGAAAAATAATGGTTTCCCATTAAATATCATTTATTTTTCACTCTTATGACAAAGTATATATTTATACTTTTCAATCGTTGTACACAAACATGAAAATTATAGATGTTCTGTCATACTTGTGAAATAAATATGATATTAAATAGGAAACAATGAAATATCCTTTATCATTCTATATGAAATATAATTTGTTTTATGTATAAATTGCTAGCCTCGTTCCACTGAAGTAGACATTAGATTGACAAATTGTCCATTGATATATCTGTATCAGTATGTAACCTTGTCTCAGTCATATATCTCACATTTTCCACTGACAATCAACAGCCAAAATTTGCAAATGATGTACACCTAGATCCTGAGGCAGGCAAGGTATCACATACATCATGCTTATCATGCCCAATAACAGAGTTATGTCCCTTTGTACAACCTTTGTAAAACTATGTTGGACTTAATCATATATAACACAAGTGCTGACACACCCACAATTACCTAAGTCTTCATATGTAATGGACGTGTACCTCTTTGGATGATGTAGAACCTCACAACAAAATTCACTTGTTATTCCCTTCTCTATGGTTGTCTGTTTCCAGTGTGAAACCTCATTTGGGACATACAATTCATATGTTACACATAATACTTACATGCAATGGTCTAAGAGATGTAAAATGTTGCCAACTTTGATAAAGTCATGTTCTCTTGATATTGGCCATTTCATGACCTGTTCAGATTCTGAAAAATGCTAGAATTACCCAATATTTCTTTACCTTTGATCAGTGTTTACTATGTTTCAAATTCAATTTTTGGGTTTAATATATAGTTAAAATAATGTTCATATTTAACATAGAACATCATTTAACACATACAGATGTGACAACTTTACAATAGAATTGATCATATGGTCTTTTTACAGGATGACCATTTTAAATGCTCAGTCACCCTTGATTTTGAAGGCCATGACCAAATATATTATTCGATAAGCAGTTTGCAACACTGCTTATAACCTCACAATTTAATGGGTCAAATAGTGTTACCATGTCCCTCCATTCCATTGTATCCTGTCATGTTGTGTATTATGCCATTCTGAATCAATGTCAAATCTTGAGAACCTCTCAATAGATTTGGTTCATATTTACCACATAGTACTCTAACTTTAGAGTCTACACCTGATAAGATTCGGTTTTTTCATTGCAGTAGAGACAGTCATGTTTCATAGGCATTTGCTAGTTTCATATTACTATGCTTCAGTTTTTTTAGCACATGTATATTTTGTATGTTGCGTTACCGCAGACTGCACGGTTCCTACGAGGCTATAGAGGGTGGTCAAGCAATGAATGCCTTGGTGGATCTGACTGGGGGTCTAGCAGAGCGCCACGAGGTCATCAACAAAGATCCAGTCTTGTACCGACTTATCGATCGTGCAATCATGTCTGAGGCTTTCGTGGCATGCTCTAGGAAGGTCAGTGTTGTCAGTACAGGAACCACATGGTTACATACTGTACAGAAATAGCTTTGTGATAATAGTACCTATGGTAGATTGGAGTTCAGTTTGACACAACTGAACACTGGAATAAAATAGCAATGCCTTACTGAGGCATTTATGAATTTTGCTATGTAGTTTAAGACTATTTTACAAGATCTTTTGCTCATAGTCCAGCTTAATTTGTAGATTTGCCATTAATAACACCACACACTTGTAGACATGGGACAAAACAGGGAAACACTGGCTTTTAACCTTGGCATTTCAAAAACCCTGAAAGTTTCAAAAAACTTTATCCAATTATTTCAGGTTTGACATTTTCTGATTTTACACAATCTGAAAAGTTGAAAAAAAAACTGCATTTAAAAAAAAGTTTTAAACAGTACATAAATGGAATATTCACATAAAAATGTTAATAAAATATTCATATCTGATTTTTGTTTTTCAAAATCTATGTCAGAAACAGTTCAAAATGTAAAAAGTAATGAAATTAACACTACGTGTATATTCATAAACATCATTATTTTTAAAATGTCTGTTGAAGAAACATGGTTACCTTGATGTTTTTTAAGTGTTCCATGTATGTGTGTTTTGTGTGATAGGGAGATTGGAGATTAAGTACAAAAGCTGATCCTAATGGACTGGTGTCTGGACATGCTTACACAGTCATAGACATCAGGAAGGTATGTATACTGCATGTATCATCAGACATTGGAAATGAAGAAACACGACAAAAGTCTAATTCGTTAGCTGAGACCACTTGTCGTCTTGGATAAACATACTACCCAGTATACAACCATACTTATCTGTTAATATATTTTACCAGATAAAACATGAGAAAGGTGAGGAAAAATTGGTACGGATCAGAAATCCATGGGCAGACAGCAATGAGTGGAAGGGATCCTGGAGTGACAAGTAAGTACATAAGGCTTTCAAAATGATCTCATGTTTTGGATTTCAATTGTTTGTTTCTGATGATATTCACTGCACTATTCTCTATTGTCACTATATATTATTCAGAATATACTGACACTACAGGTAAATATCTATATAGTACTGACACTAGATATCAATAATATAACATAATGCTATCTAGGCCTACTATCATATAATGCTATCTAGGCCTACTATCATACAATGCTATCTAGGCCTACTATCATACAATGCTATCTAGGCCTACTATCATACAATGATATATAGGCCTACTATCATACAATGATATCTAGGCTTACTATCATACAATGCTATCTAGGCCTACTATCATACAATGCTATCTAGGCCTACTATCATACAATACTATCTAGGCCTACTATCATACAATGCTATCTAGGCCTACTATCATACAATACTATCTAGGCCTACTATCATACAATGATATCTAGGCTTACTATCATACAATGCTATCTAGGCCTACTATCATACAATGCTATCTAGGCCTACTATCATACAATGCTATCTAGGCCTACTATCATACAATACTATCTAGGCCTACTATCATACAATGCTATCTAGGCCTACTATCATACAATGCTATCTAGGCCTACTATCATACAATGCTATCTAGGCCTGCTATCATACAATACTATCTAGGCATGCTATCATACAATGCTATCTAGGCCTACTATCATACAATGCTATCTAGGCCTACTATCATACAATGCTATCTAGGCCTACTATCATACAATACTATCTAGGCCTACTATCATACAATGCTATCTAGGCCTACTATCATACAATGCTATCTAGGCCTACTGTCATACAATGCTATCTAGGCCTGCTGTCATACAATGGTATCTAGGCCTGCTATCATACAATGCTATCTAGGCATGCTATCATACAATGCTATTTAGGCCTGCTATCATACAATGATATCTAGACCTACTATCATACAATGCTATCTAGGCCTACTACTATCATACAATCTAGGCCTACTATCATACAATGCTATCTAGGCCTACATACAATGCTATCTAGGCCTGCTATCATACAATGCTATCTAGGCCTAATATCCTAAATTGATATCTAGGCCTATTATCATATAATGTTATCTAGGCCTACTATCATATAATGTTATCTAGGCCTACTATCATACAATGCTATCTAGGCCTACTATCATACAATGCTATCTAGGCCTACTATCATACAATGCTATCTAGGCTTGTTAACATACAATGCTATCTAGGCTTGTTAACATACAATGCTATCTAGGCCTACTATCATACAATGCTATCTAGGCCTACTATCAAACAATGCTATCTAGGCATGCTATCATATAATGCTATCTAGGCCTACTATCATACAATGCTATCTAGGCCTACTATCATACAATGCTATCTAGGCCTACTATCATACAATGCTATCTAGGCCTACTATCATATAATGCTATCTAGGCCTACTATCATATAATGCTATCTAGGCCTACTATCCTAAAATTCTGTCTAGGCCTACTATCGTACAATGATATATAGGCCTGCTATCATACAATGATATATAGGCCTACTATCATACAATGATACATAGGCCTACTATCATACAATGCTGTTAAGGCCTACTATCATAAATGCTTTCTAGGCCTGCTATCATACAATGCTATCTAGGCATGCTATCATACAATGCTATCTAGGCCTGCTGTCATACAATGGTATCTAGGCCTGCTGTCATGCAATGCTATCTAGGCCTATTATCATATAATGCTATCTAGGCCTACTATCATATAATGCTCTCTAGACCTACTATCATACAATGCTATCTAGGCCTACTATCATACAATACTATCTAGGCCTACTATCATACATTGCTATCTAGGCTTGTTAACATACAATGCTATCTAGGCCTACTATCATACAATGCTATCTAGTCCTACTATCATACAAAGCTATCTAGGCCTACTATCAAACAATGCTATCTAGGCATGCTATCATATAATGCTATCTAGGCCTACTATCATACAATGCTATCTAGGCCTACTATCATACAATGCTATCTAGGCCTACTATCATACAATGCTATCTAGGCCTACTATCATACAATGCTATCTAGGCCTACTATCATACAATGCTATCTAGGCCTACTATCATACAATACTATCTAGGCCTACTATCATACAATGCTATCTAGGCCTACTATCATATAATGCTATCTAGGCCTACTATCATACAATGCTATCTAGGCCTACTATCATACAATGCTATCTAGGCCTACTATCATATAATGCTATCTAGGCCTACTATCATACAATGCTATCTAGGCCTACTATCATACAATGCTATCTAGGCCTACTATCATACAATGCTATCTAGGCCTACTATCATACAATGCTATCTAGGCCTGCTATCATACAATAATCTAGGCCTTATTGATATCATAGGGCCTACTATCATACAATAATGGCCTACTATCTTGGCTATCTAGGCTATCATACAATGCTATCTAGGCCTACTATCATACAATGCTATCTAGGCCTACTATCCTATACAATGCTATCTAGGCCTACTATCATACAATGCTATCTTACTATCTTACAATATGCTAGGCCTACTATATGATATCTAGGCCTACTATCATACAATGATATCTAGGCCTACTATCATATAATGCTGTCTTTGCTTACTAGGCCTTATTGATATCTAGGCCTACTATCATATAATGCTATCTTGGCTTACTATGCCTTATTGATATCTAGGCTTACTATCATATAATGCTATCTTGGCTTACTATCATATAATGCTATCTTGGCTTACTATCATACAATGCTATCTAGGCCTATGCTATCTAGGCCTAGCTATCTAGGCCTACTATCATATAATGCTATCTAGGCTTACTATGCCTTATTGATATCTAGGCCTACTATCATACAATACTATGCTATCTAGGCTTGCTATCTAGTCATACATACAATGCTATCTAGGCCTACTATCATACAATGCTATCTAGGCCTACTATCATACAATGCTATCTAGGCCTACTATCATATAATGCTATCTAGGCCTACTATCCTAAAATGCTGTCTAGGCCTACTATCGTACAATGATATATAGGCCTGCTATCATACAATGATATATAGGCCTACTATCATACAATGATACATAGGCCTACTATCATACAATGCTGTTAAGGCCTATCATAAATGCTTTAGGCCTGCTATGGCTGCTATCTAGGCTTACTATCATACAATGATATCTAGGCTTACTATCATATAATGCTATCTTGGCTTACTATCATATAATGCTATCTTGGCTTACTATGCCTTATTGATATCTAGGCTTATTAACACACAATGCTATTTACTGATTGATTCAGTGACATAAATTGGCACTGGGTGGATGATGAGACAAAGAAGGAGATTGGCTTGCAGCTCAAGGATGATGGTGAATTCTGGATGTCATATAGAGATTTTTGTAAACATTTCCAAGAGGTTACAATATGTCTAACAGGGCCAGACTTTGATGGAGACGGAAGAGCTGATAACTGTGAGTCTTCTATTAATGTCATTGTTGGGTACAATCGGTGCTTTTAGTTTCATGTCTCAGCAGCATGTATTCTTTAGATCTACGACTCTGCAGAACTGATCTTTTTGATGCTAATGTCTTCCCAGAATTCCTGTCAATCTACACATCTAGATCTTTAGAAAATATGCTGTTGAGACATTGATCTTACATATCCACAAGTCTCCCTAGAATTGGTCTTACAGATCAACACGTCTCTCTAGAATTGGTCTTACAGATTAACATGTCTCTCTAGAATTGATCTTACAGATCCACACGTCTCTCTAGAATTGGTCTTACAGATTAACATGTCGCTCTAGAATTGATCTTATAAATCCACACGTCTCTCTAGAATTGGTCTTACAGATTAACATGTCTCTCTAGAATTGATCTTACAGATTAACATGTCTCTCTAGAATTGATCTTACAGATTAACATGTCTCTCTAGAATTGATCTTATAAATCCACACGTCTCTCTAGAATTGGTCTTACAGATTAACATGTCTCTCTAGAATTGATCTTATAAATCCACACGTCTCTCTAGAATTGGTCTTACAGATTAACATGTCTCTCTAGAATTGATCTTATAGATCCACACGTCTCTCTAGAACTGATCTTACAGATCCACAAGTCTCTCTAGAATTGATCTTACAGATCAACACGTCTCTCTAGAATTGGTCTTACAGATCCACAAGTCTCCCTAGAATTGGTCTTACAGATCCACATGCCTCCCCAATATTGTTTTCTTGCACCCCCATATCTTGCAATAATTCATGTTATTGGTGGTTCTGTCTCTCTGTTATATATTACGATACATTTTGTTCCTTATGTCTCTAGAGTCATCTTACCAATTAATTTTTCAAAAAGTTTAACATTTTGTTGAAACTGTTTGGCTGATACTTTATAGTCTTTTCAAGACAAAAGTTAGTTTAAGTTGTTGTATGATAATTGGGCATGTTTTTTCAGGCCATGTAGAGATGAGGAAAGGGGAGTGGGTCCTGGGTAGGACTGCTGGAGGATCAAGAAATGATCTTGTCATGTTCTCCAGGAACCCACAATATGTTCTCACTTTGTCAGAGCCAGGTAAGGTCACAAACATATATAGTCATTTTTAAACAGTCATGACAAAATTTCAGATTGAGTTTTATATTTGAAGTGACATAACATCTGATTGCAAAAGTCAACCAAGGCTGTTTATATGGAATAGAAGCCTTCAACTTTTTTCATCGTATAATAGCTATGTAGGACTCTAGCTTATTGACCTGGTTACAGATGACTTTGATGAGATGAAGGATGACCCGGAGAGGGAGGGACTTTGTACGATTCTTATATCACTGATGCAGGAACACCGTAGATCCAAGCGTAATGTCAAGGTTAAAAGTCTCCAAATCGGCTTCTTCCTTTATAAGGTAAAGTTAAACAAAACAGCTTGCTCATCTATATTTCTTATAGATAGTATCTCGCACAAGAATCTCAATGAGGTTTTCACATGAGGTTCTCACGTGAGTTTCTCACATGAGAACATTGTAACATTGTTACATCACATGAACAAAACTTTCTTCTACATTGGGAACCTGCCTCAACATGTTCCTGGCTGTCCATTGAGTGATGAATTCTAAAAATTCTTTTAAAATCTGGCTGTGAACTCAATTTTCCATATAAGTTTTGAAGTGTTGTATTTTGACTCCTTACTCATATATTTGTATTCAATGTTTCCCTTTCATTCGCAGTCTGCGAGATTGTGACATCAGTTCTCAGTTAGGAAACATCAAAACTACTTATTTTTCATAAGTTACTATTAAATATGACATGAGTTTACATACTGTAATGTGGATATTTTAGTGGCAATCTTATTTTTGAGCTTTTTACTTTGAAAGTATTGCATTAATGTATGATTGCATCAATTGCAATTTCTGAATGCTGTTTATATAGCAATTATAATAGATATGCTAATTCATCATAGTGCTAATTCATATAGCAATCATAATAGATGTGCTAATTCATCATAGTGTTAATCTATATAGCAATTATAATAGATACGCTAATTCATCATAGTGCTAATTCATATAGCAATCATATTAGATATGTTAATTCATCATAGTGTTAATCTATATAGCAATTATAATAGATACGCTAATTCATCATAGTGCTAATTCATATAGCAATCATAATAGATACGCTAATTCATCAGTGTTAATCTGTATAGCAATCATATTAGATACGCTAATTCATCATAGTGCTAATTCATATAGCAATCATAATAGATGTGCTAATTCATCATCATGCTAATTTACCAAAAAGCCATAATTTGATTGTGCCAAATTAAGTATGTCCACAATAATAATATACACTTCGAGATAACTCATAAATGTAAGAAAAAGGGAAAAAATGAGAAACTAAAATTAATGATCTATTTATACAATGAAAATAAGATCCAACAGCTGGGTAGATATTTCCACTGTAGTGGTAGTCATTCACAGATGAATTCCTTGGGAGTACATAGTCCAGTTAAAAAAAGGCATTTGGTCAGATTATGAAATTAGTATAAAGTTTAACAAAGCGAAATATTTCATATATTTTTTTAAATCTGTGAAATGTCTCTCACTGATAGACGCAAGATCCAACTGTGAGGCTGAACATCCAACATTTCCGGTTTCATCGTGACTGTGGTAAATCCGGGGTGTACATCAACTACCGTGAGGTCAGTCAGAGGTTTGAACTAGAGCCTGGTCACTATGTTATCATTCCTTCCACGTTCGTTGTTGATGAATCTTGTTTCATGCTGAGAGTGTTTGGAGAAAAGAAATTTAGTTTTACTGGGTGAGTAATATGCATAAAACATTTGTTTTTCATTTTTCCCCCAAAAATACAACCCTGTAGTATATGGTTCCACATTCATTATTAAACAACTGATGTTGTGGCTACTGAAAAAAGAATCAAGGGAAATAATTCCTAGGTCGGCCTAAATATGAAAGTAAATTTTTGCTCATTCCTCATACCTACTCAGTTATTTTCTTTATCCCCCCCCCCCCCCCAAAAAAGTCAGTTAAGTGTTTAAATCTATAAGAGGAAGTTGTTTCAATACACTGTCCTATTACCTTATCTTAAAAAAAGAAACCATTGTATTTGTTTTAAAATGACAGTTAAGAACATGTAGATAGATAATTTTCTCTGATGATGAAAACTTCTTTCATTACAGACCAATAGAAGATGTAGCTGCACAGTTAAACGGACACAGTGCATCCAATGATGTTAACAGTGGGCCATTCTAGTGTTAAAATATATAGGGTATAACAAAATAAATTAATACCAATTACAAGTTAAGATTTAACACAAACATCACACAATAGAGCACCACACACATAACATAGTGGGGAAGGGAAATACATTAGAGTGCAAAGGACACTTTATTAATTTCATACCATAAACTAATTAAATTTTTTTTTTTTTTTCATTTTTCTTTTATTTTATTTTTGTACAAAGTGACAAGGAACATTTCTTTTGCATCATGGTAAAGATGTATAAAAATTTAATGAAATATGACCCTGAAAAAAGGGATTCGATTTCACAGGAAATAGAAATTCTGTTTTTCTTAGTGTGTCCTAATGATTATATGTTACTACTCAGGGATAAGGCTTTCAGAACATGTTTTGGAATGTTGTGTTACTGAAGATGATGACTGGAATACAGACACTAATCAGTGGTTTAAGGAAATATTCACGACATTGTTCTTTTGTCAAGTTTTTATTTTCTTTTTTTTTTTCTTTTTACATTTTTGAAATCTAATTATTTGATTTATTGATTTACATTATAAGAAAATTATTAATCAGCCAAACATTGTCACTGATGAGAAATGCCCATTAATTAACAAATATAAAGATTATCTGAAGGTCACTTGAGACAAAGTCTCATGGTAACCTAATGCACTCATCTTTTGTCATACATTGTGTGTCATTAACTTAGAACATTTTCTTCTGGAAAACTCCTGATCCGTTTTCAATTTGTCATTTTGCAGAAACCTTCCATGCCCAATGGCAAAACAAAATGTAAATTATAAAGTCCCAACCCCAAAGGGGACACAAGGCAGGACCAAAAAGAGTCAAATTGATTAAAACTTCAAAAATCTTTTGCTTGATACTCAGATATGGTAGAATTAAAATCTTTTCATAGATGGAATAGCTTTCAGAATCTTTATCAAAATTGAAAATTTCATGACCCCAGAGTCTCACATTTCACCCGTGGGATGAGGTAAAATTCACTATAGTTTATGTAGGAAAATACATCCTAGAGCATAATTTGTTATTTTCTTTTGGAAATAGTTTAAACCTGGTTAGAATTATTAGTATAAACTGACATTTTAACACTATACACATCTTAATCCTGGCTGACCCCAGGGGCAGGAGGGCGGGGTCAAAAGGGTCAAAATGACTCAAATTTCAAGATCTTGAATGGAATAAAATGACTATTTATATGTGCCTATTGATGTCATTTTTAAGTTTCTAAACAAAGAAATTATTTCCAATATTGGAGACTGTTACACAACTCGAAGATCACATTTTAATGTCTTTTTTTTCTCATCAGTCATCTTAATACAAAACTGCCTAGCAATGCATTTATCACAATTTCTAATTAGTCAATTTCATTGATCATTTTAAAGGTACAATGAAAAAGGTATGTATCTAGTCACAATGTATATATGCAGTTGCTATCTGAGTTCTTTACCGTTGATGTTCAGTTATGTAGATTTTTGTGATGTCATGCTCTTAAAAGATTGAACATCTGAAAAACTTTATGAAAATCTGTCCTCATCCATCTATTAGAATATCTTCTTATAGTTTAATTTGTTTATGAATTCATTTTATTACTTAACATGATTTTATTTGGTAAAAAAGGAGTGTTGCTTGCGATATACAACACAGATACAGTGCTAGATAAATCAGTTTGTGAGTGTGTTATCATTTTCACAAAAGACAGCTGGGTTTGTACCTGCATCATCTACAAGTGGGGCAGTGTGCTCAAAAATTAGGTCATTCACCTCATAGCCAGTTTTTTTTAATAAAAGTGCATCTTGTTCGAGATTTGTTTTGCCAGATCATGACTTTAAAACTGTTTGAGATATTTGATAAAACTTGGAAGTCAAACTACACATCAGTGTTGTAAGTTCAGAGGTCAAAGTCCAATCTTACTGTTTTACATGATTTCTATTTTATTGTAACTTGGAGAAGTAAATTTGGTGAAAAGAACATTGACGAGTCTCTTGATGAACAAACATGGTCAAAATATAAAAACAGGAAATGATGTTCTTGTCAAATAAGGGAGACATCTGTTTTTGTTAACAAAACTATTTTCTTATTTGTTTATATGTGTGCTTTATGCAGGTAATTAGTTTACATTAAATTGATATCCTTATACAGGTAATTTGTCACTGGACTAAACTGAGCAAGTAGTACATTCCTTATTAGCTGTTCGCAGTCACCTCAGTATATACAGAAAAGTATCGGCTAAGACTATATAAATAATTATACATATGTATATACACTTTCAGAATGACACATTGTATGTTTTTACTTTTTTACAATATTTTTTTACACTTGATATAAACTATGATTGATATAGACATTCCCTCCAAAAGAGAGTTGTGATACTGTTGTTCATTCAGTAACTACTGCTGTGATGTCAGTGTGTACCTCTGAAATTTGAAAGGTGATTAATACTGTTATATTAGATTCATGTCATGTCATGTCATGTCTTGCTCTGAATCAATGTCCTGTTTGGACAACCTTTGTTGTTAGGAATAGGAGTAGAAGCATTATTACAGGTAATTTCTTATGTATTGTAATGTGATGTAAGCATTACATTGTTAAATTTTAAAATATTATCCTTGTCTTTCTCAGTCTGAAGAAACAATTTTGCTTTTAACTGTGTCATGTGGATATAACTATTTTTTTCATGTTTTTATAAATCTTTGACTTAAAAACTCCTATAAGAATCACCATTACTTACAGGAACGTAACACCTGTAATCACCGTTACTTACAGGAACGTAACACCGGTTTTACCTACGTTTGATATATTGGTTGTTACAAACCCAATTTTAGTTTTACTTTCATAAAGTTATTTTCCAATAAATTTTTTTGCTAATTTGTTTAAGAAATATATTTATGTATTTCTTCCCTGAAGATGATAAATTTTGACACACAGGACAGGAATATAGTCCAGCCATTGAAACTATGCCATACTCTCACTGGTTAATCTTACCTTTTTCTTAATTCATGGTTTTATTGAAAATGAAATTGTTATTTATTTAATGATATTGTAACACTGAATTCAGCCATTTTTATTAGATATAACACCATTACATACACAAATCTGACAATACTAGACACTAGACATGTAAGTAGAGAACAAAAAGAAGAGATCTGTACATTTACACGTACCCATAATGTATAGCTGAATTTTTGTTAATCTGAAGAACATTGTATGTCAAAATAATCCATCCCTACCATGGGTATGTTTTTTTTGTATCGTTTTTCTTTTTTAATTACTTGATCTTAAGTAGCAGTAACGTTAATTTACATGTTTTTTTTATGACTATCTAAAGTTAGCGTAAATACATATCTTATGTTTTATCTAAACATGGAGAAAGAAGTCAGATTTTCACCAGTCAGTGTATACATCTTATAATGAGAAGATTTTGTGTCATTTATCACATCATAAAGCACACAATAAACATTGCCGTGATTTATTATTTTGATAAAAAATCTATCTAGGTGAACACATATTTTATTCCTAACACATGTTATTTTCTATTTATCTAACATATACAGTATCTATTTTGTACCATTTGTCATTTTTCTGGTACTTTGCTGGCTCATTGCTTCAAGAATCATTTAAAAAAAATTTTTTTTCTTCTGAAATGGTCTTTATGATTTAAAAGCTTAGATCTGATACATCTCTAGAATTTCTCCAAATAAGTTCAGCAGTTTATTGTTGTCACAAATGAGCACTTTTTCTAATCCATGTGTAATACCTTTTTGTCAGTTGTATGTTGCCTTGTAGAATTGTCATTTTTCTTGAGGAAGCAATCTTTGGAGATCTTGCCTCTTCCTTACACTTTCATGTCCTGAGGGAGGAGGAGACATGTGCTTAATTGTCAATATGGTTATTCTTCCAGTTATATCCAGAAAGTTTTTCATTTTTGATGTACTCTGTGTAACATATCTGTTTTCATTGTACATATTATTTATAACAACATCTTCATCAACAAAGAATTCTTACCTGATTTTATATAAGTTCTATGATGGTGTAAACTAACACTTTGCTATATGTTTTAACACCGTTAAGATTTTATATTATTTTATAAATGATGATTGTAAATTGTTCAAAATAAAGATCATCAAAAACAAGTAGATTGGTTGTTTACTGTAATGATATATAAATAGGGGCCTCCTTTCTGTTAAGTTAGATAGAAAAAGGTAGAAGTATGATATCTAGTCTGTAAAATCCTGAGATATTGTACAGGCTATCTGGAACCTGTTAAAGTTGCTGGGATATTGTCACAGCTGCTGGGATATCATCCAGGCAGCTGGGATATTGTTGTGGCTGCTGGGATATTGTCCAGACAGCTGGGATATTGTCCAGGCAGCTGGGATACAAATGTACTGCCCAGACAGCTGGGATACTGTCATGGCTGCTTGGATATTGTCCAGACAGCTGGGATATTGTCCAGACAGCTGGGATATTGTCCAGGCAGCTGGGCTGCTGGGATACATATGGATATTGTCCAGACAGCTGGGATATTGTCTATACTGCTTGGATATTGTCT